TTTATTGTTCTACGTGCTCTTTTGTCTATCACTTTTAAAAATGTTAATATATAGTGTATGTTGGTGAATAAACAGAACTGAATTATATATATGGCATACTTCAGTTTTGTTTGTTCACCAAAATACAGCCTCTTTTACTTATATGTTTATCTATACCTACTCAATATTATAAAGAGACTGAGTTTGTTTGTTTGTTACTTTGTTCGAACGCTCTAATCTCGGTAACTACTAATCTGATTTGAAAAATTCTTTTTGCATTAGATAGCCCGTTTATTGAGTAAGGCTATAGGCTATATATCATCATGCTACTACCAAAAGGAGGGGAGCAGTACTGATTAACACGGGTGAAACCGCGGGGCACAGCTAGTGTAATAATATATCAGTTTCTTTTTTTAATATTTCAATATACGTACTACATACGTATGGAATAATAAAAACAAATTGTATGTATATGTGAGTCCTATAACTATTTATAATATTAAAAGCTAAAATTACTTCGCTGGACGCTATTTTTCTTCTTCTATCTTCTTCTATCTTTTGATATTGTGTGAAAAGTAAAAAAAAAGTCTTTTTGCGTTTTTTTTTAAATCTAAGAAACGCTTTGTTTATATTACTATAATACATAATATATTATTAATGGTACTTAACTTAAAAGTATACACGTCATGATAGATATATAAATAATGACCAAGTTATTTTCGAGTTCCACTATTGAGGAAAACATTACTTTTCAAGAAATATACTTAGTATAAATGTGTTATGTAGAATGTAGAGTGTTGTTTACAACCATTGTACACTATATGGATTAAACAAAAGGAAAACAACCTAAGGCATTCCTTAGATAAGAATTTTCGTTCAAATATTGTACCTTCCTAAGCTAAGGATTCATTTCATACAAAGCGTAACTATGCTTTGCTATACTTTAAAATAAACAAACTGATAAACACACTTTCACATTTATAATATTAGTATGGATATTCTTTCCGTCGGTATTCTATAAATATATGATTGTAATTTGCCTAATATGCTCTAATTGTATTGAATTGTAATTATATTGACTTGTTTTAATTTAATTGCGATATTTGCTAAAAATAGTTTTACTTCAACCGCGCGTATAGGTACTCTTTTTTTTATTAGGCCCTTCTCGTACTATCAGTTTTTATTTCTTAATAATTTACTAGTGTAGGCAAATTCAAGTCAAACTATAATTAATCCAAACACAGCCTAAGTATTTGGTTTATACAGCAGTAATTTTACGGCCATACGTTCTACACGCGAAAAAATAATAAAAAAATCATAGACGTGGATATTTTTTACACTTTACACGGAGGTCTTTAATAATTTTTTTCATTGTTTATCTTCGACCGAGCATTAACCGATAAGAATAAGTTATTACGTTTTTATCAATGCATAGCATTTATATACAACTAGCATTGCCCGCGGCTCCGCCCGCGTTCAGATGACCAAAAACTAAATTCTTAGGTGTTACATATTAGTATACTCTTACATTGCAGTTTTTGTATTTTTCCTCAGAAATAAGATATTTTCCCGCGGTAAAAAGTATCCTAGGATCGCGCGCTACATCGCCCGGTTTATATAGCTTGAGCAGGCGGTCGAGCGATGCGGGGCAGAGGGGATGGACTCGCCGTAGGCATCTCAATGCTCGCCAAGCATTAAAAATGTTTCGCTACTAATTACTTGTAACAACGATATCTCAAAAACTATTCATCTGATTGATTTAGTGTAAAGAGCAATTTTAATCTGCATTAAATGACTAAGCTAACTAAAATATTCATTTGGATAAGGATTAATACCGAACTAAAGAAAATAACTTTGAAAATAACGTAATGTTTTTAATTAAAAATGTTAACATAAAAGTGGTTATTGTAAGTCAACCGTAAGAGATAGAGATATGCTATCGCGGACTTTTTTGTAGCATTTTTATAGATTTTGAATTCTCTAGTACATTACTTAACTGTATCTTTGCTAGTTTACGCGGCGTTCGCGTGGAAAGTTCCCATTTGGCGAGATTTTTTGCGACCTCTTCAACATTTGTCGCCGTATTTCAGCTAATTTACATAAAAGCATAATAAATTATATACCTAAACCTTCCTCAAGAATTACTCTTTCTATTGTTGAAAACCGTATAAAAATCCGTTCAGTAGTTTTCGAGTTTATCGCGTACAGACAGACAGGAGGACAGACAGGAGGACAGAAAGACGCGGCCGGGGGACTTATTTTTATAATAAGTATAGATAGATATACATACATGTATAAATAATCGATTTTTTTTTATAAAAAATCAATTAGTTAGAAAGTTTATTTTTAGAAACATACATAGGTATATAAAATATATATAAATAACTTCACATATCTTAGCGGTCAGTGTCCTTTATACTCTTTTAAATTTGAAGTTAATGCTCGCATTTTTTTTGAATCATTTCGAGACATGTATTGATAAATTTAATAAATAATTTGACCCACGTGGGATTCGAAGTCCCTACTACTTGCATTGTAGTAGTTTCAACGCGACTGTGTTTAACTTTGCACATCAAATTGCAGATAAATATAATTCTATTACTATAAAATATAAATACGTATTAGGTACCTACAAATTGTATATTGACTTTCATATCACCTCCAGGTAAATATCTAAGAATTTAATTAAATTTCTAAGAAATCTGTTGTTAACTGTAACGCCGGCTTGTCCGCGGTCGTTGAGGGAATATTAAATTTTTCATATTCATGCTAATCATTATCATCCAAAATTAAGGAATCATATTTATAGCTTTGTTTACAGATAAAAATTATCTCAACTTGTTATTTTTTTCAAATCCGTTTGTTATGTTTTATTTTATCAACATGAATGCAGTGAAGCAGTAAGAAATAATAGCACAATTTTCACTTACCTATTCTTATCGGAATAATCTGTACAAATAAAGCAATAAACGTCGTTTGAAGGATGTACCTACACTCATATGTATATGTATATCTTATCGTCTCGTATATTTTAAAGATTTATATTATTTACTAGAGACTTAAGCTTGAATGGTTTTGAATCTCATAATAAAAAACTTTTTTGTGCCATGAACTTATGCAGGCGTAAACAGAATAACGCACCAGAGTTTCATCACAATCTGCTCAATGGTGTAGGAACGCATAGACGATAAACATACGAACATTTTTTATTTATATAGATATTTGTATAGTGAGTGCGTTATGTATGTGTATATTAGTGTACGTACCTACTTCGTGCCTAAAGTCAATGCACTTTGATTTTTGGAGCTTATAAGTTATCTCATATCGCTCTTATTTTTATGAATTTTATTTTCTGCGGTTTCGCTCGCGTTTATATCTCAATTTAGATTGTAATCACTATAAATCGGTATTATAAATCGGTTTCACAATAAATTTCTTATTGCACAGAGCGTCGGATTGTTTAGGTCTCATTTTGTTATTCTATAGATCTTAGGCCTAAGGTTCTCTAAATAACTAACAAATAGACATTAAAATATGCTTTTCCCCAAAAATAACATGTCATACAGGCTAATATTTCAATCTTATAATTTATTTTTTGTTTTGGGGATAATAATTATCAAACCACTATTATGAAAGCGAAAGATTGTATCTATGTATGTTTGTTATTCCTTCACGCTGAAACGTTTGGAATTGGATTAAAAGTGCACAGATAGGCACATAGGGAAATATGATGTGATGACTGCCTCGGTGGTGTAGTAGCTAGCATGTACGGTTGCACACTCGGAGGTCCTGGGTTCGAGTCCCGGGTCGGGCCAAGTTTAGTTATTGAGTTTTTCTGTATAGTAAGTGTCAGTAACAGTCTGGAATTTTGAAGTTGGCGGTGTTTCACCCCCGTGCCTCGGAGAGCACGTAAAGCCGTCTGTCCTGCGCCTCAACTCTCACTGGTCGTGTCGAGCAGTCGTCCCACTGGAGTATGAGAGTGACAGGAATAGAGAGTGCACGTTGTGTCTGCGCGTACACTTGTGCACTATAATATCTCCTGCGCAGTTGGCTAGTCTCAATAAGATTGGCCGTCGTGGCCGGAATCGGCTAGGAGAACTTCATCATCATCATAGGGAAATACTAGCGGTATTCAACATTCTGTTCTAGAATTAATGATCTATGCAGCATTGTTTTTTTTTAAATAGGAAAATCGAAGGCACAATTTTAAACGTGGCGTGTTAATCTAATCACGCGACGCCGACGGATATAATTACAGTTTAATTTGTCCTCTATGATTGCCCTCAGTTTGCTATCTGCGTTTAGATATTGCTATTTACTTATTCACTTCATCATATTTTATAGTGTGCATTTAATAACGTAATAACTTTGACTGATTTTTATTACGATAATTTACGTATGTATGGACAATACGCATCATTTTGAATATTTTAAAGATATTATACATTTATTTGTAAAAAATCGATTTTGTGTAGAGCACTCCCCGTTTTACAATAATAACTCCAAAAATAATTATTCCACATTTAGTTGTTTTTTTTTTAGTTGTTTTTTTTTCTTGAAAATTCTGTTGGGTCCTTGAGGTTGTAGAGATCACGTATTTAGTAAAATAATATATTATGAAATCGATTTTCAATTACAGCATGCACTTTTAAAAAAACATAATTCGATTTCGCAGTCGATGGTCAAGATGTAAAAGGTATACATGTAAGGTATAATACAAGTGTACAATGTAAATAAATCTTTTGTTATCAACATAGCAACAATATTAAGGATTTTATCTTTAAATAATGATAGCACATCTCATGAAATCTCATAGAGAATATATTTTTGTATGTCTTTTTGTAGGCTTTTTTTTTATAAAAATTCTGTTACTTATTATATTAGTTGCTTTTAGAATTTCGAAAGATTTGAGTCTATTTAGAAATCACGTGATATTTAATAGTGTTGTTCCTAAATATGTTTCTACTTCATTAGTTCGTAACACTAAACACAAGCAAATAATTTTCAATTTAAACTTCCAGATACTCATCGGTATAACGCTAATGGTGTGGGTGGTGCAGAAAGCACGCAAGGAGTTAACTATCGCGATAATGGCGGCGGAGTTAGGCCGAGACACACTATCGACCAGCAGTTCCTCGAGCTAGCCCACAGCTCGCACGTCGGAGGTCGACAGCGGTAGTGACAGCTAGGGACTGCCCCCCGGGTGCTGCACTCGACAGTGTGAGACTTATGTGTGAAGATAACGGGAGTTTGCCTAATTTATACACCGGATAATTGCTAATATTGTTGTAAATAAAATAATATAATTAATTAAATTCTGGTGTATTGTATGCTGGCAACCCTGCTAATCAGTTTGGGAAATCGAGTGCGGGCTCGGATTTTGCTAGTGCTGTCGATTCGGATGTGAAATTTGTGTGAAAAGACCTTTTATGTTTAAGGTAAGTTCGATAAGATTCACAATTGTACTCGGTAAATGACGCATCTTAATAAAAGCTGCAAACTATGGCCGCTAGTGTTGCCTTATTTAAAGGATTTTCATTTCAACTCAAAACTTCCTTGAATATTTTCAAGATATAATCTAAATCGAATTATTTACGGAAATCAAAAAATCTGGCAACACTAAGGGCGAAGCACTGACGTGCTGGCCAATGTGAGACCTAAATGTAAAGATATAAGGTCCACAATCCTGTGATATTAACGTTACGTTTGTAGAACATATAGACGGATGGAATAGGTACCTACTCTAAAGATTTTATTTTATAAGTAGAACTATAAAATCGGTCAGAACGATGAGTTGTATGAAGATAAAATTTATTTATTCTATACGTATATGTAATGTAATGGTATTAATTTTTTTTTATAATAATTTGGTTAAAATATTATTAAAAAAATATTTTGAGCACTAAAACTAATTGACAGCTTATTTCTAAAATCTTTGTAACAGATAAAAATGGTGCTTATGAAAATGTTATAAAAATCAAGTAGATACATAATTGGATTTGCATAAATTATTTCAAATAGGTGTATTTATTATGTTATCGTTCCGACAGATTTGTAATAATAAATGTGTTGTAAACGATTTATTTCCTGATAACGTGTTGTGATGATGAACTAGAGGAGATTAACAATCAATACATCAATAGAAGAAACCACATATTTTTAAATTATTTTTAAATTTTAATAAATTGTAAAAATCTAAAATAAAAAAAAACGATTTAAAACAAGTTTAAATTGAATTACTTTAGTAATTTTATAATTAATTATTTAAATATTGGAGTCAATAAACTTTAATTCATTAGTTTTGGCGTGTTGAGATCTGTTTTTTTTTTATAGATTATAATTACAAATATGACGATAGGAAATTGTTAGATCATATCCACTGGTTACGTCCGTAACATTTGGGGCTTAATCTATTGACATTTATTATCTATAATAATTATAAATAAACATTTTCTTTATAAATATGTACGTAAATTCCAAATTCTTTTATAATGTAACACTATTGACAAAAAAATATATTTTGTTTCATTTTACTACAAATTTGAGCGGTTTCGTACGATTTCAATCACATCTTGTCACGCAAATTCTGGTACATTGTTATCGGGGACGATGTTTCTTCATGCGACATAAATTTTTGCTTAGTTCAGAGCGACCTTTAAATATCTTGAATCTTGATATAACGTCTTGTGCTACTCGAACGCTCAAACTGTACTCGTACACGCAACCTACTGAGTACTTGATTGTTATAATTAATGAGAGTCGTCATATAAAAGCTCTTATATATTTTTTTATGTAATACAGTTAAGCTTCGTATATTCAGTTTTTTTTATATATGTAATAATCAGGATTTTTGGAAAAAGTAAAATTTTTGAATTTATATTTATACTTTTGGTATATTTGGAAAAAAATATGACAGTAAAATTTTTACGATGCGCGCGCTTCCGACACCTAAAAAGCGACATGATGAAGTTAGCTGCATTCCTTTTACAAACTGAGGGTTGTGACATACGGGATGAAATCTTTAGCTATTTTTGTTCTGTTACGCCAAGGAAGAATGTAAACTTCTTACATGCGTAGGTATAAGTACACACACACACACGTTTTTTTTTATTATTAGTATCCCTCCCCCACCCATATGATATAAAAATTTTGGATTTAAAGGCATTAGTGGAATTTGCTACAGTCAAGTTCTAATTATAAATATGTATAGACTCAACACTTTTGTCATCGCAATCTCTTAATAATGTTATCTGTAAGATTTTTGTTTTACCAAACGTCCGACATAAAACGATAACGTGTCTGGGTCCTGTGACATTACCTTTCGACGCTGAATAAACATGCGTCGTAACTTTCAAGGTGAATATTTTGTTTGACTTTATTGGAATCGGTCCAAAATATTTCTTTGTTGTTCATTAATTCGAGATTATCGTAAAACGCGTTTTCATAGCTTAATAAAATCGCTATTTAAATATATGTACGCATGCTTTTCCATCGTCTGTGCCCGATATAAAGAAATATTGGTCTAAATTTTTTTGTAGCGTGTTCTTTGGAATCGTTTTTGCGCGTGTCATTATTCATGCCTTTCAACATCAATATATCTATTTCATATGTAGATATATATACATATAGTTTATGGTACCGGAAGTACATGAAAAAAATTAAATAAAGTAAAACTAAAGCCAACTATATATATACATTACATGCCTATAGATAGTTTTCCAGTAACTGTACCCAAGTTTCTTATCTAAAATATCAATTGTCAATCAACATCAATCTATATTTGGATGTTATGAAACATGAATTACGTACGTTTTTATTTAAATATATCACACACGTTATCAGCCGTCGCAGATAGTCGCTAGATAAGTAACGATATAGTAGGAAGGTCAGTCTGTAATTTGAGTTTGCTATACTGATAAGTTTATGCCAATATTGTCTTTACAGCTGTCATAGATACTTACATGTTAAGTGTTTCCTGTTCGTATGTTTGTTACACTTCTATTATCTTTTCAGTTATAAGTAAAATAGCAAATTACGCATTGATATACAAAAACTTAAGGTACACAATTTGTCTTGAAAAGTGCACAATTCGAAATTGAATTGCGCTTTTTTCAAAACTCTTTTTTACTTTTCGGATGATAAAATTAAAATGCACGTTCGCAAAGAACTTTCGATTATTGAATTTTATTTCTTGGTTTGACTTAACGTCTAAGTCGGTGCCACTTTTTGAAGAGATGTTTATTAGGAAATGTGTATCTATGTTTTTATATATCAATGAAATTACGTTTTTTTTTTTAATTTTAATGCATTTTTATATGTGTATTGTATAATTTTTATTAATTTATAAACATGACAATCTATGTCTAAAGTGTCATCGTTGTTGGTAATTGACATTTCCGTGTTTATTATTTATTTAGTTACCTATTATTTTTCAATTCATTTCAATTCTTTAGTTTCGTGGCTTCTAAGAGTTCCGTTATTATTTTTGATTGTATAATCATTAAGAGATGTCATTCTGCTTTGTATTTACTTGAAAGGATGTATTACTTGAAAGGAATTTGTTTTGAGCGAAACACCTGCAACAAAGCATCTTTCTAGTATCGTACATTCAAATGTAGATATTTTAGAATATTATGTATTTATGATTGTCCTTCGATCATCGATGTAGATATGTAAACATATTGTGTACGTTGGTGTGTTTATAATAAATAAATATTTTTCAAAAATATATCCACAAATAATGAATATATTACTTTTCGGAAATTGTATGTAGTTATTGATAGTATTAAAATTGTTGCCAAAATGTGTCGTGGTCATGGTCAAAAGAGCTAATAAAGACTGTAAATACTTTAAAATTCACATATTTGTCATTTTTTACGTATCCATATCATAGAAAGATTAAATCCATGTCACTATTAATTTAAAAAAAAAAAGAAATCCACAATTTGTAAAACTGGGACCATACACAATAATTTTGTTCGATTCAAAAGATTTTTTTTTCTCTATTATTAATAGAAAAAAATAATGTCGGACACATAATTAAGTGGATTAGAATTATTATTTTATTTTATAAAATCCAAGTATAAATATTTTTTTATTGCAAAATAAAAACATCATTTCCAAACTCTTTTGACCGTGACTGTACTGTAAAGTCGATACAGTGGAATTATTCATGTAAAATATAAGGTAACGTATGTATGTATGTTTAGTATTTGGCATTTATTGTTAGCTATTAGAGTGTATGGGATAATTTATTTATTTAAATATTATTCTAAAATGGATACATAGAAAATATTAATTTTTGAACCCAATGTAAAATGTATAATGAAAAAATATGCAAAAATACTCGAAAAGCATAAGAAGGAAATCCTAAATACTTTTATAATTAAAAAAAATCTAAAATTACTATTTTTTTCTGCAAACTTTTTAAATGTGAGTTTTGTGTAACCTAAATGTATTTAATAATTATTAATTATTATCAATACAGATATAAACATGTGATCTAGTAGTAAAAAAATATCACTTCAAAGTGAATATTTGTCGCTTATTGTTAAATAGAACTAATAATTTCAAGTGTTACCCGTGTTAAAATATTTTTATTTTTAATGTTTTTTTTTTATCAATTTAAGTCAAAGTTTGAAGTTCTCTGGATTTAGCCAAATTAGCATTCAACAATCACAAGAAAACTTTAAAGTACTTAGAATGACATTTTTTTCAAAGCCTTACATAGCCGAAGATGGCATTCTCGTATTGTATTATTTAGTTTTCAGTTTTCTATATGCAATATGGATTGTAGAAACTTAAATTGGCTAAACGGCTAAATAGGAAACAAATGACGGGCCCTGCATCGAATGTCATGTAAAAAAGTCTACTTTGCTTTTTTTGACGCTAGTGCTGTAACTTATGTGGTATTCGATCTCGAAATAATCCTTTTGTCGTAACGTTACTTTGTTTTTTTTTAAATCTAATTTGTTCTTCCCTTAGACATCTCGAAGACTGATTTTCTATAACATTTTAAAATTTAAAAATACATTGGTTATCTTTACTTTATCAATCTATTTTTAAAGTAGTCAAAATTAATATTGTATTCAAAGTTATATTTAAATGGACTTATATGTAGTGCAATGTCTAAATCTTCAAGTTTTTCAATACCTTTAAGTGTAAAAGAACATGATATTTTGTTATATTGTGCATTATTAAAGAATGTCCTTGTATGATCTAAAAGTGCCGTCGAAATATGTCCTAATAGTTTTTAACTTTATTAATCAAATATTTCAATTTTAATATTCAATTCTAATATAGTACCTAATTTTAATGTCTAAGTCATGCTCTTAACACGATACTTAAAAACGAATCAGTGCCAAATTATTTCCCTTCTCCACTATTCTTTATTGCCATCTGTAAAAATGTATAAATAATGCTTAATATGAAAGTTATTTGGTAATTAATTAATTCTTATGAACTTAGCATTATACTGGATACTGATATTATTATAATATGTAATTGAATTTATATATAATTAAGATGTTATTTTATCGTATATATTTGTTAGTTCATTGATTCACAGTAACTGATAAGGTTAGTAAGTCAAGAAGTGTAGTGATGGCGGTAAAATCGGTGAAAACAGACAAAGGTTATTTATTTAATTAATTATTGATAATTAAATTAGAAAAATATTAAAAAAACGGCAACTATTAACATGACTGAATTTTACTGTTAATATTATCAAGTTATTTGGATTAATGAGTCAATGACCAGTGTCTGTGGCTTAACTTATTCCGCTATTTAAAAATTACAAGTCATGTATGTATTCATCTGTAGCAATATACTCTATGGTATTCATTGTGTAATGTTGTCCAAGTCTTATGTTTTCTTCATAATTTGAAATTATATTCGGACTTTTTCGTATGTTTTTCCGTAATTTAATGTGCATTTGAGTGGATCTGTTACTGTGAAAATATATTATTTGATATTATAATACAAATATTATTTCTTTGTCTTATATAAATGTCATAAAACTTTGTCTAACAAAAATTACTAAATTATTACAATAATTTTGTTATTAATGTGTGATGCTTTAAAAGCTAAAATTATGCTCAGACTCGTAATGTACCTATTAAACTATTTTTATATTAACCTAGTGTCTATTATAATTGTGCATTTATTGAAAACGAATTTATTTTGTGTTGTTTGAATACATATATCCTATTGTTATATTTATGACTTCACATTCTGTCAGTTATGAAAAATAAACAAGCCTTATGAAACATTTACCATTTGGTTTTATTTCTTCTTAGAATTTTTGAAAAACTATAAATTATTGCTTTTTACAACATCCTAAATTGTATCATTTCACAACATCGATCAAAAAATTACTAGATACACAATCAGCTACAAAAAATGTTCTCACCGAATGAGTGCGCATTTCATTATTTGAGCGCGCTTTTAATTTAAAACTTTTTTGTGAACACAACTTTAAGCATTGCATTTAAAGTCCAATTGACATTGTTGTATATTTATTTCAACTAGAATAATTACCTAAACACAATCGGTGACAGTTTTAAGAGAACTTATGCATGAGATTGTGTATCTAGACTAGTACTTTTTTGATCCATATTGCACAATTTTTTTTGCTAATGTTACCTATAAGTGAATATGTTATATAAAGATGAATATTAAAAATGATAATAACTTATATACTTGGCTTAACCTGGGACTCGAACCTAAGACCTCAGGATTTTCTGTCGTAGGTACGTGCTAGCCACTAGGCATAAAGCAATGAATAACTGGTGGCTTGCGTTATAAATCTTATTTTTATTAATAAATGTTGCTACCAGAACCAGATTACAGTTCGGTTGGCCAGTAAGAAAGATACTTATGAACTCACTAGATGTGCTTTTAAATATTTCATTATAATGCACATTATTATTTATAACATTAGAGAATCTTAGGATTAAGGAAGAAAGAATTAGAAAGAAGGAATTAGGATAAAATATTTTTTTAATAATTATTATTAACTAGCAGAACCCGCGGCTTCGCTCGCGCTAAAACTACAAAAAAAAAGGTCTAAAAAGGTAGTTTTTATACAAACTTTCATCCCATATGGGATGAATTTCGAAAAATGCTAAAGCAAATATTTCTTTAATTGTATTGAAGAGAATTAATACCAAGTTTCAAGTAATTCTGATCATAAATATTTTTTTGGGTTTTATTATAATTTATAACGTGTGTTTCCGTGGGAATGAGATAATCTCCCGCGGTAAAAAGTAGCCTATGTCACTCTCCAGCCCTCCAACTATCTCCACACAAAAAATCACGCCATTCCGTCAATCTGTTTTGACGTGAAAGAAGGACAAACAAACACACTTTCACATTTATAATAATAATATGGCTATATTAGTCTATACACGTCACCTATAAAAATGTATATAAATACAACAATTATTTGAATTTATGTTTAAATAGGTGTATATAAATAATAGTATAGCATATTAAGCAATAATTATTTATTGCTTAATATGTTAATATTTTGTTGCACATTATTGCCATACTGCTTTATTTCATAACATAATATTTTGATACTCGATTCTCGAACGCATTTACAAACTGTCATTTTCATTATCATGGCGGAGGACGAAGACGGTGTTTCGGATAAAAAATCACCTCAAAATTTAAATAATGCTGGAAATTCGCAAGAAAACCAACAAAGTACGAACAAGCCTGACTTAGGAATTGAAGAAGCTAAATATGACATTAAAGAAAATGGAGAAACCGAGCCTGAAGAGCCAATAAGCTCGTCGTCCAGTGAGTGTTTTGCGAAGTTGTTTTTTGTTCCCTAAATTAGAGACATTTCCTTATGTTTTATTTGTACTTTTTACAGAATCAACTGGTGCAATGCGGAAGGAAGAAAACCCTTTCTCATTTCGGCATTTTTTGAAGCGAGATTTGTCTCTACCAGGCAATTCAACATACGAAAACACCGGAGCTAGACCAAAAGTTTATGCGAATACTGTGCAGCATTCTCCTACAAAATTAGATATCCACCCTGATTCGAGACGGGACAAAAATCGCCCAAGTGATATTCAAGCCAAAGAAAAACAAAGTGATGGTGTTAGCCTCCGTAATAGTGACGATACATCTTCAAGTAGTTCAGTAGAGATTCCTTTTAGTGTAGTAGATAATTCTGACTCTAAGCATAACCTGTATGCAGATAGTTCTGAAGGGCCTTTTTTCCACAGACCAAATTTAGCATCTGAACCTTTAGGAATGCCATCATTGCCCGACTTCGTTCAGGATCATATATTAGTGGAACAAGCTTATTTAAATTCAAATGGGCCAATATCAGTCGATTTAGACAATCTGCCCGATTTTACATTTAATACAAATTATAATGCTGCTTCATCTTCTTTGGGAAGAAGAAATCAAAGTGGCTATGGAAATAATAGAGGATATGATTATGAATCTTATATGGGGGCAGCATCCACATCAAACTCAGGTCCATCAAGTCGAAGTATTCCCTTGGATTTACCTACTGGTGCAGAAGCAGCTGGACCAGTTCCTCTTGATCTTCCAGTTCATCTCAGCTTGGATCTCACTGAATCAGTAAACTCTGCTGATCGTAGAAATGTATCTCCTAGAAATAACTTCCCTTTGGATCTTCCTCCTAATGCTGGTAAGATTTTTATCTCATCAATTAAATTAATTTTGGATGACAATTTAATTAGAATAATGATAGCAGTACATTAGAAGCCTTACACTGTTGTTGAAACTTTCAAATACGATATTGTCCCTAATTAATTAGTCCTGACTCATCATGATGGTGTGTAATAAAGGTTCATAGCACTTTATTGTTTGTTTGTCACTCACACACTCAATAGACTGTTAAAGTTAAAGATGACAATATGAATTAACATAAGTGGCTAGGCTAATTATTTACACCTTTTTATTATTGTTGTGATACTATAATGACATCTGTTGCTTATAAAGTAATATTTTAATAAATTATTACTTTCAGGATCATTCAAATAAAACATCACAAACATGCTATAATAGCTATATTTACTTAGCTTTATTTTCTAGTTCAGATTAGTTCAAATGCTATATATATAGAAATCAAAACAAACAATTTTAAATTACAGTAGTACGTTTCTATACATTTTAAATATACATCAGTGAAAACATTAAATTACATAGAACTATAAAACAATGAATTTTACATCCCAAACATGCTTTAAACAATTTTATCTCAAGAATACACAACATTTATTATTGTATTGATTAATAACTAAATGCAATGTTTACAAAGTAATGACTAATTAGTGCTACATTTTTAGAAATATATGACAGTACAAAGCACCAAGAAAAAGTGATGGCCGTATCAATATTTTATGCTGTTGTATACAAAGTAAACAAAAATGATTTATAATTTTGTCTTGGTCAAGCAGTTGTTGTTTATTTAATTGAGGGATAAGAGAAATAATAGAAAAAGGTACAAATAGATTTTATATACCCTGTACTCTTGTATTTAAGGTGCAGAATCAATGCGGCTACCAGATTTTCTACCAGTACATCCAGGTCGAACTTCACCGGAACCTGAGCATCAAGATGAACAGCTACAACAAATCATATCTGAGTTAGAACGAACCAGGTAACCAATGAAATACCTAAGTATTGCCTGCAAATTTGCATACTTTTATTATTCTTATATCACTCTACCCAAAACAAATTATACATCATTGGAAGTCATATTGAGATTGTATAATATAATTTTAATGATTGCTTAAAATAAACATATTCTATACTAGCAGCTCACCCTCGCTTCGATCGGGTTCGCCTCTAGACAAAAAAAACAAATCTATCCCATGGGAACCATAACCATACATTTTTCCGTGATAAAAAGTAACCTATTTTTTATTCTGATGTATGAACTATATTAACGTAAAGTTTCATTAAAATTCAATCAATAGTTTTTGTGTACTAAACTGTATAAGTTACTATATTTTTAACTATCCCACGGGAGCTCTTTAATTTTCCGGAATGAAAAGTATCTAAAGTGTTGACCGGGGTCATAAGGTACCACTATGCACAATTTGATTGAAATCAGCCTGTACAAACAGACAAGCAGAGCAACAAAAAAAAAATGAAAAAAAAACTGGATTTGTTCTATTTCTCTTCTTACATCCCCCTGACTTGGTTTCTAGCATTTTTTTTTCTATGTACAGACATTCAACCTCGACAGATTTATTATATGTATAGATTATGGTAGCAACAAACATACTATTTTAACAAATACAGATATTAGATACTGGCTAATTTTGATTGTTTTAGATCATATTAACTGGTTTATTATGAAATTATAATATGTATATATTTTCAAATCTACATAAATGTAGTACATTATGAATATATTTAATTCCAGAGCAGAACTATTCGCGGAGCGTAACCGGCGCTCGCGGGCCGAAGAGGATGCGAGTGCGGCACGCGACGCGGCGGCGCTGTTGCGCGCGGAACTCAGCGCGACGCGCGCCCGGCTGCACGCGCGGCGTGACGCGGACTGCGGGACTGACGCTGCGGTAATTTAAACTACTTTTTTTTTATTCAGTGTTTTGGCAATTGTCTCCAAAAAAAAAATTGATAATGACTCGCACTTGGCCGGCTTTTTTGTTTTTTCTGTTGGGTAAAGGTCCCTTCTACAGTGCCACTGGGCTCAAATTCAATTTAATTAATATACACACACTACCATAGTCATTTTTAATTGTTACTTCTTCTTTGTTGTTAGTTAATTCTTTATTGTACACCAGTTTAAGTGATTTAGTCAAAAGAAAATATATGTACAGATATCGCAAAAAGTATATAATCACCCTTTAGCGCTGAAAGAGTCTGTTTGATATCTCGATTGGTTTAGTTTGGCAATGCACTGCACAATGATCAAAATTATCAAAAATAAATACTTAGCTTTTTTTTATAGAAAAGCTCAATTTCGTTTATAGCTATTTTGAGTGATATGCAGTTTTATTTAACTTTACCAAATAGATCCAAAGATTTAAAGATACAAGTGATACAGGCTATTAGTAAAAGAAAATTAAGTTTTAAATCAACTTGGATTAAATCGTTTGAATGAATTAATGAATTATCTCTTTTGTTTGTATTTTATTTTTTGTTTTAAATATTACTTTGGCATCTCAAGCAATGGTTTTTTCTGGAGGGATTTGGCGCTACTAGCTGAACTACAGGTTTCCTAGTTCAGCTACAGATGATTCATTCACTTAACGCTATTAGGTGAATGAAATGTTTATTTGGCTTAAATTATTTTGTAAAAACTTGTAAAAAAATTTTGCATAATAAATTTATGATTATAATCATTAATTTATTACTGACTAAAACATAGAATATTTGAAATTTATATGTCATATAAAAAAATATTTTGTTACAGGCGCGATCTTCTGAATCTGACACATCTGTAGCTAAATTAAAGAGTGAAATTAAAAGACTAAAGGTACGTAAAAAAGTTAGATACATTTTATAGATACTTACTGTAAGATTGAATTAACAGTAATTATTAAGTTGATTGTAGTAGGTTCGATTTATGTATGAGAATTATTAGGAATTAAATAAATAAATAAATATATATGAAAGTCTGTGAGGATGTTTGTAGGGTAGGCTACTCTTTCACGGAAAAACAACTTAACGAATTTTGATGAAATTACAGTACAGTATAGCTTATACATTAGAGAAACACATAGGCTATAATTCACAAGGATATTTAGCTGTCCTGAGTCGTGACGAGAGAACACGAATAAAAGTCTTATTGTCGTCACTTAATAAATTATTATATTGAAATAATTTAACACTCACGTAATAATGTACAGAAGAAGAAAGTTTAGGAATATACACAGTAACATACAAGTTGTAACAATATACAAGCACAAACACAAGAAGTCCACATACATTAATTAGCGCAAACGATAGAATTTTACAAAGTAAGTGGTAAGTGTCAGCTGGCAAGGCATCTACTAACTGTTATAAGTAATATTATAATATGAATGATGAAAACATAAAAAGTGGCCGGTAGGAGACAAATAAATTAATACTGCAGGTTTCGCGCGGCTATGCTTGTCAATTATAATATATATGAATAAATGTGATTATTAAATATAAATAATTAAATACATATACGTGCTAACGTGCTCCTAGCTAACGACCTTCAAATACTTAATAAAGGCTGTAATCCAACCTTCGCTACTAGAGCTAGGCAGGAAGTTCTGGATATCACTTTTGCTACTGAACAAATCGCTAAACACATAAGTAAATGGCATGTCAGTAATGAAAACTCTTTGTCCGATCACAAACATATTGTCTTTAGCATACAAGGCTCAATAACTACTGAGCCTAAAAGGCTTAGAAATCCCAAAGCCACCTCGTGGGTAGATTTTAAAAACCTGCTCGCTGAGGCAGCTAAGGATTTTCCAAAATCAATCAAGACACCCGACTCCCTTAACATTTTAAACAACTTATTAACGGATGGCATCTTAAATGCCTATGAAAATAGCTGTCCTGTCAGGGAACTTAAGGTTAACAACAATACTCCGTGGTGGAACAAAAAGCTAGAACGACTTAGAGTTTCCACACGTCGCTTATTTAATCAGGCCACTACACCGTATGGGTGGGAACGGTATAAGAAGGCTCTGACTAAATACCACAAAGAGATCAGAAAAGCTAAAAGAGCATCTTGGAAACGATTCTGTGAGAATATCGCCCAAACACATAAAGGAGCGAGAATCCACAAGGTCCTTGCCAAGACACCAAACATCTTTCTCGGCTTTTTAAAAAAGCGAGACAATTCCTTCACGACCACAGAGATGGAGACGCTGGAACTTTTAAGAGCAACCCATTTCCCAGGATCGTACCCTGTCACCGGCAGTGAATCAAACCCAAAGGAAAACTACATCCACAGGGCAAATAGTTGCGACTGGAAGATGGCCAATACCATTTTTAGGCCTAACCAGATTAGATGGGCTTTGAAAAAATTCAAACCATTTAAATCAGCAGGGGAAGACGGAATTTTTCCAGCTCTGCTTCAACAGGGCATGGAACTCCTTATCCCGCATCTGGTAAAATTATTTAGAGCAAGCTTTGCTTTGGGCATTATACCAGAACAATGGACTAAGGTCAAGGTTATCTTTATACCGAAGATCGGTAAAAACGACTACTCTCAGCCCAAATCCTTTAGACCTATTAGTCTTACTTCTTTCCTATTAAAAACAATGGAAAAAGTAATCGATCAGCACATTAGAACAAGGTATCTTGTGGCTAGACCACTTTCCTGCAACCAACATGCTTACCAAAAGGGTAAATCCACAGAATCTGCCTTAGTAGCTCTGATCGACAAGGCAGAAAGGTCCCTAGAGGATAAGCAGACAGCTCTATGTGCATTTTTGGACATTGAGGGGGCCTTTGATAACACACCTACGGCAACCATCCTGAAAGGATTAAATGCAAAAGGTGTTGATATCACAACCACCAGATGGGTGGAATATATGCTCTCCAACCGGTGTGCGAAAGTTACGTTAAACGAACACTCGCACAACTTCTACACTACAAGAGGCTGTCCGCAAGGAGGAGTGCTTTCACCCCTATTATGGACACTAGCTGTAGACCTACTACTTGTAATCATGGCAGATCTCGACTACGATACACAGGGCTATGCAGATGACCTTGTTGTAGTAGTAAGAGGTCCCTGCCTGAACACAATTTCCACCAGGTTACAAGGAGCTCTCAATACCATCACAAGATGGTGCAGAGAAAATGAGTTATCAATAAACGCTGATAAAACAGTTATTGTACCATTTACCAGGAAAAGGAAGCTTGAAAGGCTGACCGAACTCAGACTCAATGGCAAAACCCTTAACCTATCAAATGAGGTAAAGTACCTTGGAGTCACTATTGATCAAAAGTTGACCTGGAACTCTCACCTCAACAACATTATACAAAAAGCCAAAATGGCCCTCTGGATATGTTGTCGAATGGCTGGAGCCAAGTGGGGCCTCAAGCCCAAAATGGCTCTCTGGATGTACACCGCCGTGGTAAGGCCGATCATAACATACGCCTCAGTCGTATGGTGTAACAAAACCAAACAAAAGACAACTATGAGTAAACTAGACAGCATACAACGGATGGCATGTCTAATCATCACGGGAGCCTTCCACTCGGCACCAGGCGACGCTTTAAATGCATTGTTGGACATAGCTCCGCTATATCTCCACGTGCAAAAAGAAGCTAAATCTTGCCTCTACAGGCTCTGTACACAATCGAATGTAAAGTTGCAATCGCAATATATGAACAAACTCAAGGAGTTGACATTCGAACACAAAACTCTGAAAATGCCAGTCGATGGCATGAGTACAGAGTTTAACTTCGCAAAACAGTACCAAATAGATCTTCCCAACCGGGACATGTGGCTAAAAAACCAAGAGTCTCACAAAAAGGGCAGTCATGTTTGGTTTACAGATGGATCCAAGAAAGGATCTGATGTAGGGTGCGGCATCTATGGCCTTAAGCCTAGATTTGACATGAGTGTCAATCTGGGCAAGGAGGCCACCATCTTCCAAGCCGAGGTCTTCGCCATCAACAAATGTGCTGAAGTCATCCTGGAGAGGAAGCTTAGAAACCAAAATATCTACATCAACTCAGATAGCCAAGCAGCACTTCTGGCTATAGATTCTCTTGAGACCAACTCTAAGTTGGTCAAAGACTGTATGGATAATCTGAATGTCCTGGGCACATCCAACAGAGTTACCCTCAGATGGGTCCCGGGTCACTCAGGCATAGATGGGAATGAAAAGGCTGATGCATTGGCAAGAAGGGGCGCTGAAACCCCAGATTGTGGCCCAGAACCATTCTGTGGCATTGCAAAACAACATGCCTATTCAATTCTCAAAATTCACTGCAATCGCCAAGCACTTCAAGAGTGGCAATCCACTTCTGGACAAATACACTCTAAAGCGCTAATTAAGGGATATCGCAAAAAGTTTACAAAAGAGTTGCTTCAACTCAACAAGTATAAAACCAGTGCAGTAACCAGAATACTTACTGGTCACTGCAAACTCAATAAACATATGTTTACCCTCGGCCTCAGTCAGACCGCAATGTGCAGACTATGCCATGAGACAGAGGAAACTGCTATGCATATCCTCTGCTCGTGCGGTCCACTCATGCACCGCAGAAGTATCTATCTAGGGCAGCATATTATGCAACCGGAAGAGATACAGATGCTCCCCGCTCAGAAAATCTGGAAGTTCCTGGAGTCAACAGGACTAAGCGGAGAACTTTGAACTCACTATAAAGGGAGCTACAATGGACCAAAACTGGTCGACGTAGCTAGGGCCGACCTCGGCACCACACCCAACATTAATAATAATAATAATATACGTGTTGTATGTATGTAGGTGAATGTGTATATGATGTTTAAACGTAAATTAAATATTAAATAAAATATTAATATTATAAAATGTGTAGTTAAATATATAAATACAATAGATTAAATATATTAAATATGTAAGTCACCTACATCACTCCCCTCCAGAGACCGTCACGGGCGATAAAAATCAGGGAATCGGACTGTTCGTTTGACGACATCCTGAGGTGGGCCACTCTGCGCTGTAGGGGCAGGATAAGAAATGGGACCGGGATGGGATTTGGGTGTGGGAGTGGGGGTGGTTTCGGGAGTTGGGTTAGCGAGTATATAGGCTGGTTTAAGACGGTCTATGGATACTCTAACACTATTCCCTTTGACCTGTATTTTGAAGGTCTTTTCTCCTCTTTCAATAACTTGATAAGGGCCAGTGTAAGGTGGTTGTAAAGCACCACGTAATGAGTCGTCCCTTAAGAATACATGGCTAGATGTAGCCAAATCTTTGTAAACAAAGATTTTATTTTTATTGTGACGTGCAGCTGGTGTCGGTTGGAGTTTGGCTGCGAATTGGTGTAGGCGGGTGGTGAAGTCCGATATATCGGTCGAATCTGGGGCTGAGGCTTGAAAGAATTCTCCTGGCAACCGGAGCGGCTCTCCATACACCAATTCAGCAGATGATGATTTAAGGTCATCTTTGAAAGCGCTCCTAATACCTAATAGCACTAAAGGTAGTGTGTCCACCCAATTGCTATCAGCGTGGCACATTATGGCTGCCTTTAGTTGGCGGTGAAACCGTTCAACTAACCCGTTACAGGCTGGGTGGTACGCGGTTGTTCTGCGGTGTTTGAATCCAACCATTTTTCCTAAGTACTGGAAAAGTGTAGATTCGAACTGCCGACCGCGATCTGTAACGATATCGGTTGGACATCCAAATCTGGATATCCACGATATCAGAGCCTTCCCGACTGTTTCGGCTGTCATGTCCACCATGGGGGTGACCTCTGGCCAGCGGGTAAAACGGTCAATCGCCGTGAGGCAGTAGCGATAGCCTTGTGAATAAGGCAGTGGGCCGATAATGTCCACGTGAATAAAGGCGAATCGAGTGCGCGGTAAATCGAAAGTGCCCAGCGGAGATGACACATGGCGATTTACCTTGGCACGTTGACATGCCAAACATTGGCGGGACCACTCTCGACAGTCTTTGCGTACTCCAGGCCAGACAAAACGATCGGCAACTAATTTTGCTGTTGCATTCGCGCCTGGGTGGCTAAGACCATGCAAACTGTCGAAGAGCTGTTTCCTTAAATGTTTCGTGACAAAAGGTCTAGGAGTGGGGGTACTGACGTCACAATGAAGCTCTGCGCTAGAGTTAGGTATGCTCAACTTCTTTAAGCGGAGTGAAGATTCTTCTCGCAGAAGCTGAGCCAACTCTGTGTCAGATGTTTGTGATGCAGCCAGCGCCTCTAAGTCGATCGATATTTGCAGCTCCTCGACGCGAGACAGTGGATAAGCGACAACATTGTCCTTCCCTGCAATGTGCCTAATGTCGGTCGTGAACTGAGATATGTAATCGAGGTGGCGGTGCTGCCGAGGAGAACAGTTAGCTTTACGTTCACTGAAAGCGTAACTGAGCGGCTTGTGGTCAGTGTAAACCACGAAATGTCTAGCCTCAAGCATATGACGAAAGTATTTGATGCTCTCGTATATGGCTAGGAGCTCGCGGTCGTACGGTGAGTACTTCTGCTGAGCGGGACTTAGCTTACGCGAGAAGAATGCCAGAGGCTCCCAAGCATCGTTTTTAAACTGCTGTAAAACAGCACCCATCGCCAGGTCGGACGCATCTGTGACAAGCGCGAGGTCGGCCTGACAATCCGGGTGTGCCAGTAAAGCAGCATTTGCGAGGCTTTCCTTGCACCTGGTGAAGGCCAACATAGTGTCACCTGAAATCGTGACTGGGTGTGAGGCCTTAACGTTGCCAGTGAGTAAGGCATTCAAAGGTGCTTGGATGGCGGCAGAGTTGGGTAGGAATCGCCTATAAAAGTTGAGCATTCCTAAGAATCTCCTAAGTTCCCTAACTGTCTTAGGCACTGGGTACTCTGTAATGGCCTGGACCTTGGACTCTAGAGGCTTGGTGCCGGATGCTGAGATTCTGTAACCTAAAAATGTTACTTCTGATGCACCGAAGACACATTTAGAGGTGTTGACGAGGACGTTATACTCCTTCATGCGGCCGAAGAGCTGATGAAGGTGAGCTTTATGTTCGGCTTCGTCCTTGAAAAACACGAGGAAATCATCAAGGTAGCAATAGCAGAAGTCGAGTCCTCTCGTCATCTCATCAACGAACCTCTGGAATGTTTGACCAGCGTTTCTCAATCCGAAAGTCATGTACGGAAACTCGTACAAGCCAAAGGGAGTAGTGATGGCGGTTTTTGCGATGTCATCCCCATGGACTGGAATCTGATTATAGGCTTTCATGAGATCAATAGTAGAAAAGACAGTACAACCAGAAATTGAATGGGAGAAGTCGTGGATATGCCTAATAGGGTAGCGGTCTGGGATAGTCCGTGAATTAAGCAGTCGATAATCACCACAAGGTCGCCAGCTGTTATCATTCTTAGGCGCGAGGTGTAAAGGAGAAGACCAGGGGCTCTCAGAAGGACGGGCTGTACCATTTTTGAGCATAAGCTCAAACTCTTGCTTTGCAATCTTAAGTTTGTCGGGTGCTAGTCTACGTGGAGTACATGATGTAGGAGGTCCAGGTGTAGTCCTTATGTGATGTACTGTATTGTGTGTTGGTATAACTGGTGTGCCTGATGGGCGAGTAATTTCAGGGTACTTACTTAGTATCTCGTGAAATACCGTGTCGCCTGTAAATATTTTAACAGAAAATACATCAGCATTAGCAATTACAGCATTAGATGACAATGTAGTAGTATTATCTAGTAGGCGCTGATTGCGACAGTCAACAATTAAATTATAATAACTAAGAAAGTCAACGCCTATTATCGGTTTCGTTACATTAGCTACTATAAATCTCCAAGAAAAACTACGCCTTAAGCCTAAATTTAGATTAAGTTCTATAAACCCAAACGTTTCAATTACCGAACCATTAGCTGCGGTGAGTTCGAAGTCCGCCCTGGCACGGCGTTCACGAAGCGCAGAATGAGGGTACACACATAGGTCACTGCCAGTGTCTACCAGGAACTGCATATTTGAAGTGCGGTCGGTGATGAAGAGGCGACCCGAAGAACTCCTGCAATCATTGGTCGCCATCACTGATTGCTCGGGGCATTTCCCGACTTGAAGTCGCAGGGCTGGATGCAGCTTCTTGCCTTAGAACCAAATTTACTATGGTACCAACAAGTTGGGTACCGTCGGTGACTGGAAGCGGACCGTCTTGATCCAGACCGGCTTCGGTAACGTCTATGACCGTGTGGTCTATCGTGTGGTCGAGACCTCCGGTTGACCTTGGCGGTGAGTGCACTAACTTGTTTCGCTAGCTCTGCGACTTGTTGTGATAGTAAGTCCATTCCCGGGGATGACGTGGCGGCTACCTGGTGGGTTGGAGCTGCTATATCCTGTATTCTATCGGCGAGCTCTGCCAACGCGTCCAAGGGCAGAGTTGGCTGTGAGGCAATGATGGGCTGCATTTCCACTGGTAAGCGGCTGGTCCATATAGTTTGTACAAATTCTGCTGGTATGTTAGGTCCAGCCAGGTGCTGCAGGTGCCGCAGAAATTGTGACGGCTTTCGATTTCCAAGCTGTTCGTGCATTAGCAATTGCTTCACTTTATTCTCGCGCGATACCGACAAACGTTTTATCAGCTCTGATTTAAGGCGATTGTAATCGGGTGGGCCAGTGATGACGTCTTCCACTTCGGTGGCATATTGTCTGTCCAACGTTGACAGTACGTGGTAAAATTTGGTGGCATCGTCAGTAATTCCATACAATCTAAACTGACCTTCGATTTGCGCAAACCAGATGGCAGGTTTTTCTGGCCAAAAGGGTTGTGTCCTGATCTGGGGCGGCAACTGTTGTGGAGAAGCGCATTTCACGGGCGTCGCCATCTTCGTACGCGGTCTTGTGGTAACGTGCGATGTTGCTGAGTCACTTCCACTACTCATCCTCTTCAGCGTGTACTATAGGGGTCACCAGTTTAGCTGTCCTGAGTCGTGACGAGAGAACACGAATAAAAGTCTTATTGTCGTCACTTAATAAATTATTATATTGAAATAATTTAACACTCACGTAATAATGTACAGAAGAAGAAAGTTTAGGAATATACACAGTAACATACAAGTTGTAACAATATACAAGCACAAACACAAGAAGTCCACATACATTAATTAGCGCAAACGATAGAATTTTACAAAGTAAGTGGTAAGTGTCAGCTGGCAAGGCATCTACTAACTGTTATAAGTAATATTATAATATGAATGATGAAAACATAAAAAGTGGCCGGTAGGAGACAAATAAATTAATACTGCAGGTTTCGCGCGGCTATGCTTGTCAATTATAATATATATGAATAAATGTGATTAGTAAATATAAATAATTAAATACATATACGTGTTGTATGTATGTAGGTGAATGTGTATATGATGTTTAAACGTAAATTAAATATTAAATAAAATATTAATATTATAAAATGTGTAGTTAAATATATAAATACAATAGATTAAATATATTAAATATGTAAGTCACCTACAGATATATTATTATAATACGGACGGAGCCGAGAGAAAACATTAGTAAAGTGATTATTTTTTTATATTTATGTATTAACTAGCATTGCCCGCGGCTCCGCCTGCGTTCAGATGACCAAAAACCAAATTCTTAGATTTTACATATTAGTATACTCTTACATTGCAGTTTTTGTATTTTTTCTTAGAAATGAGATATTTTCCCGCGGTAAAAAGTATCCTATATGTTGACCCAGATAACCAGCTATCACCATACCAAATTTCATTAAAATCCCTCCAGTGGTTTTTCTGTGATGCGGTAACAGACAGACAGACAAAAATTCTAAAAACTATAGATTCGGCCTCTGTATCGATAATAATGTTTATTTCACTAAGATTTTATGTACAGATTCGGCTTGGTTACAATTTTATTATATGTATAAACATAGTAGATATTATTCACGTGGGGGTGGTATTCGTTGTACTCGTAATGGTGACGAATTTCCATACATTTGTATAAAATTATAAAAGTATAATAATAAAGCCGGTGATAGCCTAGTGGTGACGCTCTCGCTTGAGAAACCAGGTGAAACGAGTACAAATTTCGGGTTTTGCATCACTGATATTTTCATTTGCGAATCATTTCCAACATGTTACATGATTATCATTTGTCTTACGGTGAAGAAAAACATCGTGAGTAAATTTTCATGTTCGGGAGAACCTAACAAGTTTTCGTAAGGCCCGCATTTGCCAGCGTGGTGGACTATGGCCTGATCCCCCTCGTATTGAAGGGTGACCCACCCCCAGCACTGGGACGTTAAAAAAAAGGCTAAATATACATACATAATAATAATTGTACAATGTAATTGATGTCGTATTGATTGTGCGTGATGGTGTGGTCGTGCAGGAGGAGGCGTGCGCGGCGCAGGAGGAGGCGCGCGCGCTGCGGGCGGGCCGCGCCGCCGCCGCCGCCGCCGACCTGCGCCGCGCCACCGCGCTCGCCGACACCTCGCTGCGGTATGTGCACACACACACATACACACACGCACATACGTGTATTAAGCACCCGCACACACATCATTCAGTGCATACACATACACACATATACCATACAAATACATCAGCATTTTTTTTACTAAGTTTAAAAGTTATTATAACTATATAAGTTATTATACATTATATTTAACATATTACATGTAACATATTATTCAGTATTATTTTTTACTTCCTATGTAATGTATTCTATCTCACTCTCTCGCTGGCTTAATCCCATATATTTATGTATTTATCTCTCTGTCATGACGCATTTCCGTTTCATCGAGTTTCAAATCACAACGATTCTAAAGAAGTTTTACTTCAATAACATGCGTGTGTTTTCGCAAAAAAATGTGTCACTACATTTATATTAATGAAACCATTAAACTCATACATGTAGTACGACACAAATCATTCACTTTCAATCTATAATCAATGACATCCGTTAGTGATAGTAAAATGACAGTGGAACACATAAACAAACGGATTACAAAGGCATGATGAGGTAGAGGCGTGGTGCCTTTATTGAAATTTTATAAAAAAAAATATAATTAGTTTATGGATTATCACTAACCCCTTAAGAATGTTCTTATAATATATACAATGAGTAATGAGACAATGAAATAATTCTGCTTTAAGTTTTTAATGTCAATTGCATAGATGTATTTTAAATCATTTCAAGAATAAATGTACTAAAAAAATATATTTCAAGTTACGCTTTATATCGTTGCATGTTTTTATGGATATGTTGAAAAATATAATGAATATTCTATTTAACTGTCCAAATAGGTTAATTTCTCTCTCTCTCTTTCTCTCTGTCTTGTTATCTCTTTCTGTTAAGTTATTTTATAGGATTTTTTTCTTTCTCCAGAGAGCTCCTGGCGGGTCTAGACCGGTTAAGGTCGCTGAGCTCGACCCTCGACCCGACCTGAGGCCGTCCCTGCACTCACTCCATATAACAGCTATTTATAAGATTATTTATTAAATATCTTCATTAAATACGCTTTTATTTAATTATTCATTCGGCTGTAAAATAAATCATTCACGAATCTCCCATTTTCTTTGTGCAGCTATCATGTTTTTTTTTTCGTTTGTGTGCATAATCTTTTAGTTATTAATTGCAGTACAATTTTTTTTCTGTTAATAAATATAAAATAGTTGCCTATTTTACAGTCCCGCGGGATAACTTTGACCCACTTGTAAATTAGCATTTTATTAGGAAAATTAGGGTTGTACTTTTGACTTTTTTTTAAATCATGTCTTTTTTTTATTCTTTTTGGGAGAAGGTTACATTCTAAGTTTGAAGTTATCCCGAATGATGATTGAAGTGAATTGATGTATATTTGATGTATCGATTTTTTCGTTTCTCGATACATTATGTGCTCGAAACTAAATCACGAAATTTATCACCATAGTTATATTGTTATTTATAAACAAAGGCTTCAACAAATTTCAACAAATTAAGTCCCGGTGGTGTAAAAGTGTTTGAGGACATTTTATAATGTGAGGTATAACTAAAAGCCACAAAACAAAGAATTGAATCGAAACTATAACGCAGTAAGAATTATAAGAACTATCTAGAAATTATTATATTTAAAAAAAAATACTTTGTTTTTACGTTACACATCCACTTTATATTATCATCGATATTTATATATTTTCATATATAATGTAGTTCTCACACATTTAATTTAGCCATCATATCTCCGCAATTTTTATTATAATCGATTAAATAAATAGCTCGTATTTCCGATCACGTGACCTCTGATGTTGTTCTTATTTGATATTAACTTACTTCCTTTGGATGGGACGAAATGCGGTGTGAAAGTTATGAAAATAATATAAGAAACCGGACAAGTGTGATTTGGACCGCAAACGAAGTAAGGGAATGTACTAATCATTTTTTTTAATTTGCATGGTAATTTGCATCTTGGTTTTTTTATTATTTGTTGTTACAGCGACAATAGAAATACACACTCTGTGAAAATTTCAATTCTACCTATTACGGTTTATGAGATACAGCTCTCTGACAGACTGACGGACGGACAGCGGAGGCTTAGTGATAGGGTCCCGTTGACATCCTCCCGGTATGAAACCCTAAAAAGTAAATGGCTTAAGTAACTGTCTTAACGATCGATATTATATTTCATACTCCTATATTACTAGAGCCTGAAAGAAGAGTAAGTGAGACAGCATACGACAATTTCTATCTCTTTTTGATGTGAAACATCTATTGGCGCGTCTTGGCAGTAAAATCGACTCGTATGCCGTGACGGCAAACGGCGTGACGCTGTCGTGCCATCATGCCCCTTGTGTGCGCGCGCGTATACTATACAGTTTGTTGCTTCTATTTGTGTGCATAATGTTTCTTTATTTTACTCCATATTTCGTTTTAGGTTTTTATTAAATATGAATTCTAAAATTAAAATAGATGTTTCACATCTGACGACGAGTTACGGCCAACTTTTTTTTACTACTCTTTCTATTGTACCTACTAGTTTGACTCGACTCAAGTAGATAAATTGGCGTGGGTTTTAAATCTAGGAAAAATTGTACAAATTGGTGTTATTGCGAGGTAAATTTAATTGTTTATTTTTATATATAGACATGTATCTCATTTTAAAATGTAATTTTGGTGTTTGTGTTTTTTTCGGAAATTCTGGAATGTATGGGGTGTACAATCTTTTATATATAATATGTTTTTAATCGAGTTTTTTATAAATCGATAGTAATCGGCTTTATTAAAGATACAGTTGATATATTTTTTATTGGAATTATTACTGTTTAATCGATTGAAAGTGAAGCGCTTTAGGCTAATAGTGGTTAAATTAATCGCTCTTTATTTTATTGGATCAAATTATTATCACTTTTTACGCTTAAGTCTTGTTGTAATCTTGATTTATCCTAAATATTTTTCTTTTTTTTTTAATTTTCAATGTCCATTACAAGGGTTCAAACATTTTTTATGGCCTTTTTTTCTTATTTTTCTATTCATACATTATATATGAATGATATTTAGTCAACCAACAGTTACTAATTTAGTTTGACCTTAACCTAATATTAAGAGGTATCCTAACATTAAGGGTGGGTTAAAGTATAAACTATATCTATAAGTAATAAAAAAAAAATTGCACTTTCCTACCATAAAGGTAAATTTTACAATTATCACTGTCTTCATGCTGTTATTTTTATGCTTTCATAGAAATTACTCTGGTTATATTGATTTTTTTTAATTTCAAATCGACTAGTACGGATTGGTTTCACTTTTACTGCCTCAGACCATAAAAATCATGTAGACAGAGTCCGCCGATAAATTTCAAATTCAAAAATAGTAGCGTGATTTGATGTTTATGCTGCTATTCTCGATTTTGCCATACACTGTTTGCTTTCTTTAAAGAATTTGGAAAAATATTTATAGCTTTTAGTTGTTAATTAACAATTATTAGGAAGAAAATATGAATAATTAAAAATACTATTTTTTTTGTATTATTTAAAGCATTGGTTCTACCCCTTGAAAGAGAAATGGGTAGTATAAAATTAGCTTATTTTATCTATTTACATTTATTAATATTTATTTACTTATCACAGTAATGAGTATTCTATTAATAATTGTATACTGTTTAAAAATGTCATGGTTTGGCTTCATATTTAGTTCTATGACACTTATATATTTTCCACTGTTATATTACGTTTTATGCTATATCAGAGTTTTTTCTATGGTAACTAAAGATAATAAGCTTCTGTTAAAATAATCAAGGCCTCACAGGGACCGCCCGTAAAATATAAAGTACAGAAAAAAAAATTTTGTACATTTTGTTGGCTCAAAAAATAAGATTTTAATTATTTTTCTTAAATATGACATATTCGACTGTTATCTATAATCTATATTTTCACAAAAAAAATTGCTATTAAATTCATTTTTCATAAATATCGAAAATTACTTCAATCAATATAATGTAGATATTTTATGAGCTGTCCCTACTCCCTCGTGTAAAGTTTGTATAGAAGTGTACAATTGTATAGTTTATTTATTTTGTATGTGAATGGATGCTGCTGCGGATTGGATTGATACAAATATATTGTAAAATAAAATGTACCGTGTTGGCTATTTTTTTGTAACATAAATGTACTAAATATGATAATGTTAGTTCTGTGGGAACTCTAAAGAAAATATCTAATGGGATTTTGTGTACTGGCAAACTGTCAGGCGGTGACTCTCGATTCGAACTCGGCTTGTAATTGTTGCCAGCACTTATGAATTAATATTGTACTAGTTTTTACTATTTTTCGCTTGCTTGGTAAGTCGGGGTGATTAAGCGTACCCATAATGCCAATAATTGTAACAAACAGACAAAGTTACTCTCATATTACAGATTGGTTAACTCAATGAAATTTTTCACATGTATTTTTTTGGATATTTTATAATATTTTTAGCGTAGTCTATGTTAAAGATGTCTTTTTAAAAGCTTACATACTAAACTGTTTAAAATATATTAAATTATTTTCGTTCTGGCCACTATATCGGTGAATACCGCGTCTTATTTATCGGAATATTAGAATTACTGGAAAACAAAATATTTGTATTTTACAGACCATGCACTATACATATTTTGTAAGTAAATTCATCTTAAGCAAATGTGCAACTGTTACCGAAATTCGGTCAGTAATACATATATTGTAATATCTCCTACGTAGATAGTTTCAATGGTCTCATTGACGATGGGACTCATGAGACGCCGTGACCGAAGTCGGTCACAAGGATATTACTAAAATAGAATATAGACCAGTTCGAGACCGGATCGAGAGAACCGTATACATATGAATTTTAACAAATAATACCTTTCGTTAAGAAAGTCGGTATGCGACTATATCATAGGCGTAAGGAATGTTTCTGAAAATAGAAGAATATTTTTGCATTTAAGAAGTTTAAGAGTGTAATTCAATGTTCTATTGTTAAGATGATACGTGATTAAATAAATATGCCCGAGGAAATAACAGATTTTTCGATAAACTATTTTTTTTGTTTTTGTCTTGTTTTTGTTCTACCTGACAAATAATACTTTCTTAATTTAACGCGAATATTTGTCATTTTAAATATTTTTATCTTTTTGGACGTTTAATTTATTTGTATTTTCAACCGACTTAAAAAAACCAAATTCTCAATTCGAATATATGTATAAATTTTTTGTAATCATTGTATAATTTTGTAGTTAGTCCCTGTCTATAACAACTATTATGACATATGAGACGTCGAAAACCTTAGTCTCTCCCGTGACCATGATTGCTGTAAAGCATTCGAAACATCGGGAACAAAAAAATCAAAATAAATCCGCGAAAAAATCACGAAAAGATAGTTTTATTTGAAAAATCTAACTAAAAAGTTTTATAAAAAATTAAACCTTTTAAAAATGTATTTATTTATTTACAATAAAAATATTTATGTACTGAGAATGTTTTATGAGACTTAATTGAAAAAAGCTAATTTATCTTGGACAATTAATAAAGTAGCAACACTGATGAGTCAAGAAATGTCGCTGTCGATGTGCTCTGTGCAAGGGAAATGAAAATAAATAATTTTTAGTTACTCCACTACCATACTCGATGTCTTTAAGAACACGATCGAAATATATCTGTATTTTTTATATATTACATTTTTCTTCCAACAATGTACTAGAGCTAGACAAAGGAAACTATATTTTTTGTTGATACAAAGAATGAAATCTAGTTGTTTCTGATAATTTTTAATGATACTTACCATATATGCTGTTTCATATTTAACTTGTCATGCGAGTGTTCCATTGTGTTTGATATGTTATTTCAAAACAAAGCACAGACCTTACATCGTATTTGTTTAAGAATCCTTATTTTATAAATTCCTGTCTTTAATTTTAATAATCTCTTCAATAATTGATTGATTTATAAGAAAAAAATAATGTAAATAAAATGTAACAGATAATTTTCTATTATTTTTTCAGACGACGCTATCACTTGTATTGGAATATTTGGTCGATTCTTTATATAATTTGAAATAAATGTGAATCTGATGAATAAAGTTCATTTGAAATGAAAATATTTTTTTTAAATATTTTTTCCCCACAAAATTTTAATCGTGTTTCCGTACAAAATGTATGGGAAAAGTTTTTGGTGATTTCTGTCATTTCTAATACTCATACCTTAAATGGTCCCATAGAGTCTTTTGATCCCTACATGAAATAGGTCGATTGACATAATTTTTTTTTGTATTTTACCTTTTTTTTCGCTAATTGTACATTTTTTCCAAACTGTGAAAGCAGTTCAGAATATCTCAAAAGGTATGGATGGTCTCCTAGCAACGTTTTCCTGTAACTATAGCAGTTTAAGAGTATCTGCCCTTATACTCCTGCCTTAAAAATCCATCCTGTATGTACAGATTATTGTACAAATCCTTATAATAGGTACTGTATTAGTGAATAAGGCTTATTATACTGTCACGGAATACTTCGTAGATATCAATGTGTGGAACTAATATCTGGTTGGGTCCCACGTAGGATAACTAGATAATTATATTATGTACAATATTGTACACGATTATTATTTAAAAAATAAAGAGCAACTGTCGAGTTTCTCGCCGGTTCTTCTCAGCAGTACTGCCTTTCCGAGCCGGTGGAAGATTCCTCACGGACTGACTACACTTACGTTTAATTTAAATTTAATATGTAAAATTGACAATTCAATAGTGCTTGTAAAAGTAAAAAGTATGTTTTGATTTGTGTATTTTCGTCCCCAACGTGCACCTTACGATGGGAAATGTATTTACGCATACCACATATATATCTACAGATGGTATGCATAAATGCATTTTCCAACATTAAAAAAAAGATATTGTGTACTTTGACGTATAATATTTTATTTTTGGTATTTGTTAATAAAACTAAAAAAGTTAAATAATAAAAATAATTTATTTAAACTATCACACACAGTGAATAACAAAATGATTCAAAATTAAATGACAAAAAACAATATGTATAAGATCTTAATTATAAGCTGTGGAATGCAAATATCATAGTTTATAACCAAAAATATCACTATTTATTTATTATATATTTTTTTAAATTTCTTTTTTTTTACATTAAGACTATAATTGTCTTTTTTTTTCCTCATTGTTAAATAAGTCTACCACTCATTATGCTTGCATAAATAATGTAAATCCAACTTATGGCCTCTGTAAAGACAACATCTGTGTATTTTTTATGTTAAGGTTAAGCTGTGGATTTTGTATAACAAATAAATAAATAAATTATTCCTAAAGAAAACTTTTACAATACTATTTAATATCACTGTATAAATTATTATTTTTTAAACAGTTCTGTTATTTTTTTATTTCATAAATCATAATAGTTTATTATTTGGTACTTTACTCGTTCTATAAACTAAGAAAAATAAAAATGGTGTAAACAAATATCACTCAATAACGTTGAATAAATTACTTATTTTATTATTATAGCTTTTTTTCTTATAATGAAATCATTGCCACTACCATAGCTGAGTGAGATACGCGAGTTTTATAATTTATCACACGATATAAGAAAAAAGGACTCCGAGCGAAGCTCTGTCGCCCGGTACTAATATTAAATGAGCAATTCTTGTATATAAACATATTTCGTGTTTCTCGGAAACGGCTCAACGAAATGGGTCAAATTTTGTATTTAGATAAGGTTTTGCTTTTTAAGTTTATCTATATAGGTGTCTTTTCTGTAAAGAAAAAAATAACTTTTTTATATCTTTTCCGCAGTTTCTTATAAAATTCATCAACCTAGAATACGACAGCCAAGAAAATTATATTTTATAATTATTTAAAATAATGATTGATGGTTAACTATATTAATATATACAATATCTTATTAAGTTTATCATTCAATGACACGTGTTAGAACTTAGAACCTAAACGTTTTGAGCACGTACTATCTATATTTATATCTATCTTCACAATGTATCGCTTATATTTTAGTTTCAATTGGGCTATAACATAAGAAATTTTATTTACTGAGAATCGATCTCGTAACTCTCCGGAGACTCGACTGTATCTCATATACATTATAAATAATTATAATATATATTGCAAATTCAGACTAAGGAATAATATAGACAGTTTCATATCAATAAACATTAAGCCAAACAAAAATGGTCTAATATTCCGATCTATGTGGTGGGCCCCTCAATATTTTTCCAGACAAGAAATATTTTTTAAACCATAAAAAATATTAACAAACACGACCCAGGCTCGTCACCAAAAAGCTCCATGCATTTTTTACTAAAAAAACCTCTACTCTGTAGATGTTTTGGTATGACAACCCTATATCATTAATTTTGTTATAAAATTATCTATATTTTGATGATTGGATCGTTTCGGAAAACGATAAGAGCAATGAACTCATTTCAATTTACATGTTTATACCTGGATGTCAGGTAATATGTTCAAAAAAGGCCGCCAAACGTATGATAGTATTTTCTACAAGTAGCAAACTATATTAATTTGTTACAGGAAAAGATTTAAATTAAAATACTTCTTTATTATTATTTTTTAAAGTAAAAAAAAACTATAATCTTTTTTTTACTTATAAATAGCCTCGAGGAAATTTTGGGTGACAACACCCCTGGGTTTGTTAATGTTTTATGGTTAAAAAAACCATATATCAACCACCAATGATATAGTGGTATAATATTGTACGATTCAAAATATTAAGTTTTTGGATGCAATTATGAATTATTACAATTTTATATATTGTACGGTTTGTATTTACATGTATTACTTTTAGAATTCGCATAAATAAAATAAAGGAGTAGAGTATAATTTGAAACAGTTAAAGAGTATAATTTGGTACAATGAGGTACTTTTCGATATAATATCGTCTATATTTAATATTATAAATGCGAAAGTTTGTGAGGATGTATGGATATCTGAATGTATGTATGTATGGATATTTGTAATTTTTTAACGCGATAACTACTGAATGCCCTTCGCCTGGTTATTAAGGAATAGACTATATATTATATATGTATATACATAGGTATAATGAGGTGTTGTGAATTGTATTATAACGTGTATCTCGTGGGAATAAAATAATCTCCCGTGTTAAAAATAGGCTATGTCACTCTCTAGCCCTCCAAATATCTCTACACGAAAAAATCACGTCAATCCGTCACTCTGTTTCGACGTGAAAGCGAAAGTGATAAACAAACAAACACACTGTCACATTTATAATATTAAAATTTAGAATATTATTTATTATTAAAAAAAGAGACCAAAACCGCGTGTGTGCCCCGGTCACAGGTGGTCATAACCGGAGCGCGCCCCACTGCGCGCGTGCCGCGGCCGCCGGGGCAGTCACGGGTCCTGGTGGTCGTCGCACGCGGCGGGGGCGGCGGGGCACAGCGGGTCCCAGTGCGCGGGGCACTGCAGGAAGTACTTGTCGGCGGCGGCGCGGAAGCGGCGGCGGTACTGCTCGGGCGACACCACGGTGGGCTGCCCCGACCCCAGGTTCTTCTTCACCAGGTGCTCCAGCTTCTTGTCCCACGTGAACGTGCGGATGTAGTCTGCCGACAGACAGTTTGAGCTTCGTGTTCATTTGCAATATGTGTCAGATTAAGGAGTTGTATAGATAGTGTCATAGAATCAAACGATAATGTTTTATATAATATTATACAATCTTTTCTAAAGCAGAATACAAATATTTATATAAATTTATTACTATGATATATAAGTAAATAAATGAAAATAATGAACGGATTATACTAAAGAAAAAAATCAAATATTATGATATATTATGTTATGTATATGCTGTTATTTAATATATGATGTAAATTATATTTATATTATTGTTGACATTTCTGTTGGTAACCTTAATAAATCAATAAATCTCTCCTTCAAGGAGGAGATACATTGTAATTTAAAAACTAATACCTTCATTATTCTTTAAAGTAAACAATCTTTATGGCAAAATCCAGAATAATAACATAAACAGCAAATCATGGTACCATCTTTATTATTGATATTTTTTTAAGATAGACTCCGTGTATATAATGGTTTAGATTGAGGTATACATATATGTACTAAATTTGACTTCAACTACAATGATATAAAATATTCTAGATCTAGTGCAAACTTATAGCTTCTAGGATAAGAAAAAACCATCTCTCTACAAAATCAGCCTTAAAATGTGAAGATGGTCCTTTACTCATTGGTAAAAAAATGTATTTAACAACGATATAAAGATATACATATATCGCCGGATTCTTTATGGCACATGGTCTTAGCTAATATTTCAGTCACTATTCAACAATGTAATTCTAAATCACACAAAAAATGGAAAATTGTAAAAGCCACCAGAGTTTCATAGGCTACTTAGGCTTATGAAAAATCGATCATGGGTCATGGCAATCAAAAGTAGAAATAAAAAAAAATTTAAATGATCTACACGAAAAATTACTGGAAGCGGAAAATTATTTTGCGGATTTATTTAGATTTTAGTTCATGACGTTTCGAATGCTCAAATCATGATCTCTCCCGTGACCATGATTGCTGTAAAGTATTCTAAACTTCGGGAACCAATAATCACAATAAAAACGCAAAATAATCCGACGGGATAGTTTTATTTAAAATGTAATCGATACTCGTTCGAACAGACATGCCCCGAGGGTGTGTGTGTGTGTGTCTCACCGATGATGCCGAGCACGAGGGTGTCGGCGTGCACGGCCAGCAGCAGCGAGTAGTCCATGACGCCGTTGTCGGCCAGGAAGCGCGTGTCGCGCGCCACGCCCGCGCGCAGCGCCGCGCCGCCCGCGCCGCGCACCGCCAGCTGCCGCGACCACCGCGCTACACACACATACACCATTAACTCCCCCGTCTCACACCATGTGATCTTATCTTCAAATTCACATTCGAAAAACACAGATACACATGCATACATGCACACACACACCTATACATGTACATTGTACATCACCCACAGTTTAGTTCTTTAGTTACATTTCCAAACATTGTACAAATATTTCAAATATAATTAATTGTATAAATTTTGTATACAGACATTTTCTATAATAATTATGACTTTTGGTACGTCACAAACTTAGTCTTTCCCTCGACGACGTGTTCGAAAAGTTAGTTACAAAAACTAAAATGAAATATTTAAAATAAATCCCTGAAATTCGATCATAATCATTATTGTAAATTTGAGAACAAATAATAGAATAAATTTTTTAAAACCCCCTGACCATCTTAAACCGATGTTCATCAAACACTCTTAACTAATTCACCTTCTAAGAAAAAAAAATCAAAATCAGTTCTCCCGTTCGGGAGCTACGATGCCAGAGACAGACACACACACAGAAACGTTAAAATTATAACATCCCGTCGTTTTCGCGGCGGGGATTAAAAACATATTTAAATAGAATAAGAATTTCAATTTGTCAATAGTTGTTAAACAAAAAAAAAGGAAAAAAAAAATAATTCAACAAAGACAGGAGAAAGAGGCATTGAATTGTTTTGTTTTTGATTATTTATACCTTAATATGTATAATTTTTCTGTACATGTGTTTGTTACCCTACTCTTCCTAAACGGCTGGACCGATTTAGATGAAATTTTGTGTGTATATTTCAATGGGTTCCTGGGTGGTTTGAAAATATAATTAGGCCCGATAGGTGGCAGTGCTGTTTATATGTCACCGATCTTCTACTAAACGGCGGGGACGATTTTAGTGATATTTTTAGTTTATGTTCGAGTGGGTCCCTGCAAGGCTCAAATTCACAAATGGACCCACCCGGTAGGTGACGCTGCAGTCGGTGTGCCAACGAGTTTGTTCTTTTAGTAGTTTGATCGCGGGCGAAGCCGCGGGTACCGCTAGTATAGTTATTAAAGTACGTGTGTGTGTGTATACTGACACTCGAGCATGTGGTCGTCGTGCAGCACGGCGTCGGGGTGGTGCGGCGGCGCGGCGGCCGGCGCACGGCGCCCCAGCCCCTTGAGGTCGTAGCGCGGCGCCCCCCCGCCCCCCGCCGGCGCGCCGTACCACACGTGCTCCGTCACCAGCACGCCGCTGCCGGCGCCGCCCACGCTGAACACGCCCAGGATGCGCGCTGCACACGGACAGGCACACGTCACTCTTGTGTGCACCCCACTGCTGGGGGCGGGCCTCCCTCAATACGAGGGGGATCAGGCCACAGTCCACCGCGCTGGCCGAATGCGAACGGACTGAACATATCCTTTGAAAACTTGCTAGATTCTCTCGGACATGCAGGTTTCACCACGATGGTTTCCTTCATCGTAAGATAAGTGGTAATCACGTTGGAAACGATTCGCACATGAAAATACCAGAAGTGCGAGACTCGGGATTTGAACCCGCATTACTGTTTCCCAAGTGAGCTGCCACTGGGCTACCACTGCCTTTTCTACTCCTGACCTTCACTGTCAATCATATGCACGTCACTATATATGTACTTATAGTACACATTACTAACATAAGTACGTGTTACATTTTTCAAATAACATCAGATTTTTATTATAAATGAAAAGTTTATATATGTATAGATATAGCTATTTATGTAACAACTAAATGAATTTGGATAAAATTTAATTCACAAATGGACTATGAGTATGACGTTGACATATAGGCTATATAAGGCAGCTAGGAACCGAACAAGAGTAGATTTTTAGTTTAGTTTAAAAACAAAAAAGTACACGTGTGTATGTACTTATGTACGCACGTAAAAAGTTATATTTCTTTGGCGTAACAGAACAAAAATAGCTAAAGATTTCATCCCGTATGTCACAACTCTCTGTTTGTAAAAGGAATGCAGCTAACTTCAAGTCGCTTATTGGCTGTTGTAGTGCGCACGCAACATAAAAATTTTACTCTCATAATTTTTTCCAAACGTTCCAAAATAAGTATAACTTGAATAAACTTCATCACATTAACACCATACGTGCCATAAAACCACTTTTACTTTATATAAAATTGCAAAAGCACTTGTAATAAGTCTAACTGAAAAAACTTTATTTCATTTCATAGACAAAAAATATATATTTTAAATAAATTAAAATATTTTAATAAAATAAAATAATATTACCGAGCAAACTCGGCAGCTTCCTCTGGCGGCAGTTGGTGACGTAGTTGAAGTAGTGCGGCGCGAACTCCAGGAACTGCTGCCACTCCGGCTTCGTCATCTCCTTTAGCACGTATCTATCGTCTGCACAGTATACAGGGTCATTTTTAATTTACTGAAGACCTTTTGGGAATATACTATTTACATCATAACAACAACATCTGTAACAAAAAAAAAACAATATTTCTTAAATTTTACAAAAATAAAAAATATATATTTTGCACCTTCTGAACCGTAGTCCAGCATTAGCAAAAGACAGCTCATGGCCGGTGGAGTAGGAGAGGTGGGGGAGGGAAAGGGGGTGGGGGGAGCGGCGGGTCAGGAGGCGGCACTTACTCGTTTAAACTTAACCAGACGCCAGAACTATTACCGTTTAGAAGATGCAATAAGCATATTTTTATTTTTGCATGAAAATAAAAATTTAATTTAAGACATATTACTTTTCTTTGTTACAGATGTTGTTGTTATGTAAATAGTATATACCCAAAAGGTCTTGAGTAAATTAAAAATGACCCTGTATAGAAAAATACTATTTTTTTGTTACAGATTTGTTACAGACATTGTTTTCAGACGTTAATCAAAGAACGAATCTTATAATATTAAATGAGGGATTCTTGTATATATGTAATATATATGTATATATATTTTTTCTCGTTGGCAACGGCTCTAACGATTTGTATTAAATTTTGTATTTAGATATGGTTGTTTTTTTTTAGTTTATCTAAAAAAGTACATAATCATTTTATTTTATTTGGCTTTACAGAATAGCGGGTAGGGTATATATACATTATATATTTCTTATGTATGAGCACAAATTAAGGATTATTAGGAAAGATTAGAGGAGTAACAAAATAATAATCTAAATTTTTAACTAAATTATTAGCGCACCACCAAATGTATTATTCTTACCCTACCACCTTTTGAAAAAAAAAAACACTATCATCACAATCTTCTTGCAAGAATTAATCGCTTTTCCGTACAAAATGTATGGGAAAAGTTTTTGGCGATTTCTGTAATTTCAAGTACTCATACCTTGAATGGTCCCATGTAGTCTTTTGATCCCTACATGAAATAGGATCTATTGACATAAAAAAAAGTTTTTTGGTATTATAGTATTTTTTTCGCTAACAGTACATTTTTTCCAAAATCTGTGAATGCAATTCAGAATATCACAAAACACACACCATTATAAATATAATAAAGAAGTAAAACCAAAAAATACCCTTAGTTTTGCAGAAGGTGCTCCCGGACTTGCCGCCGCGCGCCGCCCACGGCACGCAGTGCGCCAGCGACCTGATGAAGCCCTCCTCCACCTCGCACAGGGCTTTACCTGCTATTGTACCATGTTTTGTTATTAAATAATACCTACATTGACTTCAATATCACTTGAATAGGGAATATGCGTGATTTATTTTATTTTTTATACAATAGCTAACATCGTTATATAATTGTAAAAAATATGCAGCCCCAAAAAAACTAAAATTTAGTATAAAAAAATATTTAAAAATATCATACTGATACGGTCCCAGTATCATACATAGAAAAATGACGACTATAATTTGTAGCGACAAAATCGCTAATCGCTTTGTTATGATATTACTTTGACGTCAAATTCGTGTTCGTTTCAACTGCTTTGAATTTCCCACTTATATTTGCATTTTTTAATAATTATTTTCTTAGTCAAAAAGAAATTACATTAAAAAATATAGATATAGGCTTAATTCAAAAACAATATTGTAAAAAAAAATATTTCACCTTTATTTAAATTACACGCATAATTACACCCTATTGTTCACACGTGTTGAATTTGAATATTGAATATAATCTATACATACAATAAAATTGTAACTAAGCCGAATCTGTACATTAAATATTTCTTATTGAAATAAACATTATTATAGATACAAAGGCTTAATCTATAGTTTTTAGAATTTTTGTCTGTTTGTCTGTCTGATATCGCATCACAGAACAACCACTGGAGGGATTTTGATGAAACTTGGTATGGTGATAGCTGTCTGGGTCAACATATAGGATACTTTTTACCGCGGGAAAATGTCTTATTTCTGAGAAAAAATACAAAATCTGCAATGTACGAGTAAGAGTATACTAATATGTAAAACCTAAGAATTTGGTTTTTGGTCATCTGAACGCGGGCGGAGCCGCGGGCAATGCTAGTCCACCATAAAAACAAATTTGTGTTTGAAACAACTTTGAATTAATGTAAACTTAATAAATATCTAAGTAAAAAATAAATTAGATTTTGTAATTAAATTAATTATCATAGATCATTTTCGCACAGAGACCAAAATACATACTGAACAAACAGATGTACAGGAACAAAGTAAATTCATTAGCAAAAAATTGTAAATAACTCGTTTAATTATAATACCAAAAATGCTCGTAAACCGAAGACAGTACTTATCTATACTGCTATTATAAAGAGAGAAAAATATTTTTTGTATGTATTTTGTGTTTGTAATGGGTAAACTAAAAATCCGCTGAACCGATTAAATGAAATTTTGTATGAAGATAGTGTGAGACCTAGGGAAGGACATAGGATAGTTTTTTTTTTAAATAAAAGTCGCAAATATTATTAAGGAAAGTTATAGTGTTGTCAGTATGCACGCACCGTCCTTCTCCCTGGCGTCGTCGCCGCGCTCGAGCGGCGCCAGCAGCATGCGGCGCAGGCGGTGGAACTGCGCCGCGTAGTACACGCGGCACATCAGTCCGTCCTGAACACCCCACGTTTAAGGAAAATTGTTAACAATAATAATATTATCATATGTTTGTCTAATAAATCCGGCTCGAAGGACCATGAATCCACCACCTCATTCCTCCTATTCCTCGCACGTCACTAGTCACTACTAGCACTTAGCCACAATAAACTCAAAGGCATATTGCCCAAACGAACACTTTAATTTTTGATTAACAAATATGAAAAATAATCCTCCTTATATGCAATTTAAATGAACAAAACTTATTGACGTTATACTTCTTTTGGGACGTTTGGATAAAATTATGAGTGAAATTTTCACGATGCGTGCGCACACCAACAGCCAAAAAGCGACATGATGAAGTTAGCTAATAATGATATATTTTAATATTGTATTCTTTCATTAAATGATATTCTATAAATATATGATTGTAATATGCCTAAATATGCCTTATTTCATTATTTTATTAATTTATCATTCCTTTTACAAACTGAGAGTTGTGACATACGGGATGAAATCTTTAGCTATTTTTGTTCGGTTACGCCAAAGAAGTATAACTTTTTAAGTGCGAACATAAGTACACACACACTTTTTTTATTTATATTTACCTATTATATACCCTTACAGTAGGATATCATTCTTAGATTTTAGCGGAAATGCTGTCAATAATACCAATTTTCGTGGCGAACGGTTTTAAACTAGCACTATAGTGCCATATCGTGGCAAATTAAATTTATCTTCATCAACTTTAAAATTATTTCCCGAAAGTTATAAAATCGGGTATGACAGTCGGGAGCGCCTCATACGATAACCCTGTCTAGACCGACACCTTTATTAGACAAATGTGTGAATTAGAAGATTGTGTTTACACTTGGGTTTTGGGTTTGGTTGGTTGCTACCGTAACCAAAACAGATGCGAAAAAATAGATATCTTATAATTGCGTCATGTCTGTAAATATCTTGAGGAAACTGCTTTGACAGTAATAGATTAGATAGATTTTTTTCTAGTTTTAGATAAAATCAAATTACCTTCAACAAAACCTCGATGTGATCATTGCTCTTCGCCTTTGTCTTGTCACCGTCAGTTTTGTCTTTGGCGGAGTTGCTGTTTTCGCCGTCGTCAAACTCTACTTGGCTTCTGAAATATTTGTGTTAAAAATTACGACCAATTAGAGTTCCGTGGGTAAAAAAGATTGGGAACCGCTGAGATAGCCAACAGACTACTAAAGTGCGTCCACCTTGTCGTGGTGGGGGGCTCAGTAGTGCCCGGCAATGCAGCCGGGCGCGAAGTCAGGAAACGCACAGGGAGGCGGCCCACCTCGGTGGGCGGTGTGCCAAGAGAGTTACTCCTGGTACTTCTCTGATAGCAGAGTGGACTGTGGAGCAACTTCATGGTCGTTGTGGTCTGCTTTGGCAGACTTGCCGTCGGGGCGTCATAGTTGAATGCGTAAGTGATCCTGCGATCCATTAAGACGGGGTTATAAAAGAAAAAAGCCAACAGTGTACTCACGCCACGCGCAGCTGCAGCGTGCGCGCGTACGTGACGGAGGCGAGCGCGGCCGCGATCACGGACCCGATCTCGCCCGCCTTCACCACCACCGGCACCAGCCCGCTGGTTATTATCATGCCCTCCTGCTCATATACAGATACAATACAAAATACTCCATTACATTTATGCAAATATTTCATATTTTGAATAAAACTTTCCTATCAGATTATTTCGCGGATTTATTTTGCTCTAAAGCATTCGAAACGTTGGGAATCAAATATCAAAATAAATCCGCGAAAAAATCTGCAAAGACAGTTTTATTTACGTTACGTTTTAACGTTTAGCTCAGAGATAAGATATTCTCCAGCAGTAAAAAGTATCCTATACATAGGCCCGGATAACCAGCTACCATCATACCAAATTTTATCAAAATCTGTCTTGTGGTTTTCTCGCGATGCGGTCACAGACAGACAGACAGGCGAAAAAGACTAGGTCTAAAGACCAAAGATTCGGCCGCTGTATCGACATTTGACTATTTCAATAAGATTTTCCAAAAAAAGAAATATTTTGTATGTATAGATTTATAGATATAGATTATGTATAGATTTGACTCAGAATTTTATTATATTATGTATAAATTTATTGTTTCAAAACTAACCTGATTTGAGGGTTGATTGTTAGAAAGCAGTTGAGACAAGATTTGTTTCACTGTTTTTTTATCACCCTTTTCCTCGTCCTCTTCTGTTCCTGAAAAATTTTTGATATACATTGTTAGTTCACGTCTCAGATTATGTAATTCGACGTCATCACTACATATTATAAAACAAAGTTCCCCCGCTACGTCTGTCTGTCTGAACGCGATAAACTCAAAAACTACCGAACGGATTTTCATACGGTTTTCACCAATAGATGGAGTGATTCAGTGTGGACGGTTTAGATATATAATTCATTAATGTTTTGTGTAAATTGTTTGAAATATGACGATGTTTGTTGAAGATGTCGGACAAAATACGCCGACTGGGAGCTTTACTAGCGTGCGCCGGGAAATCCAATAGAGTTATATGTCTCTTTAATATATATACAATTTAATACACATAGATTTTTATTTATAAATTGATATTGAAGTTGTCTATGAAAATATATTGTTTTAAATCATCGATCAAAAAAGTACTAAAGACAAAAAATGTCCTCACCGAATGAGCGCTCGTTTGAACATTTTAGTGCGCTTTTAATTTTTTTTTTGTTGTGAAAACAACTTTAAGCATTGCATTTAAGGTTCAATTTACATTGTTGTATATTTATTTCAACTAGAACAATTACCTAAACACAACTGGTGACAGTTTAAGAGAACCCTTGCATGGGATTTTGTATCTAGTACTTTTTTGATGTTTTTAATAGATTAATAAATTTAAATGCGAAATCATAAGATTCTAGTGTCAATTAAATTTCCTGCCACTAATTACAATACTATAATATGAGGACTAATTTATAGCATTTTTGTTTTATTTACACTGTGGAATTAAATCTACATTTCAAATTTTTCAAAAACTTACCCGCATGCTCTTTTTCGGTCTCCTTCAAAAGACTTTCTGAAAAGCAGTAATTAAAAATAATCATAAATATAATCACATACAATTGATTTTTTTAAAGAAATTTACACATAAATAGATTTCATATTTACCTCCAGCATCATTGTTCGCAACATCAGTCACTTCTTCTGCGTCAATTTTATCGTCAGCTGTAAAAAAAATTATATTGGTCCTAATTATTTACTTATATACTTTGAAAGTATTTTTAATTTATAACTATTTCTTATAATGTGAGCGAGAAATGAGAAGAATCGATCAATAGTTCTAAATATCTCCTATCCATATGTACGGTGCAGCCATAATATATTACAATTTCGCATTTTACTCGACACGCGTAATTCGTACTTATCTATACATATGATGATGATGTTCTCTTGACCGATTCCGGCCACGGCGGCCAATCTCATTGAGACTAGCCAACTGCGCAGGAGATATTATAGTGCACAAGTGTACGCGCAGACACAACGTGCATTCTCTATTCCTGTCACTCTCATACTCCGGTGGGACGACCACTCGACACGACCAGTGAGAGTTAGGCGCAGGACCGACGGCTTTACGTGCTCTCCGAGGCACGGGGGTGAAACACCGCCAACTTCCCAACTCCGGGCTATTACTGAGGCTTACTATACAGAAAGACTCAGTAACTAAACTTGGCCCGACCCGGGACTCGAACCCAGGACCTCCGGGTGTGCAGCCGTACATGCTAGCCATTACACCACAGAGGCAGTATGTATATCTATACATATAATAAAAGTCTAACTAAGCCGAATCTGTATATTAAATATTTTTTGGAAAATCTTATTGAAATAGACATTATTATCGATATAGAGGCCAAACCTATAGTTTTTAGAATTTTTGTCTGTCTGTCTTTTACCGCATCACAGAAAAACCACTAGACGGAATTTTGATAATTTTGTACGGTCGTAGCTGGTTATCCGACACAAGATATAGGATACTTTTTACCGCGGGAAAATATCTCATTCCTGAGAAAAAATGCAAAAAGTGCAATGTAAGAGTATATAATATGAAAAACTTAAGAATTTGCTTTTTTTGTCATCTGAACGCGGGCGGAGCCGCGGGCAAAGCTAGTTTTTATTCATAAAATGAAGTCAGTTAGCGTACCGCTAGCAAGTAACCGGGTGTTCTCACAAGTCCATTTTAATAATAAGTCTACAGACAGTAAACAGTATCAAGTGTTAATTCCAAACGTTTTTCATTTTAGCAATCTAATAGATAGTGTATTAGAACAAGAACCGGTACAAAATATCTATATCGTTTACTTATTTATACATTACAACTTAAACACACATACATCGTTTTGTGTTAGCTAAACGTAAATTAAAAGTACCAGGACTGCATGACGAAACAGGTCGTGGTTTGGGGCGTCTCAGCAAACTCGAGGGGAGTTGCGCAAATTGGACCCAGTTATGCAAAAAACAGCCATGTGCGTAAAAGTACCAACAGAGTTATAAGCATTTTTCTGTCGATAGTTGCACTTGGGTTATGTTTTGTTTTTCTGGTTATTTCGAAATTGAACAATATTTTATATAAGTATTGTTTATTTTTTATAATAATTATTTTAATTTTTATAATAAAATGCTTATAACTCCGTGGGACCCGGGGGAGAAGCCAACTCCTACCGGGAGCGTCCCCAGGTGGCCGATAGGGGCATGCCACCGCTTAGAGGGGCGGGTGGTACCGGAGAAATCCGGCGCGGACCAAATGGCTTGGGTGGGGCCGCTCGTCTAGGCCTCGAGCCGAAGTCGTTGCGGCCACCGGTGGTGGGACCGCTTGGTCCCACAACCGGATGATGGGTGCCGGTTGCGGGACTGTGGTCGCAGGCCCGCATTCGGAGGTGGGGTAGGCCGCGGCGGGAGAGGAGTGCTGGTATTTCGGTGCGCCGTTCTCCCTACCTTCCGCGGCCTAGACGGGGCCGCCACCGTTTGATGGCGGACGCGGTGGGGCTGCAGGGGAAGAGGAGTGTCGGTGTTTCGTTGCCGCTCTCCCTGTCCTCTGCAGCCGATTGGAGGTGGCCCACTTCGGTGGGCGGTGTTTTGGTTTTATGGGGCTGCTTCGGGTACCTCTCTGACGTAGCAGAGTTGACTGTGGAGCAGCCCCATTAGTTTGGTGGTCTGCCTAGTATTTAGGCAGACCTGCCGCCGGGGCGCCGTAGTAGTTATGCGCAAGCGATCCTGCGGCGTCCCACTAAGGCGGGGGAAAGGGATGTCGGGTTTTAGTGGGTAGTACCGGCTCGTCTAGCCGGTGAGCCCCACATCACTACCTGGGGGATCAGGTGGTATGCGTAAATGCATTTCCCGACGATAAAAAAAAAATAACTCCGTTGGTACTTTTACGCACATGGCTGTTTTTTTTGCATAACTGGGTCTAAATTAACTTAAATTAAAGTTAAAAGTACCAGGACTGCATGAGGAAACAGGTGATGGTTTGGGGCGTCTGAACGGACTCGGAGATGGGAAGTTAGGGGGTTACATCATCACACCAATTGTGACGTAACGAACGAAAAGTACCAGGACTGCATGAGGAATCAGGTGGTGGTTTGGGGCGTCTCAGCAGCCTCGGAGGTAGTTTGGCAAATTGTGAAGTACTAAGAATTACCAGGGCTTCATAAGGCTACAGGTGGTCTAGGGCGGCGATTCAGCGCAGTTCTATAGATACGAAGTTAGTGTGCTATGTCTGTCTTCACATTAAATTGTGACATAATAAGAACTACTAGGACGTCATGGGTTTACAAGTGATGGTGGCAGCCACACGGGAAATTGATGATGTTACTTCTAACTCATAAGAAAGCTAGTCACAGGTACTAAGGCAGTATAAACTTACAGGTGGTATCAGGCGCAGGGCGGTGGCGGTGCGCCTCGGAATTGTCACGGAGCATCTTCTCCCCGTTGACGATGGCGTCGTGCACACTCCACAGTTTTCTTACTCGCTCTTTAAAAATAATAATCGTATGAAATTAGAATCATTAATGAAATTGGTGTCACTCCATTGCGACCTTACGATTTGCTAATTTAAGTAAATACAGAGTTTTCAGTCTTTTAAATCAATGAATCAAAACGTATTCCATTTAAGGTAATTTTTGCACATATTATTTCTATTTGTTTATATATATCGGCCCTTTAATAGAAAATAATACACAAACAAATATAATTTAAAATTTAAATTAAAATATAACCACATAAAACTTTAATGGAATACTACTATAAAAAGCTTTGCATACTTTTAAATTAAATTTATATACAAATAGGTAACATTATAATGTTAAAATTTAAATACATTTTTTATGTAAATTTAGTTAGTAAGCCTTTATAATAAATAAATAATTTCAAAACTGCCCCTTTAAATTAGAGACAGGTGGCTAATACCTGAATATATTTAATAAATATATTATATACATGAGTGAACGAGAACGAATTTAAAATTCCATTCAATTGGAATGGAACGAAACACTTACGAGCGAATGAGTTGTTATCATGCGTGGTGAGGGCCAGGTGTATCTGTTCCATGTGCTGCTTGAAGGCGGCATATGCTTTTTCGCCTTCGGGTTCCGTCGCATTGCTGAATGCCTCGTGACCTGGTAGTAAAAACAGGTTAAAAATTCTGTTTTGACCGTATGTTACGTTATATTTTTGGAATTTTAAGATATCATGTCCTCGTTTTCTTTCGAAAATAAAATTTAAACTAGAGAGAGAAAGAGGTTGAAGGAAGTAATTGAAGAGTAATTTCCCATTTTGAGTTTTTGAATCATCACCCTTGGAAGTCGAATTGTTAAATTATCTCAAAAGCTAGCTTGCCTGCGACAAGGCAAGGTAATTTAAAAAAATGTGTAAAGTGAGTGACTGTGCTAGTTCTTCACGCTGTAACCCCTAAATGGATTTGATGACAATTTGGAATGTAGAGTATTCTCGAAATTTATATTCGAAAACACGTTTTGCTCAGTTTGTGGAGACCCTACTCGGTGTGCTAGTTGTCGCGGATTCGAGTCCCGCTGGGGATATTCATTTGTGTGATGAGCACGAATGTTTGTAATCCAGTCATGGGTGTTTATATTTATAATGTGTATGTATATAAAGTTATATATGTGTAGTGTATCAATAGTCTGGTATCCATAACACAAGTCTCATAGCTAACCATGGAACTAGATGGTGCTTTGTACTAATGTCCCAACATATTTATTTACTATATTAATTCATACTCCAATCAATTATAACAAAAGATAAGATATGAATGTGTAAAGTGGCTCACCTCTCAGCATGAGATCGTTAAGATGCGCGATGAGAGTCTCGCGCATCTGTTTCGTGTCGTAGTCGATGGCGATCACGTCGGGCGGCAGCTGCACCGAGTACGTCGTCAGCTTGCTGTATCTGTTGTTGAAGTGTAAAGTATATACTGTGTTGAACCAAAAATCAAAGTTCACGAAATATTCTAAAAAGATAGTTTTAATAAAAAAAATGTGAAACATTGCGTATAGCTATAGCACCAACTTGAAGCAGGCGGTGGTGAGGCGGCTGACGAAGGCGTGCGCATGCGCCCGCAGCGCGTGCGCGCACTGCGGGCGCACGTAGCGCGGCGCGGCGGCGCGCGCGCGCACGTACTGCGCCAGCGACAGCGCCAGCGCGTCACGCGACAGCCGCGCGCCGCGCGACGTCGCGCCGCAGCGCTCGCAGCGCGACCAGAACATCACCTGCCGGGAAGGACCAAAGTTGTTAAGCAACCTTTCTTTATTTAAAACTAGCTACTCACGTCGTCCCTAGCTTGCTACCCAATACAAACTTTCATCCCCATTTTCACCCCCATAAGGAATGATTTCCGGGATAAAAGTCTCTTCTTTCCACATTTCATCTAAATCAGATCAGTAAATCCAAAGATTACATTACAATGTCAAAAACAGATATTGTCGAAGTGTGCTTTCATTTGTATCCGCTGGCACCGTTTTTTTGTTTGTTTTTGAAATTAACCGGTTAATTACGTATAGTAAATGAAAACTCCCAATCAACTATACATATATATATATATATATATATATATATATATATATATATATATATATATATATATATATATATCGCCGCTCGACAAGATGACTCCATGACGCCTGATGGTAAGCGACAGTGGAATCCAGAATGAGATCCATCAATTATATATATATATATATATATAATTTTGCACACTCGGATATAAGCATCATGGTCAAGCGACCAAGGCGCAAAATTGAATAAGTGTCCGGGTTTGAATCCCGGTCGGATACAAAGGTATAATTTATTTTTGTTCTTTTTTAAGAAAATTGTACTTTTTAGCCAAAAACTCCGAGCGAAGCTCGGTGGCCCAGGTACTATATATATATATATGATGTTACCTACCTGTTTGCTCTGTTCTTCCTTAACCTTGTCCACACTGCTGTGTCCAATCGTGTTGCATGTTATAGTGATGCATACGTCTTCGTGAATGAACCTGTTCAAAATATGCATTTCATTAGTAAATAACTTATGATTTGATTATGATTATTTACATAGAAATCACAGACACTTTAACTTTATTTATATGTATAGATTTGACAAATGAATATCTTCATCTTCATTTTTTTTGTATTTTTTGGTGTGCAATAAAGAATATTATTATTATCATTGTTATACTTGAAAGCTAAGTGCGAGTAAAGTCATATGCTATGCACTAGTACACCCACTTCCTCTCATGCTGATTCATGGGTATGTGGCAGGTAGCGGAGGGGCACTTGTGGTCGCCGTTGAAACAGTACTTCTCCAGGAACGCGCCGAGGGAGATATCGTTGCGCCCGTACATTTCCATTGTTACAACCCTATGAAGAGCAAAAGAAAAATCAAAAAAAAATAAAACTAAAGCTAATAAAAACGCACAGACCATCGATCAAAACAGTACTAGATACACAATCAGCGACAATAAATGTCCTCACCGAATGAGCGCTCATTTGAACAATTGAGCGTGTTTTTAATTTTTTTTTGCTAAGCAAGTTTACGCTCGTTAACTCTATTTCAACTAGAATAATTACCTGAACGCAATCGGTGACAGTTTTAAAAGAACCTTTGCATGGAATTGTGTATCTAGTACTTTTTTGATCGATAGCACAGATTAAAGTTTCTAGTGTTCATTTCCTACTCTACAATGAAAAAAAATCTACATTTCCCTATAACTGCAGTTTTTTAAGTATGACGTATGATGTTGTAACCCCCGAACTTCCCATCTCCGGGGCCGCTAAGACGCCCCGAGCCACCACCTGTTTCCTCATGCAGTCCTGGTACAATTCATTCGTCATTTCACAATTTTAAAGCATTCAAAATGTCGCAAATATCAAACAAAATAAACCCGCGAAAAGACCTGAAAAGATAGTTTTATTTAAAATGTCAAATATTCGCGTAAATCTGAGAAAGTATTAGTTTTACATTATTGTGTTTTAAGTTGGTACTAGAGACTCACTTTTATCTTTTTTTCACAGGTTGATGCCCCATACAATATATTATCCCCATTTTCATCCCCTTAAGGGATGATTTCCGAGATAAAAAGTATCCTATGTCCTTCCCAGGGTCTCAAACTATCTTCTTACCAAATTTCATCTAAATCGGTTAAGTAGATCCAGAGATTACCCCTTACAACGTCACAAACACACAAACTTTACCTCTTTATAATATTAGTATAGATAAACATAATCTAACTTACCAAGGATTAACACAGAAATCAGGTACATTTGGTGATTTGCTGCTGTAGCTGTATATTAATAGACTGAGTCGTTGATGGTTCTCCGGAGACAAAGGGTCTAAGGGCTCTGCTTCGGGCGGCTTGTTCGTCTCTTCCGACTCCACCTCCTTCACTATCGACGGGTTGTAGCTTGGACATTCAGCTAAACAAGGTTTTGGTAAAAAACATTAAATAAAGTGACTGCATTTGTAACGTGGATTTTGGGATATTGATTAAGATTTTGATTTTTTTTTCAAATATTGCAATAACACGAGTGTTATTTGACACGGGGTAAAAAATATAAAAAATAATAGATACTAGACGTGCAGGTTTCCTCACGATGTTTTCCTTCATTGTAAGCCAAATGGTAATCATGTTAGAAATGATTCGCACATGAAAATATCAGAGGTGCGAGACTCGGAATTTCATCATTTCACTCGATTTCCCAAGCGAGCGCGTTACCACTGGACTACCATTGCCTCTTAAAATATAATTTAATATCATCGCTTCAACGGTCGCGAACATGCCGGCATGGCAGATAACAATTGATTTCCCGGAAACTAACTACGTAGGAGTTAATTTCATTACGATATATACTAACGTTTATGTTTCCCGGCGACGGAGCAGCCGGCGGCGCGGAAGTGCGCGAGCGCGGCGCGCAGCGCCGGCTCCTCCACGCCCGCCGTGATCGGGCGCTCTATGAATGGGTGGAGCTTCTACAGGGAAAAAAAAACATTTAAAAATACCTTAAATGTGTTACTTCTTTAATTTAAATTGGGTCAGCCTACAGATATATCTGGAGGGTATTATTAAATAAAAATAAATTCTTACTTATAAATCATAATCACTTAGTAATTGCGACTAAGAATATTATATTATTATTTGCATTATTATGTTCGTTGAATATATACAATACACTATAATACGTTGAATTTTTTTTACAATATATAGTTCTATATATTATAAACACAAAATCTATACTAATTTTATAAAGAGGAAAACTTTGTTTGTTTGTAACGAATAGGTTTCGAAACCACTGGACCGATTTTGATGAAATTTGTTAAGGAGATAGTCTGAGACCCTGGAAAGGACACAGGATAGTTTTTATACCGAAAATCATCCCTTAAAGGGGTGAAAATGGGGATGAAAGTTTGTATTAGGAAGCAAGCTAAGTCGCTAGTATAATATAAACGTATGAGCAGGTGTAGCCCACCGGTCGCGGCGCACGCGCGGCGCCGGCGCGGTCGGCGCGGCGCGCGGCGCGCGGCGTGTGCGGTGCGGGCGCGGGCGGCGGGCGCGCCAGCGGCCGCGGCGGCGCCGGGATCACGATGTTGGGCGACATGGACAGCACCACGTCGTCCGTGCACCATCTGGCGGCAGCGCAGGTTACTTTTTTTTAATTTACCAGTTTTACGCAAGGGTGGCGTATAATAGGGATAACTTAAATGGAATAATTTGTTATTTTTGATATTTTGTGTGTTAAGCCATTTTTACACAGTAAAATTACTTATATTTCGCTATTAAGGATTGTTATATATTAAATACCATACTAAAAGTTACTACTTTCTATACTAAAGAACGTATTAGGCTTTTTGAGGAATTAACTTTAGAACATTTAATAGGGGATGCTTCTATAAAAAAAAATTGTTAAAATATAACAATGAGTTAGTTTATATAATTTAAGAACTACATTATTACAGAATAAAATAGTGTAAATTTACTTATAAGCTTACCTTTCACTATGCGTATCTGCTTTTAGTTCAGCTTCTTCCTTAGGCAAAAAGACATCATCGTCTATAGAGAGTCTCGACTGCAACGGATCACTGAAGTCCTTGATGGGCACACCGCAACTCAACAACTTATCACTGTCTGTTTTACGAGAAAATTGCCTAGATTTTTGTAATGGATCATCTATTTCCACTGTGCTATTATCTTTTACTTCTACTGTTTCTTCACTAACTTCTCCATTTTCACTGGTATTTGATTCATTTATAGTAGAATCAATTTGAGATTCAACTATATCATTATTAGATGATTTAGATTCTTTAAGCGTTTGCGCATTCAAGTTGCTCCCAAAAATGGCATCGTCAGCTTCAGATGTATCGTTACTAGATTTTTCATCTTCATTATTATCAGAGGTCATGCGATTTTTTGTAACAATGTTTTTCATGTCTGTTTCATTATCTATATCATCATCAACAAAAGTCCCCGGTTCAGGTAAGATAGCTTCAATGTCAGCTAAAAATGCTTTTTCTAATCTCCAATTGTAACACGCTAAAACCATGAATTTTACTATTTTTTTTACTTTTATCAACTCCTGCAGTGAACCCCCTCGAAGTAAGATACAACATCCCAGCTGTGATTCTGCACAACCTTCAAAAACCATTAGCGTCTTGCTGGAATCTGGTAAAAAATAGTATGTTATTTACAAATAAAGAGTGTTTTTTTTTAAGTAGTAATAAGATTGACATAAGACTCATGATCTTTTAAATATTGGTCACAACATTGAGTTAAAATAGGTACAAGGTTAATAAGGGTATGTCAAAAATTCGTCAAATTAGTTTAATATAGAAGTAAAAAACTTAACAAAAATTTTTGTATTAATCTAGTAAATTCATAATTCATAATTTTGAAAGGATTAGGCATAAACGTGAAAATTTATCGTCCATAAAATGAAATAGCTCTGCTGTAGTTTTTATTTTTATAGTCTAGTCAACAAGTTCAAAAACGTGTTAAATAAGAAATAAATAATAATAAAGAAATAAAGCTCCTAAAAATATGTGCAATCGAATGAGCTACATTCGATTTGGAATGACGTCTAGAAAAATGTTTTTAAGGGTTTATTAGCACATAAAAAATTGCTATTGTTATTAACAAAATAAGATTAAAAAAAGGTATTTTGTTTTTCGTTAATAACTTCTAAAATGATGATATTTAAGGAATTTTGAGAAAAGATCCTGAAAGAGAAGGAAATTTCCTATAAAAAAGTCCTAACTCCCGGAACTCTATCTCTGTTATTTATAATTTTTTAACGCTGAAAATAGGGCTCCACGAGGTCGTTACGGCATGGGCGCGCCGTCTAAAAAGCCGGTATATCACCTAAAATATTTTTTTAAAGTATTAAATAACTGTTTAAAAATTTGAATAAATTATAGTGTAATTTAAACACTTGAACGAAAAAAACCTCGGTGAAAATTTTTTTTATGTCGGTCTTTCAAAAAGTTACAATTTTTTCCAATCTCTGTTTTTATAAATTAAGGCATAAAAGTTTAAATAATTGGTCTATAAATTTTTCGCTTCGTGAAGCTCTTCTTATTTAGGTACTTAATAAAGTTATGCAAAAAAAAAATAATTAAAGTTTATTATTTTCTTAAATTAACAAAAAATTAAATTTCTAAAAAATGTTATAAAAAAGTTTTTTTAGTAAAATCTTATTATTGCTGTTTTTCCATCTAATATAGGTATTAATTAACTTTGGAAAAAAAATTTTACGTCATTTGTTAAGGAATTGTCTAAAAGCAAATAGACTATTTTGAGATTTATAAAAAAAAATTACCATCTTATTGCTAGGTGAAATGATATTTTTTTTAAATTTTTCATAAATAATTTTTTTTATTGTTTATAATCGTTTTTCTTATATGTCAATTGTTTAAATAATTACTTAAGAAATTATTTTATTCTGAAAAATCATCATTGACCCTTTTCAATGGATTAACAGAGACATTATTTTTTTATAAATAATTTCATTGTTTATTAATTTAGCAATTTGTTATAAATAAATAATATTATTCGCTATATTTATTTTTCGAAAACTTCAAAAAATTACAAAAACAACCATATATAACAAAATATGGAAAACATTTTTTTTTGTTTTTTTTACAGCACTTTTAAATATTATACCATAATGAAATTACAGCCGTTACATAATTTGTCAAGTTATAAATTGTAATAACTTTTAAACTATAAGAAAGGTAAAGGACATTCAAGTTATTTTTGTTAAGGATTTATTTAATTATATTGTAAATTGTTACAATATAAAGCAAGTGAAGAACAAGCGATAACTCACAGTTGCGCACGTAGAAGGTGTCGCAGCGGCCGAGGCGCGGCACGCCGACGGTGGCGTCGACGGCGGCTACGCGGTCGGCGGCCAGGCAGCGCGCGGCGCGGCGCAGCGCGCGCTCGCCCGCGCGCAGCGCCAGCGCCACGCCGCGCGCGCGCAGCGCGTCCGCCGCCGCGCGCGCCGCGCCGCCGCGCGCCACCACCGCGTGCGGCCGCAGCGCCAGGATGCGCGCCGCGCACCGCGACAGGTACTCGCGCTCCTGCGCCCCGCCCACCGCACACACACTATAGCTATGCTACCAGATACTTATAGTAAGGGAGCCCGAGAAGGGATTTTTGCAGTTACTCAGGCGCGGCACATTGATATAATCGACATAAACTTTATAGTCGATTTTTAACTCTTCGGCTTATGCAAATTGACAGATTATTGAATTACACATCTTTCAGGATGTAACTAGCCCACCATACTTTAGTCTGACGATTTCGAGTATTTTTATCGTGATCGGCAACCCTAAACGCAAGCCCTTATATAGAGGACTTATATTATGGTGGATACTCAACAGAGTGCAAGGTAGGGGCCCCTTATGGCCCCTTGGACTCCCCTACCATTAGGAGTACCCGGTAGCATAGCTTCCCGACACAGGACATGAGTCTATATACCGTAGAGTATACAAGTACATATACAGACATTGGCACTTTTTTAAATTTATTATGTTTAAGCCTGATTTTTAAATTCCATTTCATTGATTTACGTTTTTTCATTATTCATGAATATAAAATATAGAAATTGAACAAATTTTACTTCATATAACAACTAACAACTTACCCCCACTTCGATCGGATCTCCAGAGACCCTGTGCATAACTACATCATCTGTATTCTAAATTTCACCCAAATCCATTCAGCCATTTTAACAAAAGCAAGAAAGAGTTACAAATATACACATACGCATAAAAATAAAAATTACACTATTTACATGGATAACGAGATATTAAAAAAAAATATCAAATTAAAAAAGTAACTGAACAAAACGTGGGCAAGTCATTTGTTATAGTTTTTTTTTCATGTTTGTATTTTTTTGGCTAAAATATTGATATTAAAAAAAACTAAACTATTTAATATTTAAAATACAACCCATACCTGCATTAAGAGAGGTTCTAAAGATGTCAACTTCCCCTCGACCCTTTGATAGGCGATTGAACAATCCAACAATAGTACAGTTGGGTTTTTTATATATTTCGGCATTCCCCTGAAATATGAAATGCACATTTAAAAAAGCGGAAAGCAAGACTGCTTAAAAATTATGTCGTAATTATTATGTATAATAAATATTAATATGTTTTATAATAAACAATCTATTTTGTACAAGTTGGTTTGGAAGTTCAGTCGTTTTATAAAAACGCAAACGCACGAGCAAAAGGACACAAATAACGATGTTGTTTAGAATACTTAAGAGATACACATAGTCGGTAACGATTATATAAATAATAATTTGAAAACTAATGAAAACACAGTAAATATTAGAAATAGAAAAACCTTGTAATGCGCTGATATCTTCCTTCTCAACAGTTTAAAGATAAAATTCGAAATAAATTACTTTGCGTCACGACACTTTTTAATGCACGTTGCTCGATTTCTATGATACCCATATATCACATAAAAGTTGGGGGATAAGATTATTAATGTTCCTACGGAAATGGCAAATCATTTTAATGACTTCTTTATTAGCCAGACTGCCAATATCATCTATAGTTCTAATAAATTGGATACAAAATCAATTAATAATTCCAGTTCTAAATCTTTATTTCTAAATCCTGTAACTCCTTTTGTTATTATAGATAAAACACGCATAGTACTGGGTATGACGAAATATCTACAAAAGTCTTGAAACATGTATCTTCTATTGTCTCTCCCGTTTTGTGCTACGTTATTATTTACTTTTTAGTGCTTTTGTTTGAAGTCTGTTTTTATTTTTTTGTTAAAAAGTTTTTATATATAATCATTTGCCTAAAGATATTTTAGAAATTAATGAAATTAATGTATTTAAACGTAAATTGAAGAAATTTCTATTAGAAAAGACGTATTATTCAGTTAAAGATCTGGTTAATACCCCCCCAACGTGCGTTCACCTTGTCGTGGTGGGGGGGCTCAGTAGTGCCCGGCAACCCAACCGGGCGCGAAGCCAAGAAACGCACAGGGAGGTGGCCCACTTCGGTGGGCGGTGGGAGGTGGCCCTCTTCGGAGGGCGGTGTACCATGCGGGTTGCTCCTGGTACTTCTCTGATAGCAGAGTGGACTGTGGAGCAACCCCGGATATTGGATAAGGTGTAATATATAATTTTAAGCAGGTATATAGGTATTGCAATTAACTAGCTAAAAGAGAATAACTATATAAGATATAACATACATTACACAGGAAGTTAAACAATACTGAATAATATGTTATTATGTAAAATATGTTATCGTTTGTGATTTTAGGTATATTTTAATTATTGAAATATTGCATGCTGTAAGGCTGAATTTGGCTAAACATTAAATATATTATTATCAAAATCTAAATGTATGTACTAAGCCAAGTTCGCAATAAAATGTTTGATTTGATTTGATTCGACCCTTAGTGCTCGTAACAATGTTCATGAGCTAAGAGCGAACAGCGAAAGGAACTTTGTTTCTATCGGATGCCCGGTGATGTCCAAGAGATTGGACTTGATGGAAACGCGTGTGTTAATAGCAATTTTCATTTTCAAATAATAATATTCAATACACACCATTACATACAAAATAATCATATACTAGCGACTTACCCCCGCTTCGCTCGGGTGCGTTACTAGGTACGTTTTATATAGATAAAAATAGTTATTTAGAACGTACCTTAGAAGATAAACACATGCTATCGCGGAATTATTTATAGGCCTACAATTTTCTAATACATTGTTTTGATTTACCTTCTAAGGTTTTAGCCAGCAACAATTTACGAATGACTCGACAGAACAGTTATTGTGTTTTCCCGTGCAAATGAAAGATTTTCCTGCAGTAAAAAGTATCCTAAATGTCGACCCGAGTAACAAGTTATCACTACACAAAATTATGTTAAAACCAGTTTAGTACTTTTGCGTTAAATGCACACAGATATGCTGACAAACAGATAAAAGATTCAATAATTATGTTTTGTATACAACACGTAAGTCATTCATTCTAACTATTTCACTATATATATGTATAGATAGATAGCAATTAGCAGCAAGTGAGCAACAACCTATGAGCGACGTTCTTGGTCATGACGACACCATTGATGAGGCAGCTGTCGTTCATGCAGCCGCCAGGCACTTTCTTTACATGCACGTAGTTGCGCACGTCTATATCCATGCCCATCATGTCTGAAAAACATATAAATATATAATTAGCCCGTTTAAACCGTCCCACTGCTTCAAAAAATTGTTAACTTTCCTCAGACAAGCGGGTTTATCAGTGAACTAGCGACTCGTCCTCGTTTCGCTCGGGTTTGTCCCTAGCTTGCTTACCAAAACAAACTTTCATCCTCATTTTCACCCCCTTACGGGGTGATTTTCGGAATAAAAAGTATCCTATGTCCTTCCCAGGGTCTCAAACTATCTTCTTACTAAATTTTATTTAAATCGGTTCAGTAGATCCAGAGATTACACCCTGCAACCTCACAAACTCGCAAACTTTACCTTTTTATAATATTAGTGTACATGAATTTTCACAATCGGATCAGTAGCCTCAGGGATCACTCCTGGTCCTTTCATACAAACTTACAAACATTACCTATTTATAATATTAGTATAGATATAGTATCTGTATATTGATATGTCAGTGGTAGTCCAGTGGTAACCAAGTGAAGCGGGTTCAAATCCCGGGTCTCGCACCTCTGATATTTTCATGTGCGAATCATTTCCAACATGATTACCACTTGTCTTACGGCAGAGGAAACATCGTGAGGAATCCTGCATGTCTGAGAGAACCTAGCAAGTTTTCGAAAGACATGTGAAGTCGGCCAACCCGCACTCGGCCAGCGTGGTGGACTATGGCCTGATCCCCCTCGTACTGAAGGGAGGCCCACCCCCAGCTGTGGGACGTCAATAAGGGCTGATAATACATACATATATTGTTAATTAATGTAAAAAATAAATGGCAATGGCAATGTTCTGATCAAAAATTATTCAGCAATCATCATTACTCTATTTTTGTTCAAGTATTGTATGTTAATATAAAGTATGCATATGTCAATGATAATTTAATAAATGTTACACTCGAAATAACATTTAGTTTAATTTTAAACTTATTAAAATTTGTAACGTAATGGAATTACTTAATTACCATACTTCTTTAATACATAAACTAAGTAAATGAAAGACGTTTGTTATTAAAATAAATTATTTTTATGATAACATATACTGTATCAAACTATTTAAATCGATGAAACCGTTTTTTTTTTCTTTTATAATTTTTTTATAGTATAGTAATTCCATTACGCAAGAAGCAAAATTATTTGAAAATCCCTCGTACGTACGCGTGTGTGTATGCTTATATATGTGTGCGTGTGTATGTGTACGTGTGTGTGTGTGTGTGGTCGCTCACTGACCGAGCGTGACGGCGGCGGCGGCGGCGCGCGCCAGCGGGTACAGCACGTCCAGCCAGGCGGCGGGCAGCGCGGCGCGCGCCAGCCACTGCCGCGCCAGCAGCCGCAGGTGCGCCTCGCCCGACTGCTCGATGGCCTTGCACGCCGGCTTGCCGCCGCCGGCTGCCCGCACACGTTATACGATCATTATATACTTTATTTAAACGACACACATAAAAACACAAACAAAAGAAGCGGGCGGCCTTATCACTGGGAACTCTCTTCCTACCATCCTAAGGTCCACCTTAGGGTGGAGGAGTAAGTTTGCAAAAAGATGATAAGCGGTTACTTGCTTTGACACAATAATTTTAAAATTAATCATTTCACGCTTTGGATGGAATGTTTTTCGTGAAGTTATAAGACAACCTTTAATATATTCGAAAAAAAAATCTCATATATTTACATGATTCAAATTAGCGAACAGACTGTAGAATATACACAAAAAAAATTATAACACATGAATTTAATGCCCATTTCCTTTTTTTCTCTTTATCTTTCACTCAATAAGGGCTATCGAGCACTGACGGGTAAAATACTACGGTTGTTGTTGAAAACGTATTTGTTAACGCCAATAAATTTTATTTAATAATAATAATTGTTGGCACGAAATGAATTTGTCAAGATTTTATTTCTAATTTTAATTTTGATTTTATTTCATAATTGATAATTGATGATAAAAACCGTACCGTATGTCTGCCATAATTTATGAGGTATGGTGCAATCTTTACAACAATCATGTATAATTAGTGAAAATCGGCGATGGAAAGCTTTCTAACAGTAAACGTTTAGTGACATTTGACATTTCTATAGACCTCACTCTACACTAGCGCCTCTCGCGGCCAATTCAAATGCGGTAGCCATCATTGAATGCCCATTTTTCTTTCTACTTCTTTCACTCTTAAGTCGTATTTTTTGTGTGTTACGTGATATTTTTGCCAATATTCGATCGATTTTCATGTTTTTTTAATAAATACACAACACAAGCGTCATCCTAAATAAATGCCAACAACAGTTCACTAAAGGTGTAACCATTATTATTTTAAAGTGATTTTGGTGTACCTTCTCAGTTATCACTTTACAAATCAAACAAAAATTACTTTTTTGGAAAAAAAACACTTTCTAAATAAAATTATTTTCTTGGATTTTGTCGCAGATATATTTGGATTTTTGGTTTCTGACGGTTAGGATGGTTTACAGCAATCATGCTTACGGTAATATTCGCGTAAGTCTAAGAAATTATTACTCACTTTCATTATGATCTAAAATTGGATGGTCCTCTTCGTTAGACGACGTTGACTTTTTTTCTGTTGAAAAAAAATATGTAACAGATAATAATTAAATAATGTAATAAATACAGATTGTAATATGTTATTATATGCATACCGGTTTTCACGTTTGCATGCTTGTTAGTCATATTGATTAAAAATTTCTTAACATACAAAAAATATTATTTTCTTACATTTGACATTTTAAATTAAAAAAAAATCGCGGTTTTTTTTATTTCCAATATTTTGTATGTTGTACAGAAAAAAATAGTCACGGGAGAAATAAAGACTGCATCATCATTGCAATTAGTATTCGATAAAAACACTTCGGTAATCATGCCTAACTAAAGAGACAAGTCACTTAAGTAATCTACCTGACTGCCTCAGGAGATCCTGGGTACGAGTCCTGGGTCGGGCCAGGTTTCGTTATTGAGTCTTTCTGTTAAGAAAGTTCCAGTAACAGCCCGGAGTTGAGATGTTAGCATTGTTTCACCCGCATACCGAGGTAGAAAAACCTAAAGCCGAATCATCGTCCCATCAGAGTATGAAAGTGACAGGAATAGAGAGTGTACATGTGTCTCCTATAATATCTAGTAATACTGTTCTACCGTCATACAGTTTAACTAGTACGTTGGGCAGCGTTTCATCGAATTTTGCTAGCTCAGCCTTAGTATTAGAGTTCATTTTGCATTATATTACATATTATAGCTTGCTAAATGTATAAATTTAAAAAAGTATAAATTATAATACATATTTGATATGTATATCAAATATATCATATTATATATGTGACGACATGTTTTGCTCAGTTTGTAGTGACCCTAATTATTGAACCAGCGGTCGCGGGTTCGAGTCCAGCTGGGGGCATTCATTTGTATGATGAGCACGAATGTTTGTACTCCAGTCATGGATGTTTATATTTATAATATGTATGTATTTAAGTTATATAAATATGTAGTGTATCAGCTATCTGGTATCCATAACACAAGCCTCGTAGCTTACCATGGAACTAGATGGTGCTGTGTATGAATGTCCCAACATATTTATTATATTTGTATTTACAAATTAAGTAATCTAAGCTGTTCATGTACTTTTACTGAAACAAATAAACAAAATATGCTCAGATGGCTAGTTTCAGTGATATCAGGTCAGAGGAGCACATCATCATACCTGACTTTGTAGCTTTGATGAGTCTCGCCGAGCTGTTGTCAAGGTTCAGGTCGAGACAGTACGATGAGACGCTTTCTGTCAACCTGTTGCTACACTCTTCATCTAAAATAGGGAATAATTTATTAGCTAAAATATCACTTATTTTACAAAAAAGAAAAAGATGAAATTTTAAAATACAATTTCACTTTGATTTTTTTAAATATACATATAACATAAATATTCTAAATATAAAAAAGTTGTATAATCCTCAGTAATTAGGGTAATAAGTTTGTTTTGTGTATTAATAAATGGCGCTGTTTTGTGAGATCATTTTATGAGATGTTTTCTCCGATCACAGACAATCATAAATGTTGAAAATTTTGGTTTTATGTTGTATTATATTTTACGCATATTAGTGGACGCGATAAATTAAAAATTTAAAAACCCCCCTACGCAAATTAATTGTCATTTAACGATTACACTGGCACGCGTGAAGCACTTAATCAAGTAATCATACGCCAAAATGTCTTAGGGTTCCGTATCATTATCTATAAAAATGGCAAAAAATCATGTCTGTTGTATGTATGGGAGTTAAGAGTTAAAGTGAATAATATATAAGTGAAACTAAATATTCTGTAAATATTTCAAGCGTCTACCTGTTGCCGTTACCAATACCGAGCAAAAACGACCAAAAAAAAACACGCTTGTTGTATGGGAGTCCCCTTAAATATTTATTTTATTCTGTTTTTTAGTATTTGTTATTATAGCAACAACAGAAATACATCATCTGTGAAAATTTCAACTGTCAAACTATCACGGTTCATGAGATAAAGCCTGGTGACAGACGGACGGACAGCAGTCTTAGTAATAGGGTCCCGTTTTACCCTTTGGGTACGGAACCCTAATAATAACGATACATATAAGGTGACCTGGCGTCGTCTCCGCGACGTCGTCGTCGTGCGCGAGCGGCGCCGGCCGGTACAGCGCGTAGTCCGCGAACTGCGCCGGCTCCGTCACGCGCTCCATGTACCCGTTGCTCAGCAGGCTCTGGCAAACCAGTGTCGCTTGGACCCTTCAATTATATATATTATTTGTATCATCGGACTGCTATAATTATAAATGCGAAAGTTTGTATGTTCTCGTGTGTGCGTATACGCGTATATGTTTTTTTATGTAAACTTCTTTACGCACGCTTGAATTGGATAGTAAGCTGGTGAAGAGAGCGTTACAAAAAGTGTTATCGGGCGAGACGAACGTTTGTTGCCATGGTAACCGTTGTTATTGTCTGACAAATGATATGTAATATTATATTCTTTCCTTAAATGATATTCCATAAATATATTATTATAATATACTTAATATGCGTTATTTAATTATGGTTATTAAAATTTATCATTCCTTTTACAAACAGAGAGTTGGGGCATACGGGATGAAATCTTTAGCTATTTTTGTTCTGTTACGTAAAAGAAGTATAACTTCATACGTGCGTTCATAAGTACACACACACGTTTACACGTTTTTTACTAACAAAAATGTATATTTACTACTAATAATTTTATAAAAATGATTGATGATATTCATATTTTCATTTGTTTTAAATTTTAATTTAATTGTGGTATCTGCTACGGCTCCAAAGAAGTTTTACTTCAATCAAGAGAAAAGTGTTCCACACCTTAGTAGTTAGTTTCAGAAACGTTGAACTAAAAGCGCTTCGTGGGAGTTGGTTGGACTTCTAACACGTAAGGATGCCAGCGCTCACGACTTCTCGCAGTTCTGTGGTAAAACGGTGAAGGAGGCATAAGGTTGTGTGTTGTTTGTGTGTGCGTGTATGTGTGTTGTGTGAATATGTGAGTGCGTGTGTGTGTGAAGATAACACAAAGATATTACCTAGTTTTATGCGACGTGTTGTCGATGAGCCATTGCATAATGTCGCATCCTCGCCATACATTGTTGTACCTCACTAGACGATACCTTTGTAAAAATTAATAAATATTAATATAGTGCAAGTTTAGTAAGTATCCAAATTAAAGCATTAAAAATGTTTTATGCAACAAAAAATATATATTTATAACACCTATCTATAGAATCACATTTTTTTTTAATTCTAGAAATCTGTAATAAAATTTTAAATTTACTGCGCTTAAACATAACTAATACTTATTATTAGCATTAAAATCTGGATTAAAAGGAACATGTTCAATGTTACCCAGACCAAAAAGTAAAATATTCAATGTTAGCCTGAGCCAAAGCTTATATCCCATACACACCTATGCTGTTGTGTTGGAAGCGCATAATAAAGCATCCTGTACACATCGTGTAGCGCCTCCTTGCTGGAGTTGCGCACTTCACACGGCTCCTGTTCACGCGCGAATATAAAGTCCCTGTTTTTATATACTTGGTTTTTGTTCTCCGGGAACTTCACCTGATGGATGATTACATTTTTGAATTTATTTCTTTTTAAATAAATCAAAATTAAAAATCTTCCCTCTCAAATGAAGTAATAAATAAGCTTCATTAAGTTAACAAAAAATAAGTTTTAAAAAATAACCAATAACAGTAATTGAGACAATAAACACATGTTAATTATTTTTTTAGTTAAAAAAAATATTCTCAAATATTTAAGCTAGATATTTGCTAGATGCTAGTGCTAAGCTAGTGCTAAGTGCTACAAGCTTGCACTCCTGTGTGTTACGCAATATCTTCGCCAATTGTGAATTTGTTAATAGAGAGTTTATTTTATTAAATAAACATAAATGTTATGAGGATAGCCCCCCTCATTCCTTTTAAATTCGGAAAATAAATATATCTATTATTTCATAATTCATCATAATATTTCCTTTTTACCTGTAAGCTCTCCTGAAGTGTTTTCAGATCAGGCGATATATCCCCACTCATGTCGTTCTCGCGTAAATACGTAAGAACTACTTTACAACAATACGTACACACGCGCAAGCCCCCTGCACACCCAAATATTTGACCTAGAAAAAAGAAATATCATATGTTTAATCCTACTAATAATAGAAATCATTCTTAACTCAATTAAATATACAAAACTCTTATAATAAAATGTTTTTTTTTTAAATAAGTAAATTTTGCTCATTACTTAATAACTTTATAATTGTTTTACAGTCAATTAAAGAAATCACGTGTAATTTACATTTTAAATTATAGAATTAATGCAAAAATAAAACTTATAATATATGGACATGAGAGAATACATACCAGGCACACGCTGGCTACAGCAGCGTGAACAGAATATCTGTCCGCACACTCTGCAGTGGTGGCGTCGGCGCAGAGCGCTGAATCTCGCTGCACATTCATAACATTCACGAGAAATATCATCTGGCATCCAATATCTGGCTAATTCTGTATCTGCATATTTTGTACCACTCTGTAATGCATGGTTCAAATATTATACCATTCCACTATGTATGAATATCTCTAAAATGATGATTAGATTTATCCTATTTAAAAACTCCAATAGGATCCCATCAAAAGCGACAAAAGCCACATAGAAACCAATCAATATATATTGCTCTCTATGTGACTTTTGTCGCTTTTGATGGGATTCTATTGGAGTTTTTCAACAGGGTAGTGCATTTACGATCAAGAATGGATAGGCTGTGTAGTGTGTATTAACTATGCAAGCAAAGCCTCATTAAAAAAATGGTATATATAAAAAATGTTGCTTATTATTTTCCTCAATGGCTTATACCGATCGAATTTGATATCCGATCGAAACTAAAATTTATTTATATTTGAACAAGTAATTAATCTTTATAATTTTACTTCAGCATAGGTAGAGTGAGCAAAAATTAGTTATCAATAAGAGTGGCTGTATTTTGCACATAATTAACTTATTTACTTTTTAGCTGAAATAAAACTCCACAATGTATTTTTAATGTTATCAAACTAATTTTTTATTTCTTTACTCTAACTGAAGTGTCATTACTACAAATTTAAAAGCTATTGCCAGCCAGTGAAAACTCAATACTAAATTAACATATATTTTTTATAACCATATAATATATTAAACAATGGCTGTTGTTTAGTAGGTATGTAGAGAACATGTCCCCTAGAGGGGTAGGTTATGTTTTTAATAGATAAGGCAATTATCTTGAGTAAATAAAAGACAGTCATGGAAGCTTGACGTGACAACCTTCCAATTTCCATACATTACTATGATTTTGCACTCGCCCTATCCTTCTTATACTTTGCAATAATTAATTATCAAACATAAATAATACTTTAAGTAATTAAGAAAATACTCTATGGAAATAAGAAAATAATATAAAAGAAAAATTATATGGTATGGTGTGGTATATTCGGGCTTGTTTCCGCAACTCGACATCTGCATGCCTATTTTGCATAAGAAAAATTATAATATACAATTATTTATTTTAGGTCCCTACTTCTCCCATTTCTTCCTTTCAAGTCAGGAAATTAGATAGACTAGTTAACAAAGTCAACTGCCACACAAAGGCTTTAATTTAATATAGATTGTTTATGTTGTTAAAATAAAAATAAAAATTTGAAGAAGGAATTTTTTGATAACTAATTTTGAATTTTTTTTGTTGGGACATTAACACACAGCACCATCTAGTTCCATGGTAAGCTACAAGGCTAGTGTTATGTATACCAGATAGTTGATACACTACACATTTATAACTTTAAATACATACATATTATAAATATAAACACTCGTGACTGGAATACAAATATTCGTGCTCATCGCACAAATGTATGCCCCCGGAGGGATTTGAACCTATAACTGCTGGCAGAGCAAGTACACTACAGGTCACTACAAACTGAGCCAAACGTGTCATCCAAATATTAGCATTAGTAGTATAATAAGCAGTAAAATATACCTAGTAGAACTATAACTTTAGTCCTTAATGTTGTTTCATGTCCTTAAAGTAGGTTTTATATTTTGAGGCTCTCTATCACTTTCCCTTATTGAAAAATATGTGGGCAGCTCACATGCTAAGCTTGTGCTAAAAACTTTTCATGACTTTTTATAACTATTAAATAAATCTGAAAGCATACCCCTGAACCCAACGCAACAAGGCCGCTTATTCGCTTTACAATATTGGGTAAACTCCTTCCTTCACATTCCTCAACATAGCTCACAGTTTCCAATTTATCTTCGTAAGCTTTTTCTTCAGTGTGTTGTTGTATTGGTTGCTCATCTGTTTTTACGTCACTCTGAACCTTATTATCCTGATTATCTGCAGTTTCACTGGGCGTAAATATGGGAAACTTCCATAATTTATTGAGAAATGTAGTTACACCGCCCTGGCTTGATTCAGATTCAAAACGAGGAAATTCTGTAAGCTGGGAAGTATCATATTTCTCCATGGTTAAGACGAAATTACAGTGAGTTACAAAAAGGTTTTGTAAAACACAAACAAAAACTATCGCGAAAATTGCATTTTTGACATTGACAATTACTAAAACATCCCATCCCCATGACAATTGACAATCGTTCAAAACATTCGTAACAGAAGATAATTTGAAATTATATTTAATTTATTTACTAGGCATTATTTACTAGCTGCAGGCATTTATTGTTTATAAATAATAATTAATTCATTTAAGTATTATACTTGATCTTGATTCTCAATAATTTGCAATATTTTAATGTAATGTAGTAGACTGTGGCTTTAGTCAGCTTTGGCCATTATTGAGACTACACTTTGGTCGTTGCTAGCAAGGATGACAAATAAAAGTTGCTAGGACGATGTTGTTCCTTGTCTATGCCTTTTATCTATATCTATGTTTGTGATAAAATGACAAATTGAATTTGACAATTAGCCATTAGGTATTAAAATTTGTAATTTGTTAATTTCGCTTACGGATCTTGTATTTTAAGTTAAACATAATATAAAAATGGGTGAAGTATCTTTAGAAACTTCAGCTTATGCAAAAATAATGCTACATGCAGCGAAATACCCACATTGTGCTATAAATGGAGTGCTTCTTGCCGATAGCGCTTCAATTAGATCGGGAGCTAAAAACCAGGATTTAGATATCCTGGACGCTGTGCCACTGTTTCATCATAGTCATTATCTATCTCCGATGGCCGAAATTGCATTAACACAGGTATTACGATATAATTAATTCCTCATTAAATTTAACACCTATCTATTATCAACATGTACCCAGTTAATATTTTAGAATAATTATCATTATATATAAGTAATTTTATGATACTTATAGTATAGGAGTAAAATTGTTTATCTAGTTTTTAATTGACATTATTACTATTTTTAAGATCGAATGTATGGCTCAAGCTGACAACAGAATTATAGCAGGCTATTATGCAGCCTGTGAGAACTTTAGAGATAATACAGTTGAAAAGTGTCCAGGCCAGAAGATTGCAGAAAAGATTGCTGAACATTTTCCTTCAGCTGTTTTCATTGTGGTAAGAAGAATATTTAAATGTTTATATCAACATTCAAAATTTTGCCTGTACTTCTTAGAACTAAAGATTTTTTATCAAAAGTAGTTGAGTACGTTAACAAGTATTATAAGCATAGTTATTAAATAAAGTTTAATGAAGAATAAAAGTTAATAAAAGGCAGTGGTAGCCCTTCGGTAACTGTAGAATCTGAGCGTAGTTATTTGGATATAGAAGCAAACACAATGTACTGCTCTTAAGTGTTTAATGCGAGACTGCTGTGACCATTACAGTTCACAAAGAAGAAATAATACATATAATAATATGTATTCTACCTACATCACAGTAACATGTTCATTTGGGTAACCAAGTGAAGTGGGTTCCAAAACCTGGATCTCGCACCTATGATATTTTCACATGCAAATCATTTCCAATGTGATTACCACTTGTCTTATGGTGAAGGAAAACATTGTGAGGAAACCTGTATGTTTGAGATGACCTAAAAAGTTTTTGAAAGACATGCTCAGTTCACCAATCTGCACTTGGCCAGCGTGGTGGACAATGGCCTGATTCCCCTCGTACTGAAGGGAGGCTCGTGTCCAGCAGTGGGACGTTAAAAAGAGCTGAATACAAATAAAGAAATAAATCTTTTAAATGACAATAAACTAATAAAATCTCTTTTTTTATTCTAGGTGGATAATAAAAGAGTAATGCGACACTTGGATACTCCTGCTATTAAAATGCACAAATACAGTGAAGGCAAATGGAAGCCAAAAGATGCCACTAAAGTATTATTCCGTAAGTGATGATGATTATTTATATTAAAAAGTAAAATTCAAATTAATATTAAATATTTATAAAAGTATATTGCTTTTAAGTGTATAGTAAAATATATAAATTCATTTTTCAGAAACCCCATATGTTTTAGAGACAGTGTCTCATTTACTTCAACGAGGTGTACAGAAAGATCTTGTAGATTTTGATAATTATTTGGATGATCTATCCCAGGATTTCACCAATCTTGGCATTGAAAAGCTAATTGCAAGTATAAATGCATCAAACACAATTGACTGTAAGGATAAAGATTATGATGATTAAATTATAATGTATAGATAATATAGGTGAATAGTTAATATTAAAAAAACAAAGTGTAAAATGGTTATTTGGTTTATTAATTATTTATATTCTTGTTAAGAGAGTTTTAAATAGATTTTTTTTTATGAATATAATAGTAAAATAATCCCATTATTATTATAAATGCGATGTGAAATGTTTGGATGGCTGTATGTTTGTTTGTTACTCAATAGATAATAACGCCAAAACAACTGAACGAATCTGAATGAAATTTGAAACAGACATAAATTATAGTCTGGAATAGCACATAGGTTACTTTTTATCCTGGAAAAATGTACGGCTTTCATTGGATATCCATACAACCTGTTAAAACATACCTAGGAAACAACATGAGCAAAATGAGGGTAACTCGCTAGTAATTCATAAAATGTCTATCCAATACTCTTTTATTGTTATATTAATAATATATTTGGATTTAATTTTATATACATAAAATAATGTTTCAATAAATTTAATATACTTAATTTTATATGTATATTTTGTACATACTATAAAGTTAATGGAAAATAAATTCATTATTAAAACATTTCACTATGTTCATATATTAATAAATTTATAATCCTGGAAATGAATAATTAGAAAAAAGATTAATTATCTGTATAAAGCAATCTTTTAACTAAGATTTTTTCAATGGTTTTTTTTAACTTTACTAGTACAGATTAAAATAAAAGTTATATAATCTGTACTTATAACTTTTCTATGTCCACAAAAATATTAAATAGTGTAAACATGTAATGTTTTGCTATGTAGGATTTAAGTTATTTAATTCATTCCTTTTAAATATTGTTTATTTTAAACACAGTTTACTCAGCTTCACAAGATGTTCTTAATATGAAAAATTCCTATTCACATGATGTAATGGAGAAGTTTCCAACTTTATGTATTAATTATAAAAAAATAATTTAAAATATAACAAAAATATGAAAGAATTATTAAAATATCTCAACAAATGAAAAAGGTCATGAAACTTTTAAGTTGCACTTGTAAGAATAATTTTGTGACATCACTCGACCTGAATGACCAACATTTAAATTCATTTCTCAGATATATATTGATAGATTTAAAAAATAATATTTCCTTAGATTTACGCGAATGTTTGACATTATTAAAGAAAACTATCTTTTCGGATTATTTCGCGGATTTATTTTGATTTTTGGTTCCCGACGTTTCGAATGCTTTACAGCATCCATGGTCACGGGAGACTAAGCTGTTACATGTCTTGAATGTATAGTTGTTACAGACATTTCATCAGTTATATATATCAGTTTGTTAATTGTGGATAGGCAGTCTGTAACAACTATACATTCAAGACATGTAACACCTCAGTCTCTCCCATGACCATGGATGCTGTAAAGCATTCGAAACGTCGGGAACCAAAAATCAAAATAAATCCGCGAAATAATCCGAAAAGATAGTTTTATTTAATAAGATTTAAGAAAATCACTGATTTATTAGTTTATCTACATTATAATTCCATTTCGTTAAATGTGATATTAATAACATCATGAAACTTCTCCAATATTTGTAACTTATTGTTTTGTGTTTTTGTATGTTATTTAATTATAATAAAAAAGGGCGTATTTACAAAAAGTTTATTTGAATTATATAATACATGATGTACTTTTCTTTTGGTATTTCTGGCATTTATTATATTATGATACATTATTAAAGTAATCTTCTATCAGTTTCTTGCACTTATTTATACCACTTAAGTCTCCAGCCTTTCCCTGGAACTTGCCATTTTTAAAAGCTCCCTTGCCTTTCAATATATCTGTTATTCTAAAAATAAGTAATATATTAATATAATAATCTTATATAATAGCAACATTCCAGTAACAAATAAGAATTCTACTATACAATAAAAAAGTAAATTATGAAAAAAAAAGTAGACTGCACAAAGAACAAACTAAAAAGATGGAAACAAAATGACCAAGGAACATGGTATTATGCGTTGCTCATGCATTTGAGCTTCAACATATTTGGATAAAATAATACTTACTCTTGCCCTAAAGCCTTGCAATGTTCTTCTGGTCCTTGTATGATAATTTGTCCTTCTTTTGGCTTATCTGGATCTTCGGAAGCCAAAAACATAAATAAATTCTCACTCTCCAACGTCTTACAAATATTTCTATTAAATTCTGGAGTAGCTTCTTTTTTAAACATAATGACATATTTGGGCTTTGGTTGACTATTTTTAATCCTATCTACTTCATACTGAGCCAATTCTGATAAAACATTTTGTAGGTTTTTGTTTGCAATTTTTAGGTTTTTTTGTAATTTCATAACTAGCTCTTCATGTTTGCTTGGTTCATTTCTGTAATAAGACATAGTATAACTATTCATTTGTTTAACATAAAATAATGTTTCAATAATTACATACAGGAAAATGTACGTAATTCTCAATGAAATGGTAAATAAAACAATCGGCCATCTTTATTTTACTGAGCAGCAGTTAATTTAAAAGTATGTTATGATTTCTATTCAAATATATTACAAATATTATGGTATTAAATAGTAATAGGCCACATAAAAACAAAAAAAACCTCTATTGATATTAACACCTCCAGGTAAATTTCTAAGAAATTAATTATATTTCTAAGAAATCTATTGTTAACTCTAACGCCGGCGTGTCCGCGGTCGTGGAGGGATTAATATAAACTAATATTTTTTATTATTGAGATCCCATGATTTAAATTAAATACACCTTTTTCCCTTACTTCAATAGTCCAGTAAGTGCTTTTTCTCTATCCAACATCTGTTGAAATGTTTTTGTGATGCGATCTCCCACAATAAACTTGAGATTAGTCTTGCCTTTCTTCCCTGGTTCTGTACCCAGCAGTTTTATCATTTGCAATTGACTGTAAATAACAAATTACAATATGATTACAATTCCTAATAAGGATTCTGGCGTCTTTAACATTGCAATATGAAACTGAAGAATGGTGGCCAAGAAAATAAGGGAAAATGTCAGAAGTTTTAGCCAAGAAACACATTGTACTTAAAGCTTTGATTGGTACATTAGAGAACTAGTCTTTGTTTAACAAAATACTAAAAAAATGTTACCTCAAGTTAGACACATGAGTGCCACAGCACATGTTCTCATCTATATCTCCGATGCATATCACTCGTATAGTATCTATGCAATCCTTAGGCAAACCCCTTGTATGAGCCTAAAACCAACAGGTTAATTAATATAATTAATTAGTACAATAAAAAAAATTCCTTAATAAATTTATACCTTCTGGGGTGAAATATTTTTTTAAATTCAAATGGAATTACCATATAAAAGAAGAAAAATCATCTTTATTGTAAAATTTGAATAACAATTCAAGTGGTAAACTACTACAACTAAACATGTGACATGTAATAAAAAAATCAGTTTTACCCATGTTTTATATAAACATTCAATAACACAAATAATTGTTGGAATGTTAACACACAGCACCATCTAGTTCCATGGTAAGCTACAAGGCTTGTGTTATGGATACCAGATAGTTGATACATTACACATATATATATATATATATATATATATATATATATATATATATATATATTAAATAAATATTAAATTGATTCAATTATTTTTTTATATTACCTCATCCAAATTAGGATCATTTGCTTTACAAAATTTTACATTAACAGGTATTGCCGCAGTTATCAAGTCATTGCATCGTTTTTCTACACTTTTGACTACATCTTCACTGACACTTGCAGAGTTAAGTTCAACAAAACACTCATCGGCACCCAGCCACCAGCTAGTAGTTGGTAAATTGTTCTCTTTTTCTAGGATAGCTGATAAAAGATGTTGACCTGCAATCATATACATATATAAAAATATACTTATGTATAACACTCAAATGTTAAATAACTATCACAAAATATATAGTCAATTATGTTTAACTAATTTTAATATTCATTAACAGTATAAAAGGTACCTGAATGTTGTTGCATATGATCAAACCTTCTCCCCCAGTCAATCTTTTGCACCACATCGGTACCAACTTCTAAGCGTTCTCTGGTAAAATGAAGAGCTTCATCTCCTTTTCGCAGCACTTGAATCACTTCTGTGTTATTTAACCAACCAATATCATGAGGCTTAGAAAACAAATTTAATAATTATTTTTTATTATATTTGTTAAGCTAAAATAGTTTCAACGTTTATGAAGTTATTATTATTTATTTAATAGCTAGTTGTGCTGTTGGACAGTGTCTGTCCAGTCTAAACTTCAATAAAGTTTTAGAGTTTCGAGTACTATAAGTAGCATCCATTAAAAAATTATATGTAAATTCTATTTAACAAAAAATGAATAAATATATCATATAAATAACAATGAACATTATTTTAATTAAGTTACAATATAAATTTTGCTGTACCTGTCCACCTCCTGCTGGAAATAGTATAGTGTTTTCCAAAGTTATTTGATAACCTTCGAACTTGGACACTTTTCCATATTCAACAATAGGATCTTTAGTCTCTTCGCATTTTAATACTTTTGATGTGAACTGCGCATAATAACATAAATAATTCAAATTAATATAATTAAATTGAGTAGGTACTTAAAAACTTTTATTAAACTTTATTTTTTAATGAAACTATAATTTGAGTCGTAAGGTTATCGATGCAGAGAGTTTAAAAATAAAGAAAAAGCTATATTATTAAATTATTAAAGAATTATTAATTTTGATTTTGATCATATATTTATTTTCAAACATATAACCTCAAAACCAGTTTACATTTGTAACTTACCTCTTTCAAAAAACTATCTTCTTGGCATTTAAACACCATCTTTTTTATGATGTTTATTTATCTTTTAAATAACTAATAAAGTTTTACGTACCGACACATGAATTATTAAAACCGAAAACGTCAAAATTTTATGGAAAAGGAAACTTCAAACTACTGTCAAGAAATTGCTGCCAGCCTAATGTAATTAAATATTATTCCATAATTTTAATCTATTTTTTTTTATTGAAATAATTATAGTTAAAGTTTTTAGTAGTTTATTTGAAGAGAATAGAAGTATCTTTTGGTGCGTTATGGAAAAAATGATGAGAGTGAATTTTTTACGGTGCGACATATTTAGACTACAGTGTGATGTTGGTCGTTATAGACTATAGTATAAAGTTAGTTCGTCGTTAAATTTCCCTTTAGTAATATAGTAAGTGCGTTGTCTATATTAATTATATTCTTTATTGCACTTAAAATATGATACAGAAAAAAAATAACAAAGTAAACATAGTTCACAAAGGTGGACTTATCTCTAAAAGAGATCTCTTTCAGTCAACCCCTGGTTGTGGAAGAAGATGTCAGCGGGCAATATAGTGCAAAAAAAATTACTAAATATATACTAGAAATAAAGGTAATAATAATCACTTATACATACATACATACATACATATATACATATATTACATATAAAAATATATAATACTATACATATATGATACCTAATGTAAAGACTACTTATACATAGATACATATATACATATACATAGTTAATATATAAAATATGAAAATAGGGAAAGGTACTGATTGATACTGTCTACATTTGTGATAATAAATAATTTTTTAATTTACATTTAAAGACATGAATAGATGGGCTCTCATGGATGGTTTTGGGCAGTTGGTTCCATAGTACTGCGGCATGGACAGAAAAAGAATTTTGTTGGAATTTAGTATTGCTCCTAGGAATGTCGAGCATAGAACTGCAAGATCTTCTGGAACATGTAGGGATTGGTAGAAAGTTAAAACGGGAACGAAGGTAAGGATGGAAATTTTGATTTTTAAGGATATTATAAAGGAATGATAGGGTGTGCATATTACGGCGAAGACGTATGGGGAGCCACTTAAGCTGAGCACGGAAGTAAGAGATGTGGTCATATTTCCGCAAGCCAAAGATAAAACGTATGGCGAAATTCTGAAGACGCTCCAGTTTATTAAGTAGCTCCTCTGTCACATCCAGGAAGCAGACGTCGGCGTAGTCGAGAATGGGTAATAGGATGGATTGCGCTAGCATTATTTTGGTTTTGAATGGGAGAAAGTATTGGAGACGCTTAAGAGAATGATAGGAAAAATGCATACGTTTACTTAGTTCGGTAATATGAGGTGCCCAAGACATGTTACAATCAATGATGAGACCTAAATTTCTCACCTTATCCGAGTAATGTATAGGGATTCCAGAATACAGGATATCAGGTACTAAGGTCCAGTCAATTCTACTTCGTAGTCTGCTGCTACCAATTATTATAGATTGCGATTTTTTGGGGTTTACTAATAGACCGAAAGATTCAGCCCAGCTTTGGATCGCAGCTAAATCATTGTTCAAAGCCGTAACAGCCTCAGGCAACTCAATTAAATTACAATGTCGGTATATCTGCAAGTCATCTGCATACAAATGGTAAGGAGAAAGGTGGGGAAAGTACGCCGCCTTGGGGAACACCAGCTGTAAGATCCAACCATGACGATAAGTTATCATTGACTGTCACGCGCTGCCGGCGCCCGAAAAGATATGATTGGAACCAATTTATAACTGCGGGAGACATATTAATAGTTCGTAGAGTGCCAACAAGTATATCGAAATCAACCGAGCTGAAGCGCCACTGAAATCAAGCAAAACCATTACAGTGAGCTTAGTGTTGTCCATGGCGGACCGAATATCCTCCGTGATGTTCAGCAACGCGCCAACAGTACTGTGAAAAGGACGAAAGCCTGATTGGAAGGGACATAACAAATTATTCGAGGTGAGGTAAGTGTAAAGTTGGCTGTTAACGATAGATTCTAGGACTTTGGAGAGGATAAGGAGAATAGATATAGGGCGAAATTGGGTGGGATAAGTAGAATTAGAGGTTTTAGGTAATGGGATGATAAAAGCATTCTTCCACAGTGAAGGAAAAACATTGAATTAAAGATATTTAATCCAGTAAAAAATATCACAAGCTTTTATTTAGTTACACCTGTCCCGGTGTTCGTCTGTAATCAAATCTTGCAAATTAAGTTTCTTATTTGTCCCCCTTTGTTGTGTCCGATTGAGTTGAAATTTGGCACACGTTAGGTTCTCGTGACTGCACGATTACCTAACTGCCGCCATTTTTAATCCAATATGGCGGAAATTACAAAATGGCAATTTATTATTTCCATGGTGACCATGTTGATATGGGCATCAAATGAAAGGGCTTCACGAGCGAAAAACAATAAGCAAAGTGACGTCATTGTAAATCCAATATGGCGGACTTCCAAAGATTGCAGTGGATATCAAATGAAACATTTGATTCTCGTGACTATGCACGATTACTTAAATGCCCCCATTTTTAATTCAATATGACGGACGTCATCACATCATTTCCATAGTGACTCTAACGATATTATGGGCATCGAACGAAAGGGCTGGACGCAGTTTGTTTATTTAATACTTCATATATATATTGGAGGAAAATTGTAAGATCCGTTAAATAATTATTTCACTAGTTAAATTATAATTACCCGGAGTGTTGTCAATTGTCCTATAGTAGGTAGTAGTATAAAGTATGTTCCGTGTACCGGCATATCACTATTGGTATAAATGACTTTCAGCGACGAAGTCACAAAGAGAGAGAGAGAGAGAGAGACAAATGTTCACAAGCCGTAAAATATGATATGAAAGTATTTAGTTAGTAAAATAGAAATTAATTAATTAGCGGATTGAAATATAGCGTTTTAAATTTAATATATTCTTTATTTTCCGTAATAAATAAAATTATTTCATTTTCCATATTTTTATTTTAAAATAAATTACTAGGTACATAAATTATTTCTTTTTTGAATACGTATTCAAGGCTTGATCCAAAACTGATATAGCGTAATCAACATCCTTCTTGTTGATGCACATAGGCGGCTTAATTCTTAGCACCTTATAACAAAACAAAGCGTATGATTATCAAAAATAAAATATATTATTACAAAAAATATAATATATCAAAATATTTTTTTTTAGAAAATGTCCAACTTACATTATACCATCTTCCACCACGACCTATTAATATTCCAAGATCTTTGATGGTTTCCATAATATCAGACACGTCACTGGCACTAAGAGGTTTCTTAGTCCCAGGTTCTACCAATTCTAAACCCAACATCAGCCCTTTACCACGTACATCGCCAATTACTGGATGTAAATTTTGCAATTGCATAAGCTGTTCAATGAAATATTTGCCGGTCACTAAGCAGTGCTCTTGGAGATTCTCTTCTTCAATTACCTATGGATGTTCATAATATGTTATTTTAGAAATGATTTGGTCCTAGCTCCAGATTGAGTTAAGCTCGTAAATCGGACTAAGTTAATATAAAAATACTGATCACATTCTGAAAATTCGTAATGTCATATGATTTCTTAATATTAAAGAACGCGAGGAGGCTTTGACCTCTGTAATTAAGGCCTGAGAAAATTAATAATTTTACCTCTAACACTGCTTTTCCTACTGCAGCGGCCATAGGGTTGCCACCAAAAGTATTAAAATAATTCGCTTCAGTATGAGCATTTGCTATTTCTTTCGTAGTGACGACCGCTGCCAGAGGAAAGCCATTGCCAATTCCTTTGGCCATAGTTACAATATCTGGTATAACCCCATGGTTTTGGAATCCCCAGAACGCGTCTCCTGTCCTACCGAAACCTGTTTGTACCTGGAAAATATAGAAATATTTTATCATTCTTTCAATCTTAATTTAATAATAGGTACTCGATTTTTATGATACAAAGGTGGCAAATAAGTAATACCAGGGAAAGCATTTACGCAGTAACAGCCATAGGGTATAGTATAGATAACACATATAACATGATTTAGGGTAAACAAAGTAAGAAAATTAAAGAGGGTTACACTCATAGAATGAATTATAAGAATGTGGGTATATTACGTCTATATTGCTTGAGAGCGTAATATTTTCCGGCTTTTTAGACAGGTACAAACAATAGCTAGGCTCTTTTACTCGGGAACTCAATATTACAATATATGATTATTTAATTAAAATACTTAAATATTATAAATAATCTTTTACCTCATCAGCAACATATAGTCCACCATATTGTCTGATCAATTGGCTCGCTTTCCTAAGGTATCCTTTGGGAAACTGTACAGTGCCGTTAACTCCCTGGATGGATTCGGCAAAGAGTGCTGCCACACGACCCGCTGGCACGGAATTCTCTAGAAGCTATAAGAATTGGTACTTACATGTTTTTGAACTATAAAAAAGTATTTTATAATTAGTATGGACTTTTGGACTACTATTAAATGAGAAAGTTTGTACGTATGTGTATGTTTGTTAGGCCTTAACGATGAAACAAACGGCAATTGAATGAGTTTTAGTATACCTACATGTACATAGATAAACTATTATGACTTGGAATTATATATGTGCTACTGATCTATATACATTATACATATTTCGTGCAAGTTCGGTATAATTTACATTTTAATTTATATCCCGTTTATAAATAATAATATGCTGTGAACTAAAGTCACTACTATTATATATTACCTCACGTAGCTGATGAACATATTTGTCAGAAGAGGTACAGTCCCCTGGGCAGGCGCAAGCGTCACGCACTTGTGAGAACGAGTCCCGACACCCACCCCAGATACCCCGGTATGGGTCCGGTAGCATTGCCTATATAAAATCATTATTTGAAGAAGGAATTTAATATTTTTTTATTGCATCACAATTTAATCAGCGTATACCTAATAGTATAATTGGCAAATATTTTTATTAAACTAATAATAAACTGACACGAAAACACAAAGCGTTTGTTTATATATGAATTCTAACATTAATATATTTTGAAACAATATTATAGGTATAGGTATTACCTATGCCATTAATTTTGTAAGAGTTAATTAATATAAATAAATAAATGAATTTAGATATATTATTCTCTATATATCTCTCTCAATATTCAATATTGTGTATTATTTAAAAAAACTTTTTCATTTATAAGATTAATAGTCCTTACATGATGGAATCCAGGAGGAACAGGTATGGGCATACGATAAGACTGCGTAGCTGTGAGCCCCATGATAGTGGTGGAGTAGCCGTGGTAGCTACACTGCAGCGATATGACGTCATTGTTCCCAGTATACGCCTTAGCTAATAACATTGCTAAGTCGTTAGCTTCCGTTCCACTATTGACTAGATATACTACCTAAAAGAAAGGAAAAATGTTTTTTTTTTCGGATTTCTTGATATTTTGATTTTTTTATCATGGCAACAAAAGTAATATTTAGTAGCTACCTTTATGCAAACTTTTTGAGAATAACTATAAAGTGAGTTTATATTAAATATTTTATGCTCATGAATATATTTATGTATATAAATATAATTTTTAAGTATTTTAATATGTTTATTCCACTGTGCATATTATTGTTATTTTACCTTCAGGTTTCCTGGGAATTTAGCAGTAAGCTTTTCAACATACTCGTATATTTTCGGATGCCTATATATATTAGTCGTATGCCAAAGAGTGTCAATTTGTTTATGAAGCGCCGCAGACACTTTACTAAAAAAATAATAAACTTATACCGTTAAATTTTTTTATACAAGCGGATATCGAAAGGTTTACTACCATGCAAAGTACAGAGCAGTAGGCAATAAGAAAAAAAATAAGAAAAACCGATAAAAATATTGAAAAATCAATAAAATGTTTATATTATTGTTTTATTTTTATTAATTTTGAAATACTTACGGATGGCAATGACCGACAGAAACGGTGACGATTCCTCCAAAGAGATCAAGATATCGTCTACCTTCGTGGTCATAGAGCCACTGCATATGACCTTGGTGGATAACGAATGGACGTTTGTAAATATTGAATAATGCTGGTGGTATGTTTTCGGATTTTATTTCATCAGTTCTTTGAACTGAGGGTCCCTGAAATAAATTTGGCAAAATTACTTCATAATTAGCCATGATATTATTTAGGTAATTCATATGTAGGCAACATATCAAAAATATTTTGTTATGCTTGTCGGAGACGGTCATCAATACGGTCGCTAAACGAAGCGCGGCACGACGCCTGAGTGATGGCAGCACCTTCGGTATTATCGCCAACACTCGGCGAGCTTCGTGCTACGACGGAGCCTAGCTAAGGGAGGGGTGCTAAGAGGGCTGGACACTTGCCTTCGAGCCGAGCCAAGCTTAGGACCGCTCCACTAGGAACTTGCGTTCCGTATGGTCTATACTTGGTAATAGTGAAGTGGTATATGGCTGTGTAGTGAAGTGCTGTTTAACTATGTACAAAGTGATTATTGTTAATTTGAAATACAACTGTGATTGCATCGACTTTCATTTGAACCAACACTTCCCATATAACGCCCACTGTATAAGTCATGATAAAATAATGGAAAACAATAGAGAAAATTAATGCTGCTTCGATATCAGAAGCGGGATCAGTGTTGGTTCAATTGCAAAAAGAACTAACTCTGAGTGAACAATGACGTGCAATGTTTGAGCAACAAAATGTCAGTATGTGATCTCTTATCGAGGCCATGCAAATGCCTCGGATGAGAAGAACGTCAGGTTACACGAGTTGACCCTGACAATATGGATACGGACGCAAGATCTTTGATTGCGACTGCAGATTTGTGTTTTGCCAAAATACCCTCCATACGGCGGCCAGCTTGGTTTAAGTCAGTAAGGAATTAAAACGATAAGGGTCGACGTGGCTATCACAATTTTGTATACCAGGAATAACATAGGAAGAGTACAAGGTGATTTTCAAGGCGAGGTTTGTTTCCACCGAGACATTGGCCGGTACGCTAATTAATTTTAACAGTGACAAACCAAATGAAAAAAGAAACTCGTTACGTACGCAAATCGCCTGATGACGTCACTGACTAATCGTTGGAAAGACGCTAGCAAGAATCAGATAGCAATTGCGACTATCCTTGCTCACTTATGTCAGTTTAATTCGAAATTACAACGATTGGCCTTTACTACGAAAATTGCTTCGCGAGATCGACTGCAGCAGAGATTGCACGCATTCTCACATTTGAAACGCAAAAAAAAAGTGAGTCTTAAGCGGTCAGAGTGTAGAAGCAAGGTAAATGACAGTGTGGAACGACCTTCGATGACAGCAACGGCATTGCAGCCTGCAGTGAAGTCTCTGGTGTGCTTCAAATGTGGCAAACCTGGTCACATCACTCTCCGGTGCATAAGTAGTGCCAGTCAAGTGGACGGCAGCAATATGAGTGCAACACGAACGGAACGACGCGTGGATGTATGTGTTGTACAACCATCTTCGAATGCTCAATGGCATAGAGGTAATCTGTATTGCTTTTGTTATAATCATGGTGCTGAATATTCGTTAGTAAGATAACATTTAGCAGTCAAATTGTGTGGTTAACGATTTTGTCCTTGCAATTTCTAGTATTGATCAAAACAGAATATTCCGCACAGAGTAAAATTTGTTTTGTAACGATTAACGGTCATTCTATTGAATTCTTTTGAAATATTAGTTTTGCCTAATTATTCGTTACAAAATGGTATCATGATAGAACATGAGATATTGAAAGGTTTTTCTATTAACATGACGGCTCTAAAATTCTTTACACAAAAATTCTAGTAGGTCATGTACCAATAAAGTTGATGTAAATAATGATCATCATGCCAAGCAAATGTTTTAATGAAGTCGATGGAAACCGATGTAAGCATTCTGACGGCCGTAGTAGTGTCGACCGTACTAGTAAACTATTACGTAGTCATAGCCTGGTAAAAGTCGGTCTTTTGAGGAAGCTCAAACTATATAGACCGTGGGTGTGTGATGTGCGTTTAGTTCTGGCGGAGGTCGGGGTCTGTTATGACCATAGTGTGTAGTCATCAAGAGGATGATACACGCGGTGATCCCGTAGTGGATGCACCTGGATTGTGGAGCAATTGTGATTGCTGGTTGGCTTGTAAAGCCGTGGCCTAAGAGTGGTTTTACAGAGGTGCTAGTAAATTTGAAAATAAGTTTTGATTGCTAAAGTGTTGAATGATGTTTGGTACATGGCTCTGGATGACTAATGTTATTAGTTAGATTAGAGATAGTTACAGTGACTTGGAGTAAAAAAAAAACAAAGGTGTTAGCGTTAAAGCTTTTCGTTAGAATAAAGATGATTCAGATTCACAAAGTTAAGTTTTATCTGGTCAGGATTGACCGAGACGAGCAAGTATTTTCGTTGATTATTTGGTTGCAGGCTAACACACTGCTAACACACGAGGGCGTGTGCACGCAGGATGGCCGTGTCGGAGACGGTCATCAATACGGTCGCTAAAACGAAGCGCGGCACGACGCCTGAGTGATGGCAGCACCTTCGGTATTATCGCCAACACTCGGCGAGCTTCGTGCTACGACGGAGCCTAGCTAAGGGAGGGGTGCTAAGAGGGCTGGACACTTGCCTTCGAGCCGAGCCAAGCTTAGGACCGCTCCACTAGGAACTTGCGTTCCGTATTGGTCTATACTTGGTAATAGTGAAGTGGTATATGGCTGTGTAGTGAAGTGCTGTTTAACTATGTACAAAGTGATTATTGTTAATTTGAAATACAACTGTGATTGCATCGACTTTCATTTGAACCAACACTTCCCATATAACGCCCACTGTATAAGTCATGATAAAATAATGGAAAACAATAGAGAAAATTAATGCTGCTTCGATATCAGAAGCGGGATCAGTGTTGGTTCAATTGCAAAAAGAACTAACTCTGAGTGAACAATGACGTGCAATGTTTTGAGCAACAAATGTCAGTATGTGATCTCTTATCGAGGCCATGCAAATGCCTCGGATGAAGAAGAACGTCAGGTTACACGAGTTTGACCCTGACAATATGGATACGGGACGCAAGATCTTTGATTGCGACTGCAGATTTGTGTTTTGCCAAATACCCTCCATACGGCGGCCAGCTTGGTTTAAGTCAGTAAGGAATTAAAACGATAAGGGTCGACGTGGCTATCACAATTTGTATACCAGGATAACATAGAAGAGTACAAGGTGATTTTCAAGGCGAGGTTTGTTTCCACCGAGACATTGGCCGTACGCTAATTAATTTTAACAGTGACAAACCAAATGAAAAAAGAAACTCGTTACGTACGCAATCGCCTGATGACGTCACTGACTAATCGTTTGGAAAGACGCTAGCAAGAATCAGATAGCAATTGCGACTATCCTTGCTCACTTATGTCAGTTTAATTCGAATTACAACGATTGGCCTTTACTACGAAAATTGCTTCGCGAGATCGACTGCAGCAGAGATTGCACGCATTCTCACATTTGAAACGCAAAAAAAAGTGAGTCTTAAGCGGTCAGAGTGTAGAAGCAAGGTAAATGACAGTGTGGAACGACCTTCGATGACAGCAACGGCATTGCAGCCTGCAGTGAAGTCTCTGGTGTGCTTCAAATGTGGCAAACCTGGTCACATCACTCTCCGGTGGCATAAGTAGTGCCAGTCAAGTGGACGGCAGCAATATGAGTGCAACACGAACGGAACGACGCGTGGATGTATGTGTTGTACAACCATCTTCGAATGCTCAATGGCATAGAGGTAATCTGTATTGCTTTTGTTATAATCATGGTGCTGAATATTCGTTAGTAAGATAACATTTAGCAGTCAAATTGTGTGGTTAACGATTTTGTCCTTGCAATTTCTAGTATTGATCAAAACAGAATATTCCGCACAGAGTAAAATTTGTTTTGTAACGATTAACGGTCATTCTATTGAATTCTTTTGAAATATTATGTTTTGCCTAATTATTCGTTACAAAATGGTATCATGATAGAACATGAGATATTGAAAGGTTTTCTATTAACATGACGGCTATAAATTCTTTACACAAAAATTCTAGTAGGTCATGTACCAATAAAGTTGATGTAAATAATGATCATCATGCCAAGCAAATGTTTTTAATGAAGTCGATGGAAACCGATGTAAGCATTCTGACGGCCGTAGTAGTGTCGACCGTACTAGTAACTATTACGTAGTCATAGCCTGGTAAAAGTCGGTCTTTTGAGGAAGCTCAAACTATATAGACCGTGGGTGTGTGATGTGCGTTTAGTTCTGGCGGAGGTCGGGGTCTGTTAGACCATAGTGTGTAGTCATCAAGAGGATGATACACGCGGTGATCCCGTAGTGGATGCACCTGGATTGTGGAGCAATTGTGATTGCTGGTTGGCTTGTAAAAGCCGTGGCCTAAGAGTGGTTTACAGAGGTGCTAGTAAATTTGAAATAAGTTTTGATTGCTAAAGTTTTTGAATGATGTTGGTACATGGCTCTGGATGACTAATGTTATTAGTTAGATTAGAGATAGTTACAGTGACTTGGAGTAAAAAAAAACAAAGGTGTTAGCGTTAAAGCTTTTCGTTAGAATAAAGATGATTCAGATTCAAAGTTAAGTTTTATCTGGTCAGGATTGACCGAGACGAGCAAGTATTTTCGTTGATTATTTGGTTGCAGGCTAACACACTGCTAACACACGAGGGCGTGTGCACGCAGGATGGCCGTGTCGGAGACGGTCATCAATACGGTCGCTAAACGAAGCGCGGCACGACGCCTGAGTGATGGCAGCACCTTCGGTATTATCGCCAACACTCGGCGAGCTTCGTGCTACGACGGAGCCTAGCTAAGGGAGGGGTGCTAAGAGGGCTGGACACTTGCCTTCGAGCCGAGCCAAGCTTAGGACCGCTCCACTAGGAACTTGCGTTCCGTATGGTCTATACTTGGTAATAGTGAAGTGGTATATGGCTGTGTAGTGAAGTGCTGTTTAACTATGTACAAAGTGATTATTGTTAATTTGAAATACAACTGTGATTGCATCGACTTTCATTTGAACCAACACTTCCCATATAACGCCCACTGTATAAGTCATGATAAAATAATGGAAAACAATAGAGAAAATTAATGCTGCTTCGATATGCTTATAATGTTTTATCTGTAATTAATGCAGATTATTTCAATTTGTAAGTAAATAAATCCCTATAAAGTTCAAATACTTAAGCGATTTGGGTCAAAGGTACCTACATAAATTAAAACTGCGCATACGCAAGCCATTGTACACGAGTGTTGATATATCTATATCCATATTTTTAATATCATGTGTATAAATATTGTTTTCTTAGTTCATAATAAACCTATGTGAATAAATATTAAAGGCTTTACCATAATATTTTTTATATAATTTCTGTCTCGATTTTGTTATTGATTTTTATACGCAAAATATGTCCCAAAATTTTAAAACGAACAACTTTTCCACGTTCCGTTCGGGTGTGATCGGGTGAATGCTAAGCAGTAGGTACAGCCAATTACACAGTTACAGTTACCTAGTTCTGGTCATATATAGTACCTCCGCTCGGGTCCGCCCCTTGGTTATTATTATGACTTTTATCGATTAGTAAAGATTTCTCAGAGATAAGATGTTTTCCCGCAGTAAAAAGTATCCTATTTGTTGACCCGGATAATCAGCTATCATCATACCAAATTTCATCAAAATCTTATTCTCGTGATGCGTTCCCAGACAGACAGACACAAATTTTAAAAACTATAGATTCGGCCTCTGTAGCGATAATAATGACTATCTAATAATCCAAAAAACACATATCCACATCAAACTTTCGAACTTATAAAAGTAGAAAGAACTTATAGAAGTGAAAAAATATTTTATACTTACTGAATAATCTTTTGGAGTAAACTCGCATTTTGGTAGTGCTGTAGCATACCGCCTTTTAAGTGTATGGAAACAATACCTCGTTACTATAAGAGAAAAAATATGGCTAGTAAATATGTATCTCTCTTTACTCTAAAACTAGCGACTCGCTAGGAATCGTCCCTAGCTTGCTTTCCAATGCAAACTTTCATCCCCATTTTCATCCCCTTCAGGGATGATTTCGGGATAAAAAGTACCCTATGTGCTTTCCAGGGTCTCAAACTATCTTCTTACCAAACTTCATCTAAATTGGTTCAGTAGATCCAGAGATTACCCCCTACAACGTCACAAACTCACAAACTTTACCTCTTTATAATACCTATTAGTATAGATTAAGTTATTCTTTTAAGACCGACTAAAAAATATTTTTAAAAAGTAACTAATTATTTTAATACTATGTGCCTAATATTTTATTAAAATAGTTTAATATTACATTTAATTCTATAAATTAATATAATATTCATACCTGGGTTCGCCATTACTAATTTATTATCAACGAAACAACGAAGCAAAAGAAACACTACGAAGGAACTGAATATTATGAATTATGAATCGTGACCATTGACTCTCAAGTGAATTATTAATGAAAAGATATAAAGACGTACACACATGAATTAGGTTTTGTATTAGTAAAATAAACGCCTCTATGAACTCAGAAAACATATTAAGTTATCATTAACTTGATAATATATAACATATTTGCATTAAATTTAATATTTACAAACAACTTACCCATCTTCGCTCGAATCCCTTGGTGCCATTTGTAGGTTTCCGACTTCAATTAAAGTTATTATAATTTCTTAAAGTAAGCACATTTTTATAGGAATAAAAAATGACCCATAGCACTCAGCGGTAATGTATGAATGGTGGAAACGATATGAATCAGAAGTTTCAGAGATTGACCGGTACGTCCAAACATTTTTGCTTTTATTTAATATTTCTTTACTTTAGCCACCTTTTTTTTTTTATCGTCGGGAAATACATTTACGCACACCACCTGATCCCCCAGGTGGTGATGTGGGGCTCACCGGCTAGAAGAGCCGGTACTACCCACTAAAACCCGACATCCCTTCCCCCCGCCTTAGTGGGACGCCGCAGGATCGCTTGCGCATAACTACTACGGCGTCCCGGCGGCAGGTCTGCCTAAATACTAGGCAGACCACCAAACCAATGGGGCTGCTCCACAGTCAACTCTGCTACGTCAGAGAGGTACCCGGAGCAGCCCCATAAAACCAAAACACCGCCCACCGAAGTGGGCCACCTCCAATCGGCTGCAGAGGACAGGGAGAGCGGCAACGAAACACCGACACTCCTCTTCCCCTGCAGCCCCACCGCGTCCGCCATCAAACGGTGGCGGCCCCGTCTAGGCCGCGGAAGGTAGGGAGAACGGCGCACCGAAATACCGGCACTCCTCTCCCGCCGCGGCCAACCCCTCCGCCGAATGCGGGCCTGCGACCACAGTCCCGCAACCGGCACCCATCATCCGGTTGTGGGACCAAGCGGTCCCACCACCGGTTGCCGCAACGTCTTCGGCTCGAGGCCTAGACGAGCGGCCCCATCCAAGCCATTTGGTCCGCGCCGGATTTCTCCGGTGCTACCCGCCCCTTTAACGGGTGGCATCCCCTATCCGTCACCTGGGGACGCGCCCGGTAGGAGTTGGCTTCTCCCCCGGGTACTTTAGCCACCTGCGATGTAATCCAAAGGAGGGTTATGTCATATGTGTTTGATCTGCGCGTTATATGTATGTCCAACCCTATGTTCCCTCGTAATTACTAAACATCTTAACCGATATTGACGATTCATTAGTATACGCGGATATTGACCATGAAATGCAACCATTTCATAAAATGGTCGGCCATATCATGAAATGACCCATTCTACGATCTGGCCTCGACATAAATAATATGTATGCGTGTCAAACTGCCAAAAGTAATCTATTATTAAAACTAAATAATGTGAACATAACTTTAATTTAATCAGAAAAAATGTTTAATAATAATTAATAGAAGTATTGCGAAGTTTATGGAATGATAAGATAGTATTATAGCAAAACAAAAATTTGCATGAAATATAAAATAATAAAAATTAATATAAAATATTTGATTGTGGTTTAAAAAGACGACATATTTAAGTGTGTTACATAAGTTATATATCGAAATGAAAATCTAACAAGTAACTATCTACTGAGCATATTGGAAGACGTATTCGCTGATTATAGACATAAGTAGGTATTTTATATACAATCGCTCTTTACTAAGCTAAAAATCATATTTTTATTAGTATAGCACACGATATATTTAGTATCTTTATGTAATTTTATGTCTTGTTACTGAATGTCCGAAAGTGTGTCCCACAGTAGGTACATAAGCGGTAAATAGATTTTTTTTACTACTCTCGCTGTTGTGCGCAAACGTCGCACCCACTCTAGAAGTGAAATTGGCAAGATTACATTTTACTATTTTAAAACTTTACCCATTTTCATCTCTGTGAGAATAAAAATATAATCCTCTCATGTAGTGCATCAAATAAATAAAAATGAAATCAAAATATATTTAATCAATAATACTTTAGATTTACGCGAATATTTGATATTTTAAATAAAACTATCTTTTCGGACTATTTCGCGGATTTATTTTGGTTTTTGGTTCCCGACGTTTCGAATGCTTTACAGTAATCACGATCACGGAGGAGACTAAGCTTTTAAACCTTTCAAAGGCGTTACATACTTGTTACAGTGCCTAATTACAATTTTACAAAAATTCTAAAATAGCACCTTACAATATTTGTTGATTTTAATTCTATATATTAATCAAATTAGTTTTTACAAGCAATTTGAATGGTTCACTTTTACATTTAATTAAATTTCAGTATCATAAGTTCACGAGGAAGTCTGAAGCAACTACTGGTTCGGAAGTTCTATTGAGAAGAAAAAGGATATTATTTACATGTTGCACATTATAATAACTAATACACTGAAACTATTTCGATCTTTTATATACAAATTGAAATTGTAAGAATAATATTTATTTCAAACTTTTAGGCAATTATACATTTAAAGTGTGTTTTTAATTTATTTTAGTTTTTGCGTATTCTTCTCAGCAAAACCTTTCATTTGATATACCATCATAGTCCGCAATCTTTGGAAGTCCGTCATATCGGATTTACAATGCCGTCACTTTGCTTATTGTTTTTCGCTCCTCAGGCCCTTTCATTTGACGCCCATATCATAATGGTCACCATGATGAATGTCCGCCATATTGGATTAAAAATGGCGGCAGTTAGGTAATCGTGCACTCACGAGAACCAAACGTGTGTGCCAAATTTCAGCTCAATCGGACACTGTGAATTGGGTCAAAAACTTGCAAGCTTTGATTTCAGACACAAGACAGGTGAAACGAAATAAAAGCTTGTAATTATTTTTATTTTTTCGACATAAAACACGTGTAATATATATTAGAAATACCGGAACAAATATCTTGAATGAAGACATCATTTTAAGTATACTAAAGGAAGATTTAACGACTAACTTCATACTGTAATCTAATCTGTCGAATCCTAAGAAATACAGTCTCATCATTTTTTCCTCTATCGCGCCAAAACTCACTCACAACACACACACGCTGTGAAGAAGGAAGAATCAACAAATAAAATCATCTCAGTACTGCTCTATGTAAACTGCTTCGGTGGTGTAGTGGCTAGCATGTACGGCTGCACAGCCGGAGGGCCTGGGTTCGCGTCCCGGGTCGGACCAAGTTAAGTTATTGAGTCTTTCTGTATAGTAAGCCTCAGTAATAGTCCGGAATTCTGAAGTTGGCGGTGTTTCACTCCCGTGCCTCGGAGAGCACGTAAAGCCGTTGGTCCTGCGCCTTAAATCTCACCGGTCGTGTCTCCGGTCTCGTGTCGTCCCACCGGAGTATGAGAGTGACAGGAATAGAGAGTGCACGTTGTGTCTGCGCATACACTTGTGCACTATAATATCTCCTGCGCAGTTGGCTAGTCCCAATGATATTGACCGCCGTGGACCGGAATCGGTAAGAGGACATTATTATTATGTACTAGCAACTCGTACGTTTTAACGGTAATTATAGAATAGACTATATTATTTACGTACAATGTACATACGTAGGTATAGAACAGTTAGTATTATAAAAAAATATATATCCCTTACTTAAGAAATGATTGATTCTTCATTCAATCCTCCACCCCCGGGATGGATACTATCCTATGTCATTCCCAGGGTCTCACACTATTTCCATATCAAATTTCAACTAAATCAGTTCAGCGGATTAAGCGTGAAAAGGTAACGGACAGACATACAAACAGAGTTACTTTCTTTAAATATATATACTATTTTGGACTTTTTTGTGGACCTTTTCCAGACCTACAATTTTTTATACATTGTTTTGATGTATCTCTTAAGGTTCAGTCAGCATAGCATGGCTACATATAAATTTCTAAGGACAACTCGATAAAAACAGTTATTGTGTTTTCGCGTGGGAATGCAAAATTTCCCTGTAGTAAAAGTTATCTTAAATTTTGACCCGAGAAATGAGTTATCACTATATAAAATTTAGTTAAAATCGGTTCAGTAGGTACTTTTTTGCGTGAAACTCGAACATCGATTTAACTAAGTTACTTTTATTATATGTAGGTATAGATAGATAAGAATAGGTATTGCGAGTGTACCTTAGGAGATAGACATAATTATTGTCATTTAATATTGCAGACTTTTCTGTAGGCCTTTTCAAGACTTACAATTTTTTAGAACATTGTTTTGATGTGTCTTAATGTTAATTAAGCCAGCGGAAGGTTTTTAAGGACGACTCGATAAAATCAGTTATTCCGTTTTCCTGTTACTTTTTGCGTGAAATGCGCACACACAAACAGACAAACAGCCGAAAATTTTAATAACTATTATTTTGGGGTCTATATTGTGTACCTACATATTACGTTACAGCCATAGTTTTTAAAAAATATTTCATGTACAGATTTTGCTAAGTTACTGCTTTATTATAATACTCGTAATATGTATGGATAAGTTGTTTTGAGAAAGGTCGTTTTATAAAGATGGTCTTGTGTAGGTTATATGATATATGGTGAAGGTATTGCATTCCAAAGCGAGGTACAATTTTAACTAATTATATATTTTCACGAAACTTGAATTTGTTTTAGTTGCCTATCTCGTATGAAAATTGAATTTGCGAGATAAGTATACCTGATGTTCTTTAATGGGCTCCTAGTCACTGCTATTATAAATGATCATTAGAGTCAAAATAATAAAGAATATTAAAAAAAAGTTCAATGAATCCGAGCCATATTCAAACATTTCTGAGAATTCGTAAATATTTAAAAAAAGAAACTCATAAAATATAATTAACGCAAAGTGCTTTTGATTATTAAATTAGGTGATTTGTTTTTGTTTAAAAGTAACACAGTGGACAGACAAGTAGCAATTTTAAACTCACAATTAACACAATTGTACGACAGACATGCTCCCATACGACCTGTACGAATAAAGCATCTCCCTGCCCCTTGGCTTACTCAAGAAATTAAAAAATTGCAACAAAAAAAGAACGCTGCGAAAATGAACTATCGGGTCAATAGCAATGAAAAAAAACCGTCTCAAATATACTAAGGCTCGGAATCACTGTAACAGAGTGTGTAGAGATAATCAACGACGCCATATCTATACATCTGTGGTAGAGGAAGAAGACTCATCCAAAGTTTGGACATTTCTGAAATCTTTGGGAGTGGGAAAAGCACGCCAAAGCGTAAATCCTAATAATCTTAATTTAAACGAGCTTAACAAGCATTTCTCCACTTCAAGTACCATGGATAGTACCTACTAGTAAGCAACAGACTCTTATTCAACTTTTAGCTTTATCCCCTCCTAATATTCCACAATTGTTCTTTAGTCATTTTACTGAAAGTGATGTTAAGAGAAACATACTTACTATAAAATCAGATTCAGATTAAAATCAGAATCAGAGCAGTTGGTGCTGATAGTATTAGTCGGAAAATGATCTTACCTATCCTTGATGTTTTATGTCCTGTTATAACGTTTATATTTAATCACTCTATTATCTCCTGTGAATTTCCTTCCTCCTGGAGAGATGCCCTAATTGTACCATTACCTAAAAAATCTTATCCTGTTCTTTATAATGACTATCGTCCTATCTCAATCCTTCCTTTCTTATCCAAAGTACTTGAACGTCTTGTACTCCATCAACTCAATCAATTCCTTTCTACTCATAATCTCCTCAATCCTCTACAATCCGCTTTCCGTCCTGGGCATAGTACGACTACTGCTTTAGTCAAGATCTCTGATGATATTCGCAAAGGCATGGATAAACAGGAAGTCACAGTACTTACCTTACTGGATTTTAGCAATGCCTTTAATACTGTTGATTTTGACATCTTACTTGCTACGTTACGTTCTCTTAACATATCTCCTAAAGTAGTTGACTGGTTTCTTTCTTACCTGTGTGGACGCCGACAGCGTATACGGATTCATGATTCGTATTCCGACTGGTTAACAGTCAAGTCAGGTGTTCCGCAGGGTGGCGTGCTGTCTCCTCTTCTTTTTTCAGTATTTATTAATACACTAGTGGACCCGACAGACGTTGTACTGTCTACACGTCTTTAATTTGAAAATTTCAAACTTTTTTTAATAATTTTTTGGATGAAAATTATTATTCAAATTGTAAATCTAAACCATTCCCAGATCCCCTTGAACACACACAAAAAATTTCATCAAAATCGGTCCAGTCGTTTGAGAGAAGTTCAGTGACATACACACTCACAGAAGAATAATATATATAAAGATTATGTCATCACATTTCTTCTCACTACCACCTGTATGCAGATGATCTACAGATTTATATTCACGCGAAAATTACTGAATTACCGAGAGCGATTGATAAAATGAACGAAGATTTAAGGAGTATAGCCTCATGGAGTAGATCTTTTGGACTCCATTTTAATCCGGCAAAAACTCAAAGTATAATTATTGGTAGCTCGAAACTGATTGCTAGGGTCGCGTCGGTATCATTACCATCTATTCTATTAAATGGCATAATTATACCTTATAGTGACACTGTCAAGAACCTAGGCGTGATTATGGACCAGAATATGTCCTGGGCTCCGCAGTTAGGAGAGACGAGCAGGAAAATGTTTGCATCCGTAGCATCAATTCGTCGGTTACGTAACTTTCTCCCCATTCCTACTAAAATTGCGCTAGCACAATCTCTCCTACTACCTATCCTTGATTATGCTGACTTTTGTTATCTTGATCTAAGAGAGGAGCAATTAAATAAGCTTGAGCGGCTTCAAAATTTATGTATACGGTTCATATTTGGGTTACGAAAATATGACCACATTTCTGAATTTCGCAGAAAGCTCAAGTGGCTCCCTATTCGCCTTCGCAGGAATACTCATGTCCTTCATCTTCTTTACCGTGTTCTGTTTCATCCATCTTCTCCTCCCTATTTAAAAGATAAATTTGAATTTCTGGGTCTTTCTCATTCGAGAAACTTGCGCTCCTGTCAAAATTTAATTTTAAAAATACCTCCTCATTCCACTTCGTTTAGTGATAAACATTCTGTGTAACAGCCTCACGACTTTGGAATTCTCTCCCTTTGAGCGTTAGAGGCGCCAAAACGTATAATACTTTTAAAAACCGTTTAAAACTGCATTTTCACTCTTTTTAAACCATATTCTTTTTACCATCTTTGTTTGTCTTTTTTTAATGCCATTTTACTTATAAGTTCTATTATTATCTATTTAATATGATATAATATTATTTATATATTTATGTACCCATAATATATTAAATATTATTATTATTATAAGTATTTTGTCTTGTATTAATCTTATCATATTTATGTAAATATAATATTATTATTATGTACATATGTATGTATTTTTGATATGTAGTTTATTCATAGTATTAAAAATGAATTATTGTTATCATTGTATTATTATTATTATGGTTTTTTATTATTATTACTACAATATAGTTCACACCCCTTCCCTCTTACAGTTTGTCAATTCCAACGCCTTAAGGTTGCCTGGAAGAGATTGCTGTTTTAGCGATAAGGCCGCCTCTTGTACATAACTCTTTTTATATATTTCTTGTAATTTTTTTTTTCTTTTTTCTCTTGTGGGTGTACAATAAAGAGTATTTATTATTATTATTATTATTTAAATATTAATATTATAATTACCTTAATAATGACAATAATTACTCATTAAGTATAATTACGGTTTTTATAAGAACCGGTAATTTTCTATGCATTGAAATTCGTTACTAGTGACAAGTATGCCTTCCACGTCAATCGAGTTGGAAATAAAATTGGCATTGGATTTGGTGACATCGAGTGTACGCGGTGGTTGCTGTATTGTGTCGAGTGAATGGCTCTAAGTCACCTCTAAATATCTCATTTTATTTAAATACGTCTTAAACAAAACACAAAAATGAAATTAATTTACCTGACATTGTTAGTTCTGCCTGCGGTTTTGCTCTGCTTGCAAAGCGGTAAGTTATTTTTATAGAAAGTATCGGTGCAAGTACGTGGCATAGTATTTCATTTATTTTTGAAAGAAAATTTCTATAAATACGTCAGTAATTGATATTATTAGATCACTATTTGAACAAAATTAGTTTTACCTTTAAAATCCATGCCCATCTGTAAATTAATTGCTTATTAATATATGCTTTCTGTTGAGTTTATCTGTCAGAAAGGATCTTATTTGTTCATTGATTATAATAAAAAAAAGTATTCCAAAAGTATAATAATTATGTTAAACAAAATGTTACAATGACCCCCTTTCACCAATGACTAGCTGAAATACTAAAGTACAATATGTATGTAGATTTTAACCCTTATAAAAATATCATAGCTGTAAACTTATATATTCAGTTATACCTAAATACATTTTACCTTACACCATATGTTACCATGTACTGCTCGTTAAACCTTTATAATTTTTATATATTATTGTATTTATCTATACTTTTTAGTCTATTATTTTATATAAAGATTTTTAAATGATATAAGAGAACTTTTTAGTAAAAGTAAAAAGTATGTTTACTAAAATCCTTAGTAGAGATGAGTTAATTTTTTTAGACCCCATAGTACTAAACTGTTAAAAACTGTAGCCATTATCTTATTTGAATCATAAATTCATCTTAATTTGATGACATCATAACTTTCTAATCACTTACAATGATGGAAACTAAACACCATAATATTAAATCAACTATATTTTTTCTTGTAAAATTTTCTAGCAAACACAATCTTAGCTCGCGCAGAAGAAGATGAACTTGATGATGTAGTGGACATTGAAGGTGAAGATAATCAAGTTGTGGGTGAAGATGCTCTTGATGAGGATGAATCAGTTGTAAAATCATCACAAGATGTTGACACTACCATTCTGTTCACCAAACCTGTACCAAGTTATGGTGATGCCACATTCGGTAAGTAAATTGAAAATATATAGCATTATTATATATAAGTTGTTACCATTATTATATGTAACTTGAACTATGGCCTGTTAGCCCTTGTATGGAAGGGAGGCTCTTGCTCAGCTCTGTGATGTTAAAAATGGTTATAATGCATATATAACTTGTAAATTGTAAGGGCATGATTTCTTATTGTTAGATAAATATCTTTATTGCTAATAATAATATCATTTGTAAAAGAAAACAGTGTTTCTTGTAAACAACACTTTATAAAAACAATATTTTAAATATTCTGAAAATGTTCTCCTAATGTATCATGTATCAGAGAGTATAGTATAGTATATACATATACTGACAATATAATTAAAGGTCCTTTTTTATTATAATATTATTAGCATACTAGGTACCACGTTTAAATGGTATGAAATAGATAGACTATATAATAATTGTATGATATACAGCCTTCCTCAATAAACGAGATAATGTAAAAAGAATATTTCAAATCGGATTAGTAGTTCCTGAGATTAGCACATTCAAACAAACAAACAAACTCCGCCTTGTTCTAATATTTGTATAGATTTTACTAATTAATTAATAAATAAACTTTGCAAAATGTAGATCTTTATATTTCAATTAGAGAAAAAAAAAATATATTTTAGGTTTAACACATCAGTTATGGAAATGCAAATAAAATATTACTAATATGAAACATAATAACATTCAAAAAATTAATGGCAAACGTTTTTTTGCCAATTAGTTTGTAATTCTTCATAAAAGGTAATTAATTGGGTTTTTTTCACAGATTTACAAGCTGGATTTCCTGTTGAATTCCTTGTTGGTTTCGTCAACAAAGGCTCAGAGGACTATATTGTAGAGACTATGGAGGCTTCCTTCAGATATCCAATGGACTATACCTATTATATTCAGAATTTCACCGCATTACCTTATTATAAGGAAGTCAAACCCAAAGAAGAGGCCACTTTCGCTTACTCTTTTATTCCTAATGAGGCATTCGCTGGTCGGCCATTTGGATTGAACATTCAACTCAATTACAGAGATTCCAGTGGAAACTTCTACCAAGTGAGTTTGACATTAAATTTTTTTACTGTATTGAAAATTATGTGTTCTACTTATAATTTTTTATATACTTCTTACTTCTTCTTCTTCCTGCCTCAGTGGTCTTGTGGCTAGCTTGTACGGCTGTACATCCGGAGTTGCTGGGTTAGAATCCCGGGTCGGACCAAGTTTAGTTATCGAGTCTTTCTGTTTAGTAAGCTTCAGTAACAGCCCGAAGTTGGGAAATAGGCAGTGTTTCAACCCCGTGCCTCAGAGAGCATGTAAAGCTGGTCCTGCGCCTGACTCTTACCGGTCGTGTCGAGTTGTCGCCCCATTAGAGTATGGACAGAGACAGAAATAGAGAGTGCACTTGTGTCTGCGCGTACACTTGTGCGCTATAATATCACTTGCACAAATGGCTAGTCTTAATGAGATTGGCCGCTGTGGACGGAATCGGTCGGGAGGACATCATCATCATCATACCTTCTAACAATATTTCCATTCAACAGGAAGCTGTATACAACCAAACACTCAACATCGTAGAAATATCCGAAGGTTTAGATGGAGAGACCTTCTTCCTGTACATCTTCTTAGGTGCAGCATGTGTACTAGCCCTAGTCTTGGGACAACAAGCATTATCATCACTCGCACGTCGCCGGTCACCAAGATCAGCTCCCAAACCTTTGGAAACTGGTACTGCTAACGATGTAGACTATGACTGGCTACCAAAAGAAGTCGTCAATCAGCTGAGTAAGTATATTACTGCTATATATTTTAATTTTCATATTGATTTTTCATATTTATTTTTTTACCATGATATTAGCATAACATTTCCTATGGAGGTATATATACTAGATACAGAAAATTTATAGTTATTAGATAAAACACTTTCATTATCCAATGTTATTCAGATTATATTTTATAATTATTGAGTGAAAATATAAAAAAAATAAGAAAAATGTACAGATATGCCATGCTAGATCGAACTTGCAATCTTTTGTTCAATCCGATAGTTAGTTATGTGAATGATTGTTTTTGAAGTTACACTTCTTTTGGTGCTTTGGGGAAAAAACGATGATAGTCATTTTTTACAATGCGACAGAGTTAGACTACAGTATGAAGTTAGTCATTAAATCTCCAAATTATTTGCTGAATAAAACTCATAATTTATATATCTTGTTACAGAAAAATCTCCCAAAACTCCTAAACAGTCGCCACGTTTGAGGAAGGCGAAAAGATCAGCTGGTGATGATTAATTTCATCATTATATCACTAGTTTAGGAACACCAAGCTCTGCCTGTTTAGGCATAGAAATGTGTGTTGAAACAACTGAAATAGAATTAGGCTGAATAAATCTCATCATCATAAAAAAAAAAACATTCTATTCATTTAATTTACTAGTGTTGTCCATTCTCAGCCTATTTCTATGTTTTGTTGTCTATGTGAAGAGACTGCGTGCGTTAGTTATTAAAAGTGTTGAGAGTAAATTATGGAACAAACAGTGTGGACAGCTTTGTAATAATTTTTGCGATTACGAGAAGACATTATTTAATAAAATGTTAATTTTTCATGGTTTTATTTTATTTTTTATATTATATTTATAAAAACATAAACTAAAAGATGCTATCTATACAGAAAAACGAGTCCATGCGTATAAAAGGCATACCTTAACTTAAAAAATTCTGATTGCGATAAAATTATCGAGCTGTAATCATTGATATGAATGGTTATAATACACTTGCTTGAGAACGTTCTATTAATAGACGATAGGGAGATAGCGCGCGAGTTGTATAGGTAAAAAATTAGTTTGGTAGTGTAAAAGATATATAACCATAATAAAACATAGAGTGAAACCTGGGGCATTTGCTAGTTTTTTATTAACTTTTTGCCATATATTATATATTTTTTAAAGTTTTATGAAATTATTATTAAGTTGCTCTCGCTTCGCTGGGGTGCGTAGCCTATGTGTAACAGGTCATATCTAGTCTATCTGTGTACACTCATCGATGTTATAAATGTTTTATATCTTTAACTAATTGAATTTTAATTAGATCTATATTTTCCATGATTCATTCCAGAATTTTGCCAATAAATAGATTACAATAGTTAGACCTATTAAATTATAGCTAAAGAATAACATATTATAGTCGTATACTTTATAATTATATTAATGTATAAAAACTAAATTCAATGGATATTTTTTAATCAGAAAAAGTCTTAGAGTATACATAGCTTATAATATACTCTAAGGTAAAAATCGTTACTTCATTTTTCGTTATGACAACACTAAACCGATAAAACTACTGTAATATTATTTTATCTGTCATCTTTCCTTTTCGTATACGCTCGTTGCACTGCACGTGTATATTTTTCACTTCGCTCGATATCTAGCCCAAAATGGATAAACCAAACGTTCTCGCCCGTGTTATCAAAGTTCTGGGCCGTACTGGATCCCAGGGACAATGTACTCAAGTGAAGGTTGAGTTCCTCGGAGAAACCAGCCGTCAAATCATCAGAAACGTGAAGGGACCCGTTCGTGATGGAGACATCCTTACTCTTCTCGAGTCCGAACGTGAAGCTAGAAGACTAAGATAAAATGGTAATTTTGATTTGTTTAACAAAGTTTATTATTTTCTTGGAAACATCTATTTCTCATGGTTATAGCACACTACCTCGAGATTGTTCGATATGCACGACACCTTTTGTCTCGACTTGATTGGATTTGAATCTGAATATAACCTCTTACAACTTCTTATTTCTGTTTAATTTATACTATATTTCCTAAAATATTGCATTTTTATAATTTTTCTATGCAACTCTAATAGACAATATGGAAATGGCATTCGGATTTCTACAAATATAGTTTTATTTTCAAGTATGTTTTTGTACTGTATACGTTACAAATGTTTATATGTACCTATTATTTTTTGTAAATAATTTATTCATAATGAATTGGTATAATTTTAACATATTTTTTTGTTTCAGGGTCAGCATAATTTTCATTAGGTTAAATTTATAAATGTAACCGTTTTACTATTATTACTATTAAATTATAATGTGAACATCAAAACCGTCAAAGATTACCATCATATTGTATCCAGCTTAATACATTCTTAAAACACCAACCCTGTGTTTTATTATAACATCCCCTTTAGTGACCATTATAAATTTGTTATATTGAAATAATATTATATTTGAAGTTATACTGAAAATTTCTATATCAAAGAGTAATCTATATTTAGTATCCCTGATTTAAAAAAAAAGTACTTTATGTCTTGTTATGTAAAAGTGTTGTATGTATATAATATATACGAGAATAATTATTATTACCATGAATTTGATTTAAGTGTTTAAAGAAAAAATGTAAACTAGTATAAAATTAGAGAATTTTATTATGTAAATTTAATTTTAAAGAATCATAAGTGACTAAATTAAGTTAGATATTGAGTTTCATTTTAAAGTAAACTAAGTTATGAATAAAAATTATAACTTGGACATGAGTGAAATATTAAGTTCCCTAAATTGGCAAGGCAGCTCATGCCAAGTGGTGGCATCTAATATTACATTTCAAAATTGACCAATAACAAAGTTTTGGTTAAAAAGAAACACTCATCCATACTATAACTTACTAATATTATAAAGTAGCAGAACTCGCGGCATCGCTCGCGCTAAAACTACAAAAAAACTAAAGTGGCCTCACTGTGGCATCCCCTATTTTACCCTCTTTGATGTTGAATTTTAGAAAACACTGAAATATGTAACTCTAAACTCATTATTTTTGCCGTACTCAATTCATACAAAATTTCATGCAAATATGTCCAAGGAATTTTTATTATTTTTCAATTTTCTAGCCTGTGCATTGATACATCAGTCAATCACTTTTGCCTTTTATATATACAGATTTGAAAATAACTGTTTGTTTGTTACCTGATCACAACTGAACGGGTGAACTGAATTAGACGAAAATTAGTATGGACTATGGAAATGGTCTGAGACCCTGGGAAGGACACAGGATAGGATATATGAATCATTTTCATCTAATTTAAAAAACAAATTTTTAAATTTCAAACTTAGAAATTGGTGAGCATTAATCTGTTAACTATAAAGTATATTAATGTCAAATATGTAAACCACAATCTCAAATAAAACCAATATTAGGCAAAGGTCAAAGGTCTGTAATGTAGAAATATGATATCAGTTAGTCTAGTTTATAGCCTCGTAGATATCAAATATGACAAATTATATTCAAAATAAAACATAGATGAAAGTTTGGATTTTAAAATTTTATTTACTATATTACCATAACATTTATAATTAACAATAACTATGCATTAATTATGATCACATATTTCATAAAAAATAACAATTAAAATAAATACATAAGTACACATCAGCAGCCATGGGTTTGAAATTCTCATGGGCTCAAACACCAACACTTGGTAAATAAAACAATTTATTTACAAAAATATAGAGAGTTACTTAAATAGTATCCTTTTGTTTGGGTTGCGAGAAGTGGCAGTGACCAGAATAAATCCTTAGTCGTGTATTTCCTCACAAGTTCGGTGACAGGAACACTAGGTTGCACATTGAGCACGTCGTAGTTTTAGAGACGCTACAAAGTGTCATATTTTTCACCTTCGCATTGACTCGCCCAAAACAGGCAATTTCCGATGCCGCTATAACAGATTAATATGACGGCGGCCAAGAATACTACACTGCACACAATACATGGTTTTCTTTCTAAGAAGAATCCGATTAGATATAGCACCATAAACATTACGTGCGTATTCATTAACGCCGGGTTGACGGGCTTCGGTATAAGAAGTACGGGGATCAGCCATTGTAAACAATACATTTCGATGTTGGCACGGAATTTGTTATTGACTGATCTGTACGGTAACTATAAAATTTACTATTAGTGTAATAATCGACATGTTTTAGATGCTATCATATTATTTCCGTTATTAATGTCAAGTGTGAATTTAATTTATTCTAAAATCTAATGTCGACTATTAGACTAGTATTTATTTTGACAGTGACAGTTACGTTTTTTATGTAATGGTTCACACCATAGATAAATTAGTAAACGTAAAGTTCTAAACCACAATGATTAAAGCTGTGTCTGTGGACTTCTTTGAGATCGAAATTGACGATGAGCGGATTCTTTACCGCCAAATCACAGAAGAAAATTCAACAGATAGTTATTATTTAGTCTGCTCATAGTATTTCTAAAAAACATTAATGTTAAAGTGCAAACAGACGATTCGATTGAATTCGATGTAAGTTCAGATTTTTCATTGACCTAATCGTGGTTCTCTACACACTTCAGAGTTCAGTGTCAGAAGCATTATTTATAAGGGGTTATTGTGTTTTACCATTTATGCTCCATCTGGGGAATACTGGCAAAATAATGAATTATACACATCATTGCCAATAGAAATATAAAATAAGATAGGCCATAATTAATATAATTTAACAATTACCTAAAATGTTTAACTTAATTTTTTGTGTGTTTGTTTTTAGAACTACCTATTGTAGTTTCTAGTACTTGCGTCACCGTAACAGTTCTTTTTTTTATAGTATTCAATGACAAACGAGTACGGTACCTGTCGCGAAAAACACCTACGATTCGTGCACTTAGGTTTTATGTTACAAAAATTCAGAACCGTAGGTGCGTTGTCACTGTGAGGACTGAGATGATATGCCTCTTGCTTGTAATTGCACTGGCTACCTTATCCTTCAAACCGGAACACAACAATTTAATCATTATTGCTTGACGGGAGAAATAGATAAGGGGGTGGTACCTATCCAGTCGGACTCCTCAGGCTTGACAGAGTCCTACCACCGGTAAAATATAAGTTCTAATTATATTATCGTCTATACGTAATAATATCTTTGATATACGATACTTCTTATATAAGGTTTAAATTTTTATTGACGTATGTGGATAAAAGTTCTTGTAATAAAATGTATAATATTAAGCGTTTTAAAGAAACCCCACACTAATTTGCGTTGTTAGGTATAATAAGAACTAGAGTAGAGAGAGAGGGATACCCTTACTTACCTTTAGTCCCTTACTCCCTACAGAATTATTAATTTGACAGTAATGTCCATACTATCCATATCCATACTAATACTATAAGTGTGAAAGTATGTTTATTTGTTCTTCTTTCACGTCGAAACGGAGTGACGAATTGGCGTATTTTTTAACCGATATCCAAAAAACGAGGAGGTTCTCAATTCGTCGGAATCC